AAATATAGGTTTAAGGGTGATTGAGGAATTGAGTACTCCACCACGCTAATTGAGTGAATGGTGTGTAATTAGGAAAGAATGTATTTAAGAATGAATGAGAGTGTGAATGGGTTTGGATCTAGGAACTGCATCGGTTGGGTGCTGAATTGATGTAGCTGTTAATAGCTCCCGGAGTCCAACCTCGGTGGCTAGACGGACAAAACCTAAATATCAACCCAGTGATTCTCGAGGCTGGTCGGTAATTCAATTATGGTGTATATATACGAGTGTATATACATATGTATGAGTTTATATGAAACAGTAATCAATAATAAGTATTTTTATTCTGGGATGATGATTATTTTGAATAAACGAGACCATTTGGTAATTGAACATTGACTACGCCCACGAACTAACATCAACCAATATAGTCCACTGTAATCCTAAAAATAATATAATACTCCTTCACAAATTTTGTTCATAGAAGAATGGGAAATCTCATTTTAAAATAGCGTTTATTAAACAAAAAGCTATTTTAAATGCGGGATGATCACAACTTTTTTTTAAATGAAGGAGTCCACGCCACAAACCAATACTAAACCACGCCCACAATATAATATTAACCAACTTAGCCACACCCATAAAACCTGCAACTCCATAAAACAATATAATACCCATGCAAAAACTTACAGAATATTGTTTTTATTTTCGGAGGTAGTCAACTTTTTATTAAATACCAATTTCCTTATTAAATACCAATTCCTTTTTTCATATAGAAAAAACATTTCGGGCTGATTTTATGCAAAAAAAAAGTAGCTTAATGTGATTAACCAATTGACATAAGAAAAAAATGAGTCCACCAAAGTGCATTTAGTACTGAAAACAAAATAAGTTAGGCCGTTTTGCAAATCCCTAGGTCTGTCTCGATAAGCGAGTTGCCCCTGGGTCTACTTATAGGCCCCTACTCTGCCTGATTGCCTGTCCTCGTAAACCACTCTCCTTCCTTTACATTAGTGCTCCGACTCTTTTACCGCGCCCATACGTTTGTTAATTCCAGCTCCACTTTAATTTAAAAGCTGCGCAAGTTTCCACAGAGTCCCCTTTGATTACACCCAGACGAGTGGAGTCGGCAGCCGGGAAAGGTTCGCCGGTCGGCAGTCTCGAGTTTATTACACCTCTCCGCCTGGCAGTACATTCGTAATAATAAAACTCTTTAGGAGCAATGTAAAAACTTGACGAATTAGAAGGAGACTATTTTTGATGAATTGCACCGGGCAAATAATTCTGTCGTTGTCGGGACGAAAATTAAAAATATTTTCAACGTTCACTTCTTTTTAACTGAAAAATTTTGTTCAGAATTAAGAAGCTACGCCAACTATTATATTTTTTTAAATTTCTCTTTAATACCTTAAATTGGTTAAAGATATTCAATAGAGTTTTCTATTCAGAAATTTCCAAGAAAAAGTAGGTCGATATCGTTTCATTCATTAGAAAGGTTTTTTGTGCTGTCTAGAAATAAAATCTGAAATGAGATGCATCATATCCAAGGTTGTGAAAGACCCGCATTGTCAGTTTCGACTTTTGACTTGGAATCGTAAGGAGCTGAGAGAAAATAACTGAGCTTCTTTTGCGGACTATAAATTCCTCTCTATTACACTGGGCAATAAAAGAGGAGCAGGACTAGTCTGGAGCTTAACTGCTCGTCGTCTCGGTTATCAACCAATTTTTAGAAAACTGTAAAAACTCTATGAGGGGGTAGATACGTCAATTTACTTTTACGATTTGTGAATATTTTATAAGTAAGTTCAGTTTAAAATAGAGATAAAACCAAAGAAAAATCATTTCAGCTACATCTGAAAACAAATTAATTTAAAAGCAGTGTAATTTAAATAAGCACAATAGTAATAATTAGTGTGTGTGGTGTTTACCATTGTATAAATTCACATTTTTTTATCTAAAATTTTCTAGCATTGTATAAATTCATTTTTTTATCTAAAATTTTCTAGCATTGTATAAATTCATTTTTTTATCTAAAATTTTCTAGCATTGTATAAATTCATTCCTTTTTTTATTCTAAAATTTTCTAACATTGTATAAATTCAATTTATTTATCTAAAATTTTCTAGCATTGTATAAATTCATAATTTTCTTTCCACATCCTACATGTATTTGTAAAATTCAAACAACGTTTATAAATCCCAGGCCCTGAAGATGATCTCAATAACGACCGAAACGTTGGCACGATAAAGAAAAATTTTTCTAAAACCTACGTCACACCAGACCGCAACTCACGATCTCCGAATAATCAGTAATAATTAGTGTGTTTCTTTACAATAATGTAAAAACAAAGAAGACAATATTTTTGGTTAACAACCGTCAGCCTGAATATATAACTTCTTCTTCAACAATGTGTTCTTCTTTCCTGAGAATTTGGTTTTAATATTTTTTTTAAATAAAAATAAAAACAAGACATTTCAAGCTCAAATAAAATCAAATGAAAAGAAACCACGCCCATAGGCGTGGATAAGTTGGTCCGCATTTCTGGTATCTTTATATGATTTGTCTTGGGTTTAAAAAGATTTGTGCTTTTGTTGTCATAAATTAACTAAAAGGAGCAAATTCGTCAAATAAAATGACTTTTTTTTATAGTGTCCATCATAATTTTGTGGAACTACATAATAAATAGGTGAGTAGGAAATAAATTGTCTTTTCCACAATAGGCGTTTATTTCGACAGACGCGTTTCCGTTTAATATAGCCGATCATCAGTGACTTTTTTTTAAATAAAAGTAATTTGGCGGTTTGTTACGTCGTTGTAAGTTCAAAAAGAAAGGTTCCATTCTAAACACCCCATTCTTGACAGAATCTCTCGCCACGTCCATAGTTCTCTAGATATCCACTTTTAAACTTACAACTATGTAACAAACGTCAGACTACTTTTTTTTTAAAGTCACTGAAGATATTCTACGTCAGACCGAAACGCGTATCTCGAAATAAATGCCAATTGTGGAAAAGTCAATTTATTTCCTACCCATCAAATTAAATAAAATGACGCCACATTTTTTTAATGTTTTGATCATTAAATCCATTAGAGTTCGTGGTTCGATTGACCAAATAACCTCTTTCAATTAATTAATCGTCATGTAAGGTATTGGTTGAGATAAAAAAAGTCAGTGTCAACACCAACTTCCCATCTCAATCTATCTTTTGATTATTGTACTTTTTTAATGATGGCCCGCTTTTTCAGTAGAAAGTTTGGCCCAAATTTTTATACAATGTGACCAATTCCAATTAATCCACCGAAAAAATAGATAGATGAGAAGAATTTTAATATCGTTAAAATTACTTTGTCAGTTCAAAGTAATCTAGCCACATTCAAGGGGCTAATTTTGTCAACTTTACTATCTAGTCGTGTCTATGTAGGTCAACTTTTCTGGTGGCTAAGTTGGTCAACGTTGCAGGTTGGGCGTGGCTAACTTCGTTAATTTTACTGATTGAAAAAGGCTAAACTGGTCTATTTTGTCAGATGGGCGTGGCTATGTTGGTCGAATTTACTGGTTGGGCGAGACTAAGTCAGTACACATTAGTATGGAAATAAGCGTGGTTATGTTGGTTGTGTTGGTTAACTTTGCTGGATTTGATCAACTTTAGAGGTTTGATGTAGCTAAGTTGCTCTTTGTTCTGTCAAATTTGTAATAAATATTAATCCTTTAGTATAGAGTTCCTCATTTTCTAACTATAATTATTAGTTCAATTTTAGGTTTTTAGTCCTTACACTATGATCTAAATGAATTTTTATAACCTTCCTTTTGTCGCCTTATCTTCGGGCTAGTATTACGTTTTTCCCGTAAATCAGCCATTCTAACAAGAAGGACCATAATTTTGAACATTACTTAAGTCAAATTTAAATTATCGTTTTTTTCAGGTGTCGTGTCCTGGGGTGAGGGCTGTGCAAAACCAAAACATCCAGGGGTTTACTGCAGGGTCAACAGATATCTACCTTGGATCCTCAAGTTCACGGCCGACGCGTGTCAGTGCACTTCACAAAGCCGGAAACAAAAATAGACTATCATCAGGTCAACCTCATCGCCTGTGCTCGTTTGCAAATCTGAAATATTTTCAGCTTCTTCAGTTTTAAAATCGCCTAAACATTTCAAGATATTGCTGTGATAAATGAACCAACACGTTCTTCATAAAATCCAATAATTTATTTATTTTTCTATAGTGGAGTTTTAAGCTAAATAAATACTGTTACAACTACTGGTATGTTTGTACAACATATTAATCCTGTTTTGCAAGCCCCAACAGCCAGTGAGTCTCCATCACTCCTTTTCCCTGTAAAAAAATTGGCAAATATAAATGTGTATATATAAAATGGTTTTAAAGCTGTAAGATCAGGAAAAAAGCTTCATCGCAAGTTCGGCACCAAATCTAATATAATAACAGAGATTTATGCCAAATTTGAAAATTGATTATAAAATTTTAGAGTATTTAGTCATTTCTGAAAAACAACGGTGATTTTTAAAAAAATTAGAATAACGCAATCTTCAGACCTGACGATTTAACAGGAATTGGTTTATTAAATTGATTTGAAAAATATCAAAGCGCATATGGAACAACAAGGTTTTTTCAGGTTTGTTGAATTTTAGTTTACAAGATTAAAAAGTAACCTATTAGTTATACTCTGTCACAAAACTATTCACTTTCCTCACTAGGGACGAAATTTTGATGTCATAGCAGCTTCAGGCATCTTGGAAGATTGTCGGGAAGGGTCCGGGATTGAAAGAGTAGGTGTTATACATCCGGATTGGGGTGTGGGTCCAGTGTTTTATGGAGTCGTCTGTATCTCCTTCTCTCGGTTTCGAAGACAAATGGATCTGTGTAGATGGTATGATTGGATACGAAGTAAAGAGCTTGGAAATTGCTTTGAAGGAGTTTAGAGACTAGAGTGACTGGAATTTTTAGAGGTTGGAACGCTTGGTTCAACCCCAAAGTTTAATTCCGTACTCTCCAAATTGGCCGTAGATGTTTAAATAAGGCATTTATTTTGTATTGCCAAAAAATTTTTGAATAGTTCTTATCGTCAGTTCAGTTCTATTTTATTCCAGTTTTGGGGTTCCAAGTCATTTTATGTATTAGCGTCCCAAATATGGTTGTTGGATGGACATGGTTGTCCATCCGAGTTCTTGTAGATTGGAGAAGAAGTGACACAGCAAACGATGAAAGCTATTTGCTGATTCTGATCTTTTTTTTTCAAATAGAAGGTTATAGTTTCTTAAGGCCATTAGGGCTGGATTTGTTGAAAGTATGGCGGTATCGTCTTGATATGTAAGTATTACTGTACCAGGATTGATAAGAATGTTTGCAATGTAATTGAATAGTGAACGGATCTAAGGATGCTACGTACACAAAATTCGGAATAGTACATGGGGGATGTATGTAAGGATATTGTTACGTTTGTAACAAAATATGTATGTATTATTTAATTTGCCTCCTGAATAAAGTTGGCGGTGTGTCAATCTCCAATTAATACGCCCTAGGATAGGCTTAGGATTAGTATAGATGTGCCACTCGGTACAGAGGACAAGCAGAGACAAGGTGCGTGGTGTGCGTCGAAATCTCTACGGCCTGGCCGGTTGTTTAGAAAATAATCAATTCCTTCATCGACTAAGGCTGCTCGTCCATTGTAACCGAACGCCGCCGTCCACTGTAGCCGATTTTCGTCAGTTCACGACACAGCCCAAATGGATGTAGAAAATTTGTTCTGCTCGAAAATTCTTAGTTTACATACAAATGGAATGAAAGAAATAAACAAAAATATAGGAAGTTCCATTTCGAAAGCTATCCTTGACCACAGCTTACGCTGGGCATCTCTCCGATGAGAGGGTGGATCACGCATGCCTGCTCCTCAACCGCACTTATCAATTTTTCGCAATCCATCGAAATGAAAACGAAACGAAAAGGAAAGCAAAAAGCAAAGAACGGCGTTAAACAATGGTGAGCGTTTGATGTCACGTGGTTGACAGTTGAAGTCGAAGTAACCATTCGGCCGAATAGACTTTAATTGCTAAATCTAACTTTATTTGGATCGGAAAGTGCTTCGGCCGTACACGGCCCAACACGACCGAACGAATTGGTTCTAATGGACGTGTGCTCATTCGTTTCTTCGCTTTTGGATCATCCGGCCCTATTCGGCCGAGCAATGGCCGTGCAAGTTCGGCCGAAAACGGCTCCAGTGGACGGCCTACCTAAGGCGACAGTGAGCCCACCAAACTTTGGAGAAGGTTTACCAAATTCCCTGGAACCAGGGATTTTCAACACCGTCGGAAGCGTAGATGGACAATAGTTCTCAGGAAAGCTTAGTTTGTAATAAAAGTCTATTTATATTTTAAGATAAGTCATTTATGTTTTAGTGGTCAATTGATTATTCCTTTTATGTAAGGTCTTGGTTGAGATAAAAAGTCAGTGTCATGAGCGGGATTCGAACCCACGACCTTCGGCTTACTACGCCGCTGGTCTGCCACTTGAGCTGTTATCGTGACTTCGATCCACTCGGACCCAACTTCTCAACCCGACCTACAAACTTTCAAATTTTCCTTCTTTTTGACATTTTCAAATGTAGCGAAATCAGGATTGGATTCTCAGCGACTTATGAATTGGCCACGGGTAGCTGTTAGTGAAATGATACTTCTTTTACTTTTTAAATATTAATCCATTTATGTTTTAGTGGTCAATTGAGCAAGTTACTTGTTTCAATTAATTATTCCTTTTATGTAAGGTCTTAGTTGAGATAATTGAAAATGGCAAAAAGAGGGAAAATTCGAACGGTTGTAGGTTGAGATGGAGAGCTTTTAGAGTTGGTGTCGAGAGGATCGAAGTCACCATAACTCAAGAGCAGCTGCGTATTTAGCCGAAGGTCGTGGGTTCGAATCCCACCCTTGACACTGACTTTTAAGATAAGGTTCATTTATCTGTAAGTTTGTTCTCATTTGTTATAGTGTTACTCGTAGAAAATGATGTTATCGTTATTTTATATGTTAGTTTCCTTAAATAAAATATTTAAAATTAATTAAATTAATAAATGCGTCTTTTTGAGTATGTAAATATTGTGTACTATTTACTCAGCTTTGGTTAATTATCCGGTTAATCGGTCTGACGAAATTATTAAATGTGAGAGGTTGACACACCTGCTTAGTTGATAAGGAGACAAACCCCAGGCCTTACTTCCTGGTTAAGTTAAACCTACTTCCTGGCAAAATAACTCTTTATTTAATTTTTTTTTACTATATTTTTTTGCGGTTCGTTGTTTCCGTATCACATATTAAGAAGCGGAGCATTTTAAACAGTACTAAGTAAAATTACACCTTATTTAGGAAAATTTTGGGAAAAAATATAAAATAAAAATACGACATTCAAAACTATATTTGAATTACGCAATTTAAAATTTAATTAGGTTAATGACAAAAGTTAGTATCTTTCATAACAAAAAAAATTCAAAACCTGATACAAAGAGAGTAAAATATTTTAAATTTCATGGCATAAAAGGGTAAAATACTTTATCGATATCAGTTTCTTTACGTTATTCCTTCGCCTAATAAAAAAAGAATGGAGATGAGTATTAAAGTTAACAAAAGCAAATTGGTTTATTGAAGAAAAAAATCAATTTGTCTCCTCTTTTAGTACTTTCGCAAATAGGAGTAAATTAATTGGTTAATTTAGTATTTTTCTTGAAGGTTTTTCGTTATTAATCCAGACGAGTATACTCGTACAAACTGTATTCATTTCTTGTAGAAAAATTAAACTATCAAATAGAACAAAGGTTTAAAAATATCACAGTTTATTTGTATTACAATTAAATAAATGTTTGATAAAAATTGAAGATGTACGATAAAATTAAAGAATAAATTGGAGTTTTATTATTTGAACGTTTTTAAAATGGGCTATTTTCATTTTGTCAAAAGACTTCCCGTTGACGTAATAGTGAAAAGAAAGATATTACTCCCGCTGTTATAAATTTGTAAGAAAATGAAAAAAAAGTGTTGGAGTTTAAGTTTAATAGCTTCATGACACCTTCAAATCAAATTACACTTTATTTCCAGACGAAGAACACGGTATGGAAAAGTTATTAATCACTCAAGGCAAAAAAATGTGAATGACATTAAAACAAAAACTTAACACTAGGTACATACATAGAGATTAAATTACAGAATTTATTTCAAATAATACCATAATGGCAATCCGCTTTTAGTTCTTACAATAAGTCTAGGACGGGGCGACGGTGGCCGCAACGGTTTAGGCATTGACACGGTGCTCATCGCTGTAAGACAAAGGTCCCGGGTTCGAATCCAGCGGCCCTGCATTCAAATCTGCCATACTTACGAATGAGCTTTTTTCAAAAACCCCGGTACCCTGACGGTTTATATGATCTCTGCTGTTGCGAACCCTCGTTTAAAAAAATATAGCTAATTTAGCTTAGTCAATATTACTTATTATTAATTTTTTTATATAATGTTTTGGGTAGAATGAAAAAGTTGATGCCTCGAGCGGGATTCGAACCCACGACTTTAGACTATATACGCCGCTGCTCTACTACTTGAGCTATCGTGACTTCGATCCACTTGGAAACCAACTCCCCATCTCAACCTACAACCTTTCGAGATGATTGACATGGGGAGTTGGTGTCCGAGTGGATCGAAGTCACAATAGCTCAAGTCTACCACTTGTTTCAATTAATTATTCCTTTTATGTAAGGTCTCGGTTGATATAATTGAAAATGGTAAAAAGAGGGACAATTCGAAAGGTTGTTGGTTGAGATGGAGAGTTGGTGTCAGAGGGGATCGAGACACCATAACTCTAGAGCAGCGGCATATTTACCCGATCGTGGGTTCGAATCCCGCTCGTGGCACTAACATTTTAATTTCAACCTAAACCTTACATAAAAAGATTAATTAATTGTAAGAAGTTATTTCGTCAACAGACCACCTAACATAATGAATTACTTATTATTTAATTATTAACATATGAATATCTATAAAAACTGAAAACACCACCCCTTAGATAGGTCAAAATCACTAACTAGAATAAATTAGATTCACATAAAAATGACTAGATTACAATAAATAGGAAATAAACAATAGTAAAAATATATGGAATAAATAATTAAATACCACTTTGACAGTAACTACAGTTTTATTCTATGTCCTTCTCTAAGAATTCGTCATGAGAATGAAAGGTTTGAGCCAATAGACACTAATAAATGACAGATTTAAACTTATTTTTAAGTAGACATTTTACATTGGACGAAATCTTATTATAAATTACAGTTAATTAAGGCTTTTAGTCGAGATAAAAAAATTATGGCACGAGCGGGATTCGAACCCACGATCTTCGGCTAGATACGCCGATGCTCTACCACTTGAGCTATCGTGACCTCGATCCGCTCGGACATTAACTTCCTATCTCAACCGCACCTTTTGAATTTTCCCTCCTTTTTGCCATTCTTATTATAAAATTTGTACATTCAACAGTTAAAGCTTTAACGAGCCGCGTTTAATCTTAACCTAGGTAGCTTTAGGTTATCACCACTCAGCTCATCATAAATGGAGTTTTATACACATGATTGTCCTTGATTTTAGAAGCGGCGTTAACATGGTCATACATGTGCTATAAACAATCCAGTGTATATTGACAAAGTAAGTTTATAATTACAAGAGCAATAAAAGAATGTCTACAGTCTTCTCTAAAACCTAAACCTGCCAAAATTCGTATCGCTTTCCTTTGATACGAAAAGAAGTCTTTACTTGATGGAGAATGACTCCATGTTAGTAAAGCAAATTTAAGTAAGAACTAGCTCTATCTCATCCTTCCTGGCTCCATTTTTGGGTGCTCGCAACATGTGGGTGAATTGAACCCCGCTGTGCAGGTGTTCTGGTGAGTCTCGTGTCAATTATCATTGCGACCACCGGTCCCCTTAGGCGTCAGGAAAAAAGTCTAGAAGCGGCGGTGGGAATCGAACCCAAAACCGCGCGATATACCAGCGAGGGTCTGATGCCTTAACTACTCGGCTACCGCGGACCCCTGACAAATTTTTAAGACCGAGTGCCAATGTTTTTGTCATTTAGGCAGTCCATTTTCATCAAAGCAAATTTTAAAATCACGTAACAACATGTTAAGTTCTAAGGCATTTTTAGGTCATTACTCCCTAGAGAAGCTGAATTATCATAAGCATAGCCGATAGCATGGATATTATGGTAATTAAAATAAAAATCATACGTGATGATGAAAAACCATATTGGGTCGGTGACAGATCCATGCAGTACTCCTTTAGTATTGAGCTTGAAGCTTAATAACACGTCATTAAATAGGAAAGCTTCTAATCTATTACATAAAAATGATTTAACTAAACCGATAGAGATATTTGAGAAACCATGTGAGTTTTTGTAAAAGAAGTTTATGGGATACAGTCAAAAGCTTTACTAAGGTTTAAAACACTTTTTTTTGGCTTTGCTTATATGCAAAACACTTGAAATCGAATATTTGCCATTTTCAAAACAATCAAGGGAATATTTTACAAAGTCCATAATTGCTTTCTCTGTGTTTTTACTAAAGTGTGTGCTCTAAAACAATATTGGGACTTACTGATGAAAGAATTAGTTTCAAAAAAGTCCATAACCCTAATTTTCATAATTTTTCAAAAACTTTTAAGTAAATAGGAAGCAATTCAATAGGCCAATAATTGATTATCTTGCCGTTTCACCAGAGTAACATAACTTACATAAAAAAAGACTTGCGGTAGTATGTACCAAATCAATCCACCAAAATAATTTGAATATTTTTAACAATGAAAGATGAAAATATATAAATAGTTTTTTTTGTGTTTTTTCGTTTTATTGCTATATACAGAAATAAAATTAACCACATAATAAAATGTTTAATTATTTTCAAAAACAAAATAGGCGAGTTGTTAAAGTTAACCGGCTAAACCTTCAATACGTTCCTGTTTTACGGGTTTAGTATCACTTTTTTTAAAAAAACTACTTCCCAAGGGTCACGGGTTGGAATTTTAGCTTCCAAAACAACCCAATCCCCTGGATTGATATCATCTCTGCGGATCCCCGTAAAAATAATACCTCCTAATTAAATTTAGTAATTAATGAAGAAAATGTTGAAAATCATTTTATCACTTGGGTTTTGAAAAGAGAAGGGTCGTGACGCTCCATGCGTAAAATTTTAAATTGACATAGCTTTGTTAATTATTATCATCAATTAAAAAAGAAAATAAGGCGTCCTATTTTTAAAAAAAGCTTTGGGCATGATTTCGGTTATATTCTGTAATGTTTTGCTTGCTATTCTTAGCTATTATGATATATAATACTTACAGAAGTAATAAATCTTTAAATGATTGCTTTTATGCAGGGTATTTTACCATAGTTTGATAAATATTTGTAATTGTGTAGTTTAACTTAGTAATTATGAAGTGAATAAGACAAAAGTGTGCTTTTCATATGTTGATCCTTTGCCAACAGTTTAATTGATAATCCCCTAGTTTTTAATTAACTGCACCAAGCCTCAGAAAAACAAATGAAACACCGAGTACAATCATACTTAATTAATTATAGTTATAATAATTCGTTTTACAGATACCTTTACTATTATTTCACCTCGGGATTTTATTATGAATTTTTCATTGTCCAGGCAGTCTTTGGTTGTTGTTGAAATGTGTATCTTTCCGGGCTGAAATTTCGAATTGGATAGATTATTTTTCATTATTTAGTTGTTGTATGAACGGTTGCAATTGGGATACCTCGCTGTTTGTTTGCATGCGCGCAGCCGTGTTGACGGTGTCGCCGAATAAACAGTATCGTGGCAATTTTGTGCCGACCACTCCTCCTACGACCGGACCAGTGTGCAGACCTGTAAACAAATTGTGAAATCTCACCTGGATGGCTAATAGACTTTTCTTTTATTTATACCGATTCTAACTGAGACGGGCAGTGGGACATCGACTTCACCGCTTTTCTCGATGATCTTCAAACACAGTTTTCCCACCTCGTCGGCGTGATCCGAGCTCTCTTCGGGCGCTCCGGCAACCGCCATGTAAACCTCACCGATCGTCTCGACCTTCACGTCAATCATATTAATGCACTTCAATAAATATTAATACGAATTATAAATGTTTTTTAGTTTTCTCTATATCAATATACCATATGGCCAGGAGTGCAGTCTGAAAACATATAGTATGAACAGTAACACTTACATACGACGTACCAGCCAACGCGGCCACTCAATATGGTGGATTAAGAGCAAGGAGGACTCCAATCTAATACAAGTTTAAAAGAAAGTGGAGGATTTTCGGTATGTAGAAGTGTAGATGAGGCTTTAGCTGTAATGTTATGGTGTATAAAAATATTGGTACACAGGTAAGTCGTTGTGGATAGTGAGGTGAGTAACGAAGTAAGGAGGTTTCATAATTTTCATGAGGACTGTGATGAAAATTTAGTATGTTCTGGATATTGAGTGACTTGGCATAACCCCACGGTTCCGCACCGTATCTAAAGTGGTTGAAGTAGTTCTAGACGTCTTCTGTAAGGTTACTGTCTTTTATGTTATATGATAGGATTCCATGCCTCTGCTGTCTATTTATAATGAAAGGTCAATTTATTTTCAAGCTGAAATACGTGCTATCAATGCTTGAACCATAGAAATCATCCAATTGACCATCTGAGATCCAGATTATTCGTAACGTCCAGTAACCTCCAAACCGTGAGGAAACAACAACTCAGGTCAGTCACAAAGAGTATGCAAAACCGTCTATAAGAAACCCTAAAAAAAAATCCAGCAGTGCCAGACACAGTAAACTTATGGTTAAAGAACCATCTCCAAACCTGGCAAAGACCACAGCTAGAGAGGGTAAAAGCTCAGGGAAGTGATAGGGCACAATAACAATCACTGGCATTTGAGAAAACATGTATACACAACGACGACCCCCATTTGTAGGTTATACAATGAGAAGGAAGAAACTGCCACCCATATTATCTTCGAATAGGAAGCAATCGCTCAATGGACACATAGACTTGGACATCAAGAAGATCCAGAGAAAAGAGAGAACATCGAAACTAAGCAACTAGGAAAAGTGGAAAGCCAAAAAGCTGCAGCGCTTGGGGAATGCAAAACCCCCGTTTCCCAGTTTTTGTCATCATAATCAAGGTAGTTGTGGAACAGTGATTTTAGTTGCATAGTAAGGAGTTTTAACAATTTATTTAAGACTATTGATTGGAAGGATTGCGATCGACATTGAAAGACTTGGGGTTCATAAGGTTCCAATCCTTATCTAAAGTGGTCTGACTCCGTGGTTTTTTTTTCAGTTTATTCGATGTTACTGAAGATGGATTTTGCAGTTTGTTTGTTAGAAGATTGCGGTATCGCTCGCTCAGGTAGTAATAAAGGTGCTGGTATTATAGGCAAGTTACCAGTGTAAGCGGTATATAATATCGAAACGTTAATGTTGGATTTGGGCAACTGAAGCGGGAAAGGATCAGTTCTTGATAAAAGGACGGTTAAGGTCGTTGTAATAAGGAGCTTTGATAATTTTCTTGGGGAGTTGTGATGGGAAGGATTGGATGCACTGGGTGACTTGGCAGTACCCTGCAGTTCCACTACATAGACTTCGTAGTTATCCAAATTTTCTGTTAAGTTATTGTCTCTTATATATTGTGAGAGGATTTCACGTCACACTGTTATCTAATCTATCTTATTTGAGTAGAAGGCTCCTTGTTGTTGGTAGACGCTCAGTCTATTCTTTCCATGTATTCAATGTAGGTGTACTGTGCACTTTTTGGTCTTGTCAAGGTGTTGTTGGATGTTAAAAGCTGCTAGGACTAGATTCAATATAGAAGACAAAATTACGCTATCATCTGGTTAGATGGTAATGTATATATAGATAGACAATCATTGCACCCTTGCATTGGTCTAATCTCCGAATATGTTTTCCACACTTCATTCTGAAGTAGACATCCATATAGGATTTTAGGATCAATTAAAAATGGAATGTGTAAAAAGCGTTTACGTTTATAAAGAATATATGAGTGTCAGACCTTAACAAAATGTTAAGCCTCGTCCAGAAGCGCACCCTAGCAATACTTTGTTCTCTAGAGCAGAGGAAATGATGTTAACATCAAACCTTGCTGGATGGTAGCGTAATGAGGACGGAAGACTTGGTGAAAAACAATAATTGTATATAAACTTAGGAATGTTATTGAACGTTTTAAAAGGAGTCTTATGAGAATTGCGAATAAAAAAATATAAATAAGAATTCTAATATAAGAATAAGAATAAATTCTTATGAATATAACAAAAAAAATGTACCCTAGTTTTAAATATAATTAAAATGTCCGGTCGTACGAGAGAGTAAACTAGAGCTGAAAGATGTTCTGAAATGTTAACAAGTGAATTCATACTAGAGAATTAATTAAAAGTTAATTATAGAACTACTAATAGAACTTATCAAAGATAAAGCTCATTTAATAAATTAATAACTTGGAGTATTTAGTAGGGCTGTCGCAACTTTCTTTACAAGATAATTTTTACATCGAACATTCCTTTTTTTAAGTTAAGATAGTAATTGTTTAATGGTGCAACAAATAACAAAAGTTAAATTTAAATTTGCATCAACCCCACTTCTAAATCTAGTGGATATTTACTAATCATCACCATTTGGGATATATCAAAGTTAAGCCAGTTTGGCACACTTCATTAAAAAAAATTTACATTTTATCATTTCACAGAAGGCAATTAACCTACTTTTTCCATTAAGACGGTGCTTAAGGTCCGTAGAAATTATGAAAAAACTGTTAAAAGCCTGTTAATATTGCATTTTTTGTACATTAAAAACAACATTATTATTTTGTTACACGTTTTTTAAATGATGGCATGTACAAATTTATATTTTAAATAAAGCATTTTATCTATCTTAAATGGATAACATTTGCCCAAGAAAATTCTGGTGGTTCGATTTTTTTTAAATTTTTTTTTTACAACTGCGTTCATGCAACAAGTAAAAAATATAGTACATACATATTAACAATAGGATGGAAACGTGTACAGCAATCATCCAGTAATGGAAGCCGTTATAACATCAACATGATGAGTGGGATGTGCTCCAGCCTAGGACACCGACGTCAAGAGTGAGGTTATCGCGTGGCCACCGACGTTTCTCTCTCCTATGAGGATTGTTAGGTAACGTGGTGGAAGACGTTTTTGACGAAAGATTTCGGATGGTAGGATAGTTTTGTTAGTCGTCTCAATGGACCGTCGGTCCCCGACTGAACAATTCTAAGTTTTTCCAAAGGGAAAACACGAACCGGGAAAAAGGAAATGTCCAACTACACACGTAAAATAAAAATGTATAATTTGACCTTATGAAATCTGATAAAAAGCTATATTTACAAAAAATGTCGTGTGATAGAAACAAACTTAAAAAAAGTGTCTTGTTAACAAAAAAAAAATTCCTCTTAAGAAAAAACAATACAATTTCAACTTTAGATCAATTTTAAAGAAATACTATTTACAATTACGCTTAATTAAAAGAAGGAGCGGGCACACTCCCTGAAGGAACAAGGATTTAGGAATTTACAGAAAAAATAAAGGATTTGGCTCACCGTTGTCGACTCGCTCGTGTCCAGTTACACACTCCCCTTCTCACCACTTTTCTTATCTGCCGGGGAAGAAGGTCCCCACCACGGTTGTTTGTGTACCAATTTTGCACCCTTACAATTTGAAATGGAATCTTTTGTAGCCGAATTGGGCAAGATGAGTAACAAGAGGAATAGTAAGGTCGGTATGGATGGTGTGATTGGAAACATAGAAGGGGGCATTGACTATTGTTCTGAGTATGTTTGAGTGGAGGGATACGTTAAGGTTGGAACGCTCAGCAGACCCGTAGAGTTTAAGTCCGCTGTCCAAAAGAGGGCCAGGAAGGCAATGTAAAGTTTTCTTTTGTTTATCAGTGAGAGTTTAGATCGTCTGTCGAGTAATCGTTTTAACATGATAAAACGTACATATGTAACAGTCTGTGCGCATGAATCGTGTATAGGAGTTCCATGTCAGTCGTTTGTCCAGGTATGGCACATGGTTCGCACCAAGGATAGGAACATTGTTGAGGGAACGTTTTCTTCTGTAGGGTGAATGTTACGTATGTTGATTTAGTTTCGTTGATCTTCATTCATCACTTTTAGAGCCAGGATTCAAGGATATTGGAGATTCCGGGAAGCTGTGACGGTATCTTTATCAGGAGAAAGGATAGCGGTATCTCGGCAAAGGTGAGGGTAATAGTGTTCGGTTGTGAAGGTAGGTCGGAGGAATAAATTGAAGAGCAGAAGAGCAAGGACGCTGCCCTGTGGGACACCTGCTGTAATAGTATGGATAGGAGATAATGAAGTTTTGTGGGATACTTGGAAGTAGGGATAAAGGATGGTTAAGGTACGATTTTAGGATAATGTAATGTAAGCAGGTACAATGTCCTTGAGCTTCCACAATAGTCCAAAGATGTTAAAAATAGAAAATGAAAAAAATAAATAGAAGAAAATAAAGATGTAGAATGTTATAGAAAAATATTTACTGTTATTTTTTACAAGGATGGAGTAAATATAAATATGGTCCTGTTATTAAATTAAAATTATTTACACTGGGACAACGGTGGGCGAGTGGTTAGGACGTCCTATGCTGTTTGCCATGTTAGCGATTGTTGGTTCGAGTCCCGGCTTAGCCCATGGGATGTTTATTGGTAATAAATTGGTAAAGAGCATTATAAAGTGGTTTTAATTCTCTTCCGAGATACCCGACGAGGTTAAGCCCTGGCAGAAATTCCACGTTATTTTAAATTCAAGTAAACTAAACGCTCCCAAAACCATTATTAAATTTGAGAAATTTGTGAGATCAATTATTAATTATGCATCAAGAAAGGACTTACGAGAAGAGTCTACGGACATTAATTGAACATTTTTGTGGTATATTAGGTCAAAAGTAATCAGACACGACAAAAATCTAAACAATTCTTCAAAAAATATTGCTATAAACATTTTTAAAAAATATAAGTATACTGAGAGGCAAAAGTAGCCACCTTCGAAAATGGCTTTACAAAAATGAGATTGACTATTTAATGATATCGATCAAGTTATAACAGTTTTTTTAACAAAAATAAAATAATATAAAAACAATCGATATAACATAAAAATAAAATATCAATGTAAGAGTTGCTATAGTCGGCAAGTTGGAAATTAAAGTGTTTTTTTCTTTCTTTTTTAAATTAAAATAAATACATTCACACCTACAAAATATACACTGAATATTCCTCCATCTGCCTGCACACAATAACAAACCAATCTAATTGGGGTCGATGGGGTACTTTTATAAATATTCCGCCATCGACCCAAGTCACAGCTTGAGGGCGATGGGGATGCTATTCCACCATCAGCCCTCCCCATTCACTCTAATAAATACACTCACTCATACAAAACACATATCTTGGCGGCTATATACAATAAAAATTCCCAATTCCCCTAAAAAGCGGAACAGGGGACCCTGAAACTCGCTACCGTGTTCGAAACCCATTCTTAAATCCGGCGGCATCCCTACACGCTCTCTGTATGGAGCCAAGGCATGACACGCCTCTATTATGTGGGACAAATCGAGAAACCTTTCTCTGCATAAGGGGCACCTGCAGTGTCTTTATTAATATTACAAACTCTTGTTGAAAGATCATCCAAGTAAATAATAAAAGGATATGGCCTAGGGTACATCCTTGTTAACACTCAAGTTTAAAGGTGAACTGTATCTTGCTTGTTTTGTGTGAAACTTACTTTTTACTTTTAATTTGTTATAACTGACTAATTTAATAAAACCCAGACAAGCTAATTTTTATTAGCAAAACAAGCGTTATGTAATGTCATAAAAACTCGCATTGATAATTTATGAATTTCGCGGAATGGTGTCAAATAATTAAAAACGGATGATTCATAAACGCATACGCACATACGCGGGCTCCCTCGCCATCAGCGCCATTCTGCTGAAATAGTACGTGACAAGTTGAGGATGACGAAGTGAATTACGTATATTTTGCTTTAGGGTGGCGGAAACAGCTTTGCATAGTAACTGACAGCTACCTCTCTGACCACTAATCTAAAACCGACCGTCCCCAGCCATTTCAACTCATTTACCTTAATAGGCGTTTAAACACTCCGATTTCCCCATCCGATATGAGGTGAAAATATCTACTCGTTTCATTAAACCTATTTCCATAATGCAATTCCTTCGGTGAAGGTAATACGTCGTGGCTTTGCAATTATTCTGCAGCGGAAATAGCCAAAACTGATTATTTCCAACGATATCCAATGCCTCGTTTTAGCTGTGATTTTATTGCATTTGGTTTTTTGTTATACACCCACTTTATGGGGCTATTAATAAGATTATAAGTTAATTGTAAAAACTGGTATTTATTGTTGATTAATATTGTTCACTGGTTAACCTTTAAAGACATGGAGCTTATTTGTCCACGTGTAAGATGAACCACTTGACGTTTTTTTCAAATTAATCTTAAGTAAATTTTCAAGGGCTATGCTGGGATTCGAACCCAGAACCACTAACGTGGCAAATCCGAGTTGGACGTCATCTTCACGAAAGGTAGCTATTTGAAATGTTACGGAGTGTGGTGTAAGCCACACTATTAAACAACTAACTCCTCGAGAAGCTTTAGGATTTGATTTTAATTGCAACACAAATATTGCAAAACTTGCCCCACCAGGGTTTACTTTACTTAACATTCAACGCAAGGACCACGTATTTTCAATTAAAACTGAAGTACTTAACAATTAACATTATTCATAAGCCAAATAAACCTTCTGACCGTCCTAGTTCCTATTGCCCATTAGTCCTCTATCTACCCTTGTCAAAATTCTAGAAAATCTTCTAAAAAGAATATTATGGTTGATCAGTTTGGAACTCGAGTGCACAGTGTTGCTGCCAAAGTTGCCTCGTCCTTGAACAAAAGCCTAGTTACTTGGGAGTCATTCTTGATGTGGAACAGACCTTCGATGGGGTCGGGCACTCGGGCTTGCTTTGAAAACAAAAGAAAATCCTTCATTCAAAAATCGCTTTCCAAAATTCTCTGAAAAATGGTCTTCTCTTTTATCCACTCACGCAAACTATTAAAATTCCTTTTGTGAACAATATCATAAAATCCCGATGTATAACATTCCACAAATCCTTTTTCATTACTCCCCGATCCCTTAGTTTTAATCTTAACATCTCGTACTATCCTCAATAATCCTCATAGGAGATTAAAACACCGCGACCTGGTGAGCAGCGAGACTTCTAGAAATGTCGCCACTGTGTGACTCTTACCATCCCAGTGCCAGTTTTTGCTTCTTTTAAATTTGTACATATCAGCAGTTTTACTTATACTTTTACTGGTATATAAAAATAAATACTGTTGTAAAAAAATTACACTCCAAAGCAGGGGAGCGTTTTTGGCCCATTCCCTTTTTCGATGTTCACTTCAGAGATTCCTATACATTTCAACATATAATACTAATTTGAATCTCTTCGTAAATAATTAGCACTTACAAATGATACACCGAAATGAATTGGAGCATAGTCCACAAAATGGAATATTAAAATAACCCTAAGTAAAAGCTGGCAGATCAATTGTGCCACTGGGATCGCAATGTCACGTAACATTGAGGTTCTTCTCAATTTAGAAGCGACTCACCTCCGCGCACGGAAAATCTGCTTCTTCCGTGAGGTTCGGTGTAGAAGCCCACAAATCCACATACTAATCGACAGACATGCTGACTTCTCCCCCTCTTGCCCCTTCCGAGGGGGTGGGTTAACGTTGTGCGCTTAACCAGTGCTGCTCGTAAAGGGATAACCAAAAAATGGTTGGAATGCATCGGCCAAGTCTCCCGTGAACCTCCTAGGTAGAGACAACTCTATCTCCCTGGGTGTAAAGGCTCCGCTAGCATCGGAACCTCCGTTGCGCTCCGGCCGCGGTTTCGATTTTAGTGGAATCTCTAAACACCCCCTAGAGCAGACCATGCCTATGGTAAAGGTAGCTCAGAAGACCACCACCGACAAGCATCCGCCCCCGTCCGCCATTCCTATCGCATTCGAGGGACGCCGTCAGCGTAGTCATAGCTCCTCACTGGCTATGCGCTCTTAGCAATCCGACCCATCCGATTCCCACGAGGTCGGGAGGTAATTCAGAGGTCATACGCAAGTACTACGGTCCACGGTTACGAATGAAATACAGCCTCTTCTCTAGGTATCCGCCAGGGGTCTCACCATTCAGCCCCTGCGAATGCTTACCATGCAGCTGGGCTTAACTTGGAACGAAAATATACTGCCAGTTCAGACGGTTATGCACCCTCCCCCGTCCGTATATATATATATATATATAGACAGGATCTGGTATCCTACCTAACCCGCTTGTGCCTCATGCTCTGATGCAGCACCCGCCGTTCGCGGCCAGCTCTCAAACCAGCTTAACTCCCTTAATCTCGAAGGGCTAGGTAGGCGTAGTCTTAGCATCCTCGCACGTTATACGCTTCTTTGGTCCCATCATCCAAATGCATGCAGAGGCTGCTTAAGGCGAACATGCGCGCCAGGAAACACGAGCTAGCTTGTGCTTTCATCAATTGCATAAAGTATCATTTAGTGAGCATGAATAGAACCTTGGACTACTGCACTATTTATCAAAATTAAACATTAAAAACTCAAGGGTTCGAGTTCCCAACGTCTCCAATCTATTCTGTCCAAGGGCTCACATTTAATGTTAAACTATGCCAAAAACTAAAACTGAGTTAATGTTCAATATTTTAAATTAGTATTTATACATTATAAAACCTGTTAACACGTTAATTTTTTTATTAAAAAAGCATTAAACCTACAAATAGAAAAATTTAAATATTGTATACAAAGAAACGAGAGTAAAAAATGAGACATATTTTCATGTATATTTCACCAGGTACAAGGTTTCTCTTGATAGACTGATATTCCGCACGTTCTTAATAAATAATGGAAGACTTTTTCCGGAAGAGCTGGTAGCTTGACAGATGCCGAGGTGAGTCTAACATTTAGAGTGACAGCATTGTCATAAGTGCGATGCAAAACGCAATATTACAGTGCATACATCACTTTATAACACGTCTCGGATTCAAACCTTTTCGAAAACATCTACATTTTACATTAAAAAATTATATATTAAAAAAAAATAAATGGTACAAGGCTTAGTAATTATAGATTCATTAAAATTAGAATGTTCAGCAAAGATTTATTTTTAAATCAAAATTATGCTGTTATTTATTGGTTTTATTAATTACCTTGTAAACTGAGAATTCGTCGATAATTGTATCGAAACAAGAGAACAAGGCGTTCATGATATTCACGACAGTCATCACGTCGGAAACGGTCACTGCTGATTTCAGGCCGCATAGCTCGGCAAACATAACGGTCACGGATTCGAAACTCTAAAGGAATAAAAAAAAATTAATTATGATCATAGTTTGGGCAAAAACAGAAACTCTCAGCATACCTTGCATGTCGAAAGTGGCGATGCGCCGGCTCGAAGCTGGTCGGCTATTTTACGAGGTATCATGGAATATAGCAAGTTGTCCCCTTTTTCCTTCCACTCTTCTAAAAGCTTATGGTTCATTTCGAGCTCTTTACAAAGATCCTCGACCTCCTCGCACGTCTGCTCCAACCTGAAAAGTTTTATTTCTTGGTTTAATAAGCAAGCTCTTTCTAACGCTGACAATGTGGAAAATAAACTTCGCCGTTTTGTGACAAAACGTCCAAATTGGTACTTTATAAAGAATTTAAAAAATTAATTATATAATATTCTGAAGTAAGTAGACATTCGCTATATTTAGCTTGTAGGGAAAAGCAGAAAAAATGCAAAAAGTAATTTTTAAATTTAATATATTTCCTCTATGCCAACCATGATCATTAAAGTACAAAGTAAGGAAAAAGTTAACTACTGTAATTTGTCTGAAAAGATGCAACCTAGGGTTAAAAGTTTAATTGTTCGGTTCTAACTAGTCCCAGTGATACTTAAAAAAGTACAGGTTCATGTTCAATGTTTGATAAATTGATCAATGGAAATATTATGTCTGTAATATGAAACATCGTTTAATGATTATGGCAAATAATGGTATTGTTCAATGTATATGTTCATTACTAATTCAATTGTTATTGTAATTTTTTTATGAACATGTGTAAAAAAAGTACTTTTAGTTGTGCGATACATTGATAAATGTACATTATCTCTGACGTATTGTCAAATCTACGTTTAATGATAAAGATCCAATGCTAATGTTCAATGTTTATGTAAAATGTTGATTAACGTTCAATTGTTTTGTTTTTTCATTTAATAAACTTTTGTACAAAAAAAAATTCTGTGGGTCTAGTGCAAAAATTTATAAATGAAAATATTGACTCTGCAATTAGACCTAAGTTAATTAAGATTAATTTTTATGTTCAATGTTCATGTTTAAATTTTAATTCATAATTTTGTTATACAAAAAAATACTTTTAGTTGTGCAAAAATTTGTAAATAGAAATATTGACTGCAAGTTGCACCTCAGTCAATTATAATGATCAAATTTACTAATTTCGTGGTCCGCTTGACCAATTAATATATAACAATTAATTAAGGTTTTTAGTTGAGATAAAAAAGTCAATGGCACGAGCGGGATTCGAACCCACGATCTTCGGCTAGATACGCCGCTGCTCTACCACTTGAGCTATCGTGACTTCGTTCCACTCGGACACCAACTTCCCAGAGTGTAATTGTAATATAATGATCAATGTTTAGTTAAAGTTTTTCGTTCGATTGATAATTTTTGTAGTAAAATTGGTAAACCTTTGTACAAAATAGTACTTTTAGTTGTGCGATTAAAATGAAAAAATCGTCTTTGGAATGCTACACTAAGTTTAATGATTAAAATCAATGTTTATGTACAATTTAAATAATTAGCGTTGAATTATTTATTTAATTTATCAATTTGGTGAACTTCTGTACAAAAAATACTATTAGTTCAATGGGACTGTTCATTCTGCAGACAGAGACTTCTGTTAATATTCAATGTTTAACGTTCTATAATTAATTTGTTTATGGAATTTGGTAAGCGTTTGTAACAATTTTGTAGATAAAATAAAATGAAAATATCTTATAAACTTTGTTTAATGATCATGATCAGTCAAATACTCGTGTTCGGTATTTCATGCACATGTTTAATGTTAAGTATGCGTGTTCATTATTCATGTTATAATTATCACTGCGTCTGTTAATGTTTCTCTCTAAGTTTCGATTTTTGTACGTAATATTCAGAGATTAAAATTTATTTAATATTTATATTCCTATTTATTGTACATTTTTGATATTTAATGCTTCAATTTAATTGTTTATGTTTGTGAACGATATTCATGTTTACTCTACGTTGTTCATGTTTCCTATCCAATTTTTTAAGCTCCTCATTGATGTTGATGTTTAATGTTTGTTTTATTTCCATAAAAATGGCAAATAATTTATGTTGAAGTCTAATCAGGCAGTTTTTATAAATAGAGTTTAATAATAAATTTGAGATTACCTAGAACAGTTGGACCATCCCCTCAGAACTAATTCCCTCCCCAAACCGTGCATGTTCAAATCGTCCAAATACAAAGACATGCTTTGTAAATCGTCCAAGTTAATCACCCTGTAAAACGGATTTATAAGCAAATGGAGTAGTTTCTAAGCTATGAGACAGGCATAAAATTGTAAAACATATACACGGGGCTGCAGAGAAATATAATTGCCGAGATAGATTCAATGTGTTTCATCTGCCCTTTGAGTAGGATGTTTTTAGTCGGTCTTTTCCTCACTCCCGTCCTCGCTTGCTCTTCCGGCATAATTACCTCCACTTCAAACATGACTGTTTGAAAGCAAGTTATCTGGAAAGTAAATCAAAAGTAAGTGACCCATTTTTCATCCGTTTTCTCCCACGCCCCGGGCGGCAGACGTTTTATGAGGGTGGCAAACTAAAGGTTCAATTGATTCCGACGCTTTTCTCCGTCAAGATAAATATCCGAGTGTAAAAATGGGTTTGGAAAGGTTTCCGACTGCGGCGAATATTTTCATTTTCAATTTCCCTTGACACAATCAACCTACCCAAAGCTTTTGATATAGATTGACTCGAAAAGGTTTATTTATGACTTTTTAGTTCACCCCTGTTGATTAGATCGGGGTTTGATATTTAAAATCGACTAGAAGTCAAAAGAAAAGAGTTGCCTTAAAAGTCAAATTTGAACTGCCCCATTGAATTCCAATTCTTATCCGACTTCCTTTTTCAATAAGTCTACAACAGCAACTTTCGAAGTCAAGCATCTTTTTTTAAAGAACGATAGTTTCCAATTAAACAAAAACCTGTGCAACATACATATTATCATGACTTCAAAATTAATCAAGTAATGCATTTATTTTAAAAAATTTATTTCTGGGGTATAACGATAATTTTCTCTACATATTATACGTTGAGGAAACAAAAGATCATGAGATTCCCAAAATCCGGGCCTTGCGACTACCAGCAGTTCGGTCGTTTTCATCATTTTGGTCAGCCTATCGCTGTTTCTGTCAGACACATTTCGGCTTCTCGCCATTTTCAGTGGTGTACTTATAACCTACCAGAGACCATATATTGAGAAGCTAAAAAGCGTCTGGCAGACCAAAATTATCGGAAACTACCAAATTACAATATAAAAGATTCCTTTTCAATAATATGTTATATTTTAAACATGATTTTTTAGATTGTGAAACGTTGTAATGTGTGCAAGTTGAACCTGGCTATCTGACATCAAGGTCTGCTTAGTCTCGTTGGTTTCGTCTGTCGGACGCGTTTTAGCATGCCACCTATTTCTGTGGTGGATCTTACGTTTTTCTAGAATTTATGTAAATTGGCTCGCTAAATAGGTTTGTAGCATTCCAAACATTTGGTGAAGTGTGTGCTTCCTGATCCGCCTAATCCGCTAGTTCGTTTTGCCAACCGTGTTTCGGTATTTCGCCGTCATAGAGGCGATAGAAGTTTTCTGTCGGTATGACGTTTTTTTAGTTAAATTTGATAGAATCCCGAGTTTTTTGTGAAGAGTGCGTCCTGGTCAGCCTAGTCACGCTGGTTCTGTCAGTCAGCTTCGGCATTTTCGCGATCAGTAGTGGATCTTTACGGTATTTTTCCGTCATGTCCTTTTCTTAACTAAATAAATTTCTAAATGCCAATTTTTTTTAAAAAAGAGTGCGTCCTGGTCCGGTTGGGACTGCTGGTTCAGTTGGCCTGATGCGTCTTAGCATATCGCCTACGTTGTGGTGGGTCAGCACATTTTTCTAGAATGTATGTTCTTTACCTGGCTAAATAGGTTTGTAGTATTGCAAATATTTGGATAAGATATTTCTTGCTTCTATTTTTGTTGGTTATTTATAATCCATTTGGTGAAGAGTGTGTCCTAGTCCGCCTAGTTTTGTTGTTTCTATCTAGCAGATATGTTTTAGCATCTTGACATCATCAGTGGCGAATTTCTTCACTTTTATGGCGAAATGTCCTTTTCTAAGTTGAATAATTCTATATAATTCCATGCTTTTGGTGAAGCGTGTACGATTTTTATTTCAATTATTAAAGAAAAAATCAATTAGAAATTTTATTATTTTAAGTCGTGTATTTTCTGCATCATCGACTATCCCGGTCGATTGGTATCGATAGTTTTGTCGGCAGGATGATTTGGTTATTTCACCATTTTCAGTGGTTGGACCGCGTGTTATTTCGTTGCCTTTCACCATTCAAAGAGATCCCGAAATATCATAGATAAACAGAAATAAAAATATCATTTATTTAAATCATTTCCTTTTTTTTAACATATCGTAACAATCAAAGAAAACTGCCACATGCAACTACCAAAAGGGACAAATATCAATGAAAAAATATCAAAAGATCTGAGACCTATTCCACAATATATCAAAGACACAAACACGGCAAAGACTCGTTCCTTCACATTTTACAAACTTACAAAAAGTACACGATTCGTAACATAAAACAGAGCAACTAGTGAAAATAGCGAAATGCCAAAAAACTACTGATGACACTAGCAGGAATAAGTGGAAATGTTTTTTATCGAAGGTATAAAAACCGAAGAGATATTTGGTTTTTCTCCTTTATTCCAAGTTTTTTATTTAAATAATTATATTATATTCTGCTTTGTATTTATATGAGCCAAGAGATAAAATATACAAAAGTCGATAAAGCACTTACGTTTTCCCATGTGAAAGGGATTCCCCTAGGCCGTCTTACTTTCAGAAAATTAGTCACGGGTTTATGGTGAACCTGAATTCCTGGGAATAAAGATAGGAGTTTATGCCCGGCAAGGAGCACCCTCATGCTTCTCCCGAATACAACTGTAAAGGGGAAAAGATCCACTAGAACTTTGGACGAGACCGGAGGAAGCCTGGGCCCGATGACAGACGCCTGTACGGCACCGATATAAGGCTTATTATCGTAGTCGAGCCTCAACTTGATCGTAATATTCTTAAAGCCGCAAGTCGACGTCAATTCTTCCAGGACGTTTATTTTCAATTCGATCCCGTAAAGGCTCTCGGCGATCTCTTGCAGTTGGCCTGGAAACGATTTTGACTCGTTATTAAAGGCATAAAATTCAATTGTGCGCCATGTTCACCTAAGAAGTAGTGTTTGAAACCAGCACGTGAACTGCGGTAGACTAAAACTGCGCCGTCTTTATCCGTTTCCGTGATGTACATAGAAGGAGAGTTCATTTTACGGTATGTGAATCGCATCTCCAAATGAATGTTGTCCACGTTCTGTAGAAACTCGGTGAAATACCTTCCAGTCGCACGTACCACTGTTTGGTATCTAATAAAATACAAACACCCGTGTTATAAGCGTACTTAGAAATCAATACAAGACCAAGTTTAAAAAAGAATTCTGAAAAGTATTTCTGATAACATTACATGCTTCAAGCCGTGAATATGGTTCGTGACCCGCAAAGTTTTCATAGTCCACCCATTACAGTTATTCTAAGTCCGTCAAGACCCATCTGGACTTAGGAACTCTGTGATAATTCCAGCAATCCAACATAAGCCGAACTAAACATTCAGATCCAAAAGTCTTTGGCCATTCGTCGCTGATCAAACTCTGCACTATAACTTTGATATTCGTTTTGAAAAGAACCCCAATGCCGATTCCAAAGTTTCACAACAAGCATTACTATTCGCTCCAACCATTTAGCACTCCATTTCCTCAATCCATAAATGGTTCACTAAAGCTGAAACTACAGTGGCCAAGAGATGTCGACAGCGCATAGGCTGAAACGAGTAAAACTGCTCCACCCATTTGGCACTTCATTTCTTCAACCATAAATCCCATTAACTACCCACTAAAACTGAAACTACAGTAGCCAAGAGACAGCGACTAGGCTGAAACGAGTAAAACTAAACATTGGTAAATTCATTGGTCTTCTTTAAAGAATGCTAGGAAAACAAAGTAAATTGACATTAGGAAACAAGCTTCGAAATTCGGTGTAAGACAATGACGCACAAGAATCAACGAAAATAAATGCTGCCAGATGACCTTTACCGTAGAAAGATTGACGATACTGTCTTATTGATACCCTCAATTGCTTTCATCCTATCCACGCAGGTACTTTGCCTCTCGGATTCTATCTCTATAAGAAAACTAACCAGTACAGTACGTCAAAAAGAGTAAAACTAAAAATACGACTGGTTTTCTTCAGAGTATTAGTAAAACCAAATAAATTTTTAGAAAACTAACTTAACAATAAGCAAGACTTATCTGATCTTAAGAGCCTGATCTCTTGGGTACTACCAAGGTACTAACCTACACCGAATCTAAACATACCAATTAAAACTCCTCCGAATCATCATCCAATCCAACGTCTACTCTTCGTAAAGACCTTTATATTCCTTATGCTAAAGAACACTTCATTTTTGATCAATGACAATGGCGAAAGAACTATTGAATATTTAGAGTCTTCTAAACGACATTCAACCGACTAATGCCTGCAATCCTATCTGTTCGAACTCTGGTGCAAGATATGACGCATAAAAAGCAACGCAAACAAATGCGGCCAAATGACCTTCACCATAAAAAGTGCATTAACTCGTCCTACTGATAACCTCAACTTCTATTACCGTAATCACGAAGGTCAGTACCTCGGATATATCTTGACAACAAACTAGCCAGTACACTAGGGTGAAACTGTTAGAATTAAAAATACGACTGGTTGTTTTTACAGACTATTAGTAAAACTAAGTAAATTGTTGTTAAAATAAAGTTAACATCAAACAGAACAATCTAGCCTTATTATCTTGAACTCTGAGTCTTAGCTTGCGTTCTAACCTACACCGAATTCATACTTCCCATCCAAAGTCCTCCGCAACATCACCAATCAGCTCCTTTCTACTCTGAAATTCCTTTTGCACAAGAACTTTTTGAACCTCGATTAACGATAATGACCAAGTGATCTCATGTATGTCCAGCACCCATCCGACTCATGCTTGCAATCCCTTCTATCATGGTATGCAAGACGTATAAGAACCAAAGAAAATAAGCAGCCAGGTTAATTTTACCTTAAAAATATCTACCTGTCCAATAGTTAACCTCAATACCCAGTATTCCCGTATCCTTGACCTCGGACTTTATCTAGGCAGCAAACAGGATCCGTACACTAAATAAAATGTAGTATAAATTAATGTCTAAGACCATTATGATAATAAAGTAATTTGGCGTTAGATAAAAAAAAAATTATAATTTACAAGACCAATAAAAGAACCGATCTGGACATAAGGACTTAAACTGGGAATTAACTGGGTAAAAATGTAAATAGATAAAAATGGAAACTGGGTACTACCAAGTGTTCTGACTGATACAAAACCCATTCATTCTTATTCAAAGTCTTTCGCTTCATCACTAATGTTTTTTTCTACTCTACAAAAACATTGATAATTTTTTTTTAAAAAGAACTAGTCTTAATTCGAAAAGTTCCATAGCAAGTATAGCTTCACTCCAATCCTTTCCTCAACCAAAAATCTTTATGAAGGCTGAAACTGCAGTGGGCTAGAAGATCTCTTTTCAATAACATTAAAAAATGCTGAAATTTTAAAAAAGAAAATAGTTTAGAATATAATTTAGCCTAAAATGAATGCTAAAAGTGTTACTCGACTCCTCAACATGATTTCTAGGTAAACAACGTCAAATTGTACTTGCAGTTACTGAAGAAATAATTATTATACCTGGTCTTACCCAAAATTGGTGAAGAAACGGACAAAGCAACGACCGAAATATGTCATGAATTCGTTTGAGCTTTTGCACGGGTTTAGCAACTCTGATGCTGCCGCAGCCAAATCTTGGATTAGCCTATCGTCGTATATCTGGAGGGTGTTGAAATTTGACGGACACCCGACGCGTGCCACCACCTGCCTCCAAGCCGCTGTACCATATTCCGACTAAACAAGAAAAAAAGTCAGACTTTTTTTTAAATATAACAAATATTAAATACTCATTAAAGAAGGATAAAATTGTTACTAGGAAAAGTTTAACCCTACATTAAATTCGCGCGGGGCGACGCGTAATGTTTTGTTTTGAATCCCTACCTGTTAACAGGACGATTCTCCACCTGTTAATGGCTTCTAATTAAGTTCACAATTACGACTTAAAGTAACAAATTGGAAAATGGCTGCGACTACGACCTGGAGGTAGGACTTTTATCGTCCCCGCTCCGTCCCAGTCTCCATAACAGTGTCGTTCTTGTCTATGCTTTTTATGTCATTCTTGAAATAATTACACGACGTCTATATCCAATTTCATATTTTGACTGACGTTCTTGTAGAAAATCTAATGTAATGTAATTTTATTACCTGTGATGTTAAAAAATTCATATACATTCTGATGGCCATTAACAAGTAGCTTTCATTTGAAAACCGGTAATCAATATTTTATTTGACTTTTAAACATTCCTTGAAAAATAACATTTTGCAAAAAGTAGTATATCAAATTTTATCTTCAGGTTTTAATTTTTATCAACAATTATTACTAAAATTAATCACTTTTATATTAACACAATAATTGTTTTATTGCACTGATCGATAATATAGTGATTTTTTTGTCGAATTTTGTTGAAAGCAAAAAAATTATTCAGGCCGATCAAAGGCAAATTGGAAATTGGCTCTGATGAGATTATACATATATCATTATCAAGGATAATCATCTAATTTTATACAATCGGGTCTTCTCTAGAAGCAGAGTAGGGGGTGTATAGGATTTGTACAGACTTCTAACAGATCTTTAAAATGTCTAGCCTTATGAAACTGCCAAATTTCAAGTGTCGGCTGATGCTCTTAAAGTCAGATTATTTGCATTACCTGAATGAAGCTTTGGATGCTTTCCAATAACATGCCGTACATGGTCGGTCCCAAAGGGGTTTCCTCAGTTTCCCTTCTCCTCGCTATAAATATGAAAATGATGCTCCCCGTGAATCCCTTGTCCTAGTACCTCTATTCGGACTGATATTGTAAACTTGATTGGGAATGAAATTTGTATCCGAGTCACGCGACGACCACTCAGTCGCCATAGTGACCCATACCCGTGGGACCCTCTAATGTGATTGCCTCCAATAATAACCTGGACCCTTCCCCCTTCATAATCTTTTCGTTTGATTCCTTTCTCATTTTGCATAGTTACAATAGGAAAAAAATCACTTTTAACGGAGAGTCGTAGAGGAGGAAGCCTTATGTTTAAATCTCCTAAGAATAATCCGCTATCTATTTTAAAGAATGGTGGTATAATAGAAAGAAATATGTCCTTACAGAGTTAAAGTCTTTTATTGTGATACATCAAGGGTTGATATATCTTCACTAGCACAAACCGCAAATACTCCAGCCTCTAACTTCAATTATTTTCAAATTTAATATTTAAGTTTTTCCGATATATCTGTAAACATATCGGACATTGAACAGGGTAAGATTGATGTTGCTGTCCGGGGATTGCTTCATGATCCAAGTCCATCCTGTTTCTCCTGTTGGAAATGGCAAATGGATCCACATGTGGGGAATTGACTGGATTGAAATTGCTATCGTGTTCATTTTTTAGATAAACAAGTACGTCAAATTTGTTTTTTATGTCTTCATCTTTGGAGACACCGATTGCTGCAAGCTCATTTGTCGAATGCAAAATGGAATATCTGTTCTCTCGAAAAAACGGAGAGAGAGAGAGAGAGAGAGACAGACAGACAGATATACAGAGACAGAGAGAGAGAGAGAGTGAGAGAGGGAGGGAGAGAGAGATGGAAAGAGATCTTATGTATATGTCTCAAATAACTGTTTAATACTATGTAGAAAAAAGATACAGACATCGTAGAAAATCTTTCACAGTTTTATCAATCCGAACAAAAAACATAAAGTAGCGAACATTAAACATTAAAATAAGTGCTGATAAAAATTGTCTACAAATTTCAAATTAGACTTCTTTTGTAGAGCAAACGTCTCTTCCAACGAAGTACAATACGACATGGTTGCTTAAAGTTTAAACTGAGAAAAATTTTATTCTTCTCCATTAAAATCTTACAGGTCTCTCTCACAATTCAGCCAAAACTTTATTNTGCTTCCACTTAATTTAGGGGTTATTTAATGACTATGTGAAAATGGGCGTGGCGTTAGGTTTGTGTTCACAGTGCTTACTTAATTGTATAAAGGGAGTATTAACTTCTATAGTCCGCCCATTTAATTCGAAAATGATGAACTAAAAAGAGTTAAGCAAAGTTAAAAAGTTAAAAGCAAAAAATTGTCTTATACAAAGTTAATTTTAGATTGGAATTGCGTTGTGGTGACAGATTAAACAGAACTTTCTCATCTAGGTGGGAAATGACACTAACTTTGCTATTTTAAATGAGAATCCCATATTTTTATTGTACAGTTCGATTCTGGAGCTTATTTTATACCACTTTTACTGAAAGGAAAATGTTAACAAGGTCGACCATTTTTGAGGTATGCTAGACGGAATACGCGAGAGGGAGTATGCTTTTTAAAACAATATGGCCCACCCCCTTTATTCCCAAAACGATTAACTTTAGCAAAAAATGATCCTATACAAGCCCTAGTTAATTTTGCCTAATAATCGCGTGGGGTAACAGATTTAACATAACTTTCTCATCTAGCTGGGAAATGACACTAGCTTTGTTATTTTAAATAAGAATCCCATATTTTTATTGTAAAGTTCGATTCTAGACCCTATTTCACAACACTTTTACTGAAAGGAAAATTTTGATAGGATAATAATTGTTACAAGAAGCATATCCCCTCTTCCGTTGGGCATAACTCAGAAAATCGTTTCCGAATTAAATTGGTGGACTATAGAAGTTGATATTGTAAAATCTTCACTCCATTATTGTTACTTGAACGTAAGTCGGTTTAATAGAGAGGTACATCATGCGGACTCTGTAAGAATACAAAATTTATATAAGATCTGTAGTTTGTACAGAAGAACGAAGAACAACATGGGATTCTATGAAATTATTTCAGCTACACATGGACAACAAGCAAAAAGGATTCTGAAGGATATCGCTACCATTGAAAAGAAACTAGCATCTACAATCAATCAGAGAACCTTTTTGTTAAAATGCAGAAAAAACAAGGTCCTGAAGATGATCTAAATAAAGATCGAAACGTTGCACAATAAAGAAAATGTTTGTCTAAACTTACAAAACACAAGACGATCTCACGATCTCCAAATAATCATGAATTAACGGTCACTAAATACTACAAATTTATACAGTCAGTTCATCGTAATGGATGTAGCATTAATGTGAGTCCGATAGGTTTTTTTTTTTCTAAAGATCAAATGCTTTTGCTGTTTAACAGCGCCATGGTTTTTGTTTTTTAAGTTTCAAAAAATGTATTGTGTTCACCTACAAAACAGCTAGTATGGTCAGTTGAGTGAAACAGTATAAAAGTTAATTATTTGTCTTATCAATTAAGACTAGATGAAAGCCTGCACATCATGAACAATTTTTTTAACACCCCCACTAAATCACACGACAAGAGGTTACCACTTTTCTCTGCTTTTAAACGTCAACTTTATAAGAATAATAAATAAATGGATAAATAAATACATTTACACTTTGTGTATACATCGGGCCGATAGTGTGATTCCTTGAAAACTCCAGGCTGCAGTTGGGCAAACAATTTTTTAAAGCTTGTAAAAGATTCACTTAAATACACGCGCATATAATAAACTGCACACAAATATGTTAGTGGTGCTGGAATACATCAGAAATGTGGTCATTAAAGTTACAAACAATACCAGGCCAGTACATGCACTGGAGAAGAAAGATGCACGATAGCTGGAATTTTGAATCTACATTTTCCCCCAAATGACAAATAATGTGATGTAATAATTTAACGATTTTAATTATTATTATAAGTTTTAATCTGAGGTAACTGTTGTTAGACTCCACAAAATATGGTGTCCTTTTTACCCGGCTAAATTCCTCTTGGATCAATGAGCTACCATGAAAATAAAAAATAAGTAATATTTTTTTAGTCTAGTTTCAAATTTGTACCTTTTTTGGAGGAAAATTATACATGGTACCTCAGGCCCAATTCGGCTTCAAAATTTCAAATACGACCATATCCATCCTGACATATCATTTTAAAGTATGTTTTACACTGAAAACATTGGTGCTATTGGATTTTAAATTGATCAAAAAATTACAAAGTTATGGCAAAAGGTTTGAGGAAAAAGTCATTCATTTGATTTCCTATTTGTAATCACATTTGAACTGCTCGCCTTCCTCAAAGATGCAAAGATTTGCTCTTTTTAACCACTCTCCTCCGGTGCTCAGAGCGATCAACTCATGGGAAATGGATTGACAAGCATTTTCTTTGCCGCAGTTCTTCAGCTGAAGTTGCTGGGTTATGATTGGCGTAGACATTGTTAAAACGTATTTTTTGTTTTTTTTATATCATTGGTTCAAGAGAAATTCAGCCGGGCCATCGAAAAAGGAATCCTGTGCATCCTCTTTAATAATACAAAATTTTGGTAAGATTCTTTATTTGTACTGTAAGTTAAGGATGCAGTATTAATGAAAGACTGATAAATATTTATAAATTTACAAATCTTTTGCAAAAATTTGCTGTTTAACAACGTGTTTTTTCCCGTGAACATTTAAAAATCTACATGTATGAAAACGGTTATTGTGTTCATCTACCAGACAACTAGTATGGATGTCAGTCGAGGGAAACAGTGTAAAAGATAATCATTTGTCCTATCAACTACGGCTAGATGAAACCCCGCCGAGTGAACGGTTTTTTTAACAGCTCCGCTAAATAACAGAACGTGCTACGGTTTTTATTTTTCAATGTCGGGAGGAAAATAGAGGCAATCCGGTTATTAAGTTAACCACGAGTTATAAGTCCGAAAAGCCGTGAATATAAACACGTCTCTGACTGCATACGGTCCTCCTCCCCCCGATAAAAACCGAGCCGTCGGAATATAATTACAACCCGACTAGGGGGAGAATCACCCCCTCGGCTCCGGCCCTCTCACGGAACCGTGACAACGGACAATGCCGGCGTGAAATTGTCACGTGGAAAAATTCAGAATTAAACGCTAATTATCTCGTAGATTGTCAATTAGACGACGAGAAAGAGGTTTTGATGGTGTTAAAACACAAGGGATCGACCTTCCCTAAATGTTAATTAGATGCAACTGTCGGGGTGTGACAAGGGTAGTAGGGGTAGGTCGGTTCTGAGACTGCGCTAAAACCCTATATGACTAAAGTCCGAGTTGCAAACTACAGTCACTCTTCAGCATTTCACTGCACCAGGTAAGGTACAAGACTAAATAAACAGGAAATGACTTTATCCATTTCAACACACTAATTAAAACCGGGGAAATAAATTTTTTGTTGACAAAACACTCGTTCCGTTCTTGACAATTATACATACACATTTGTCCACCCGCCTATTTATCATTCGAAACGTATTGCAGTTTTGACGAGTTTGCAGATCGAGAGTAAAGTGCAGTAGAAGATTGGAAGATTCGGGAGCGGGGGTAGACGACGCCTGAGCAGAGGGGCGGTCCGGGGGTTAACCCTTGATATGTTGGGGTAGTCCCGCAATATTTGGGTGTCTCGCGGGTTGAGCCTACAAACCGCCTACTTGTTGATTCAAACCACTTGTAGGCCGGCTCCCCTCACTCAATACAACAAACTGGCACGTATCCTGTTTGTTAAACCATTCCTACCATTGGAAAATAACATGTAGTTGGGTTTTATTAAATGTGTTACATTTTAATTGTTTTTTGATTTTCAATCAAGGCGAATGGACAAACTGTCCAATAACAATTAAATAAACGCTTTGAAAAACAATCAAAATTTACAATTTTGTTTACAAATAACTAAACTTGTAAATGCTTATATGCTAAATGCCTTAAGATAAATTTAAATTTTAAAAGAAAAATAGTTCCCAACTATTCTATTAATAGCTTCAATTTCATTTCAAAATTATTAAATTCACATTTTCATAAATTATTGCTATTAATTATAATTATTGTTATATCTATTTTAGCAATTATATTCGTATATTGTAAGTACATTTATAAAGTTCTCATAAGTAAAAATTTTCTAGTGTCCATATGTTTCACTTTACAAGAAGCCAACAGAGAAAAGAGAAAAAGAGAGAGACTGACAGATAGACAAACATTATGATCGTTTCGTTGAATTATGCTATGATTTCTAATAAATATTTAATTTGAATAATGGTTTATTAGCACCTTATTTATTATAAAAGCACTAATGTTGTATTTTGTTTAGTGTATTTTATAATAATTAAGGTACTAATAAACCATTATTCATAATAGACATAATAGATTCAGTGTTCACTGAATTTTTAGTCGACACTATCACGTCCAAATTGTAATGATTTGTTAGTAGATGTTCATTTTTCCCATCCATTTGACTATAGAATACGTGCAGTTGAAAGAAAGAACAGAGAGAGGTAGAGAGAGAGAGAGAGAGAGAGAGAGAGAGAGAGAGAGAGAGAGAGAGAGAGAGAGACAGACAGACAGACAGACAGACAGACAGGCAGACAGACAGACTGACAGACAGACCCAAAGATTGATAGAGAGTTAGATATTTTGATGGACAGTATTAACTGATTATCAATTTCTAGTTGACTATAGTATGCGTCCAATTGAAAGAAAGAACACAGAGAGAGAGAGAGAGAGAGAGAGAGAGAGAGAGACAGACAGACAGACAGACAGACAGACAGACAGACAGACTGAGACAGGGATAGATGGAAAGATCGATAGATAGACAGACATTATGATGGACAAGGTTAACTGTTTTTCAATTTCTAGTCGACACTATCAGATCAGCATATTAATGATTTTTTAGCAGATGTACATTTTTCTTTTATCCATCCGTTTCTCTTTAGAATACGTGCAGTTGAAAGAAAGAACAGACAGACAGAGAAATAGAGAGACATGAAGATAGATAGGTAGACATTATGATGGACGGTGTTAAATGATTATCAATTTCTAGTTGACCATAGAATACGTGCAATTGAAAGAAAGAACAGAGAAAAAAAGAGAAAAAATAGAGAGAGAGTGAGACAGACAGACAGAGACAGAGAGAGAGAGATGGAAAGATCGATATAGATAGGCAAACATTATGATGGACAAGGTTAACCGGTTTTCAATTTCTAGTCGGCACTATCAGATCAGCATATTAATGTTTTTTTAGCAGATGTACATTTTTCTTTTTTCCATCCGTTTGTCTATAGAAAGAATAGAGAGAGAAAGAGAGAGAGATAGAGGGAGGGATTGAGAGACATTAAGATGGAGGTCAGTGTTAACTGATTGTCAATTTCTAGTCAACACTATCAGATCCAAATTTTAATGATTTGTTAGCAGATGTACATTTTTCCAATCATTTGACTATAGAATACGTGCAATTGAAAGAAATAAAAGAGAGAGGAAGAGAGAAAAATACAGAGGGAGAGAGTGGGAATGAATATACTGTACGTGCCAAATATATTTTGCAGTAATATCAGCGGGTATGAAACTTGCACACTTGGTTGTACAATTTTCTTCTTATACTTTAAATCCTGTTTACCGATTGTAAACATGTCAGTTAAAACAGATTAAAAATATTGTCCCACTGAGGGGCTACAAAATGAACACATTTGTCAAATTGTACACTTGTGGGGGGGGAATTAATTTAATATTAAAAATTTATATTCTAGGCGAAAACGTTTTCTGTAAAACCGTAAAACAACTTGAAAACTTAAAGCCTTGAAAATGTGTAATTTTAGAAGTACAGTTTGTCAAACAGTTAAAAAAAGTCACACGTTTTACAAAAGCAATTTCTGAATATTTTGGAGTTTATTATTTGCTACTGTATGCTTTTGCTCAACTGTAAAATTCATTTTATCTTTATTCCATCCCACATTGTAAGAAATGACTTACGCCCCTGCCTCAGAAGAACTTAGGAATAGGATCTTGTACTTACAAAATTTGAAACTGAAGCTGGTTTAGTATTTCTTTTTTTTTATTAATAATTATTTTGATTTTAAGCTAATCAAGCCTTCATCGTGAAAAAATTAACTAAATATGCATGTAAATAATAATTGTAGCACTTGGTTAATTACGATTTTCTTTAAGTTTCATATTTTAATATATCTCGATTGTCATTATTGCAAAAACAAAATTTTTGGCCGTTACATTCACCCAAAACTGAGTTTTAAATATGCGACAAAGCCGGGCCTTGAAATGATAAAGAAACATTTTTCACTGGAAAAAATGGAAAAGTCTTTCTTTCCCCCCCCCCACAGTCTCTACAGACGTTTCCAATCTTTTTAAAGCTCCAAAACGTTGTAATATGCTTGAGCCCTCTCACTTGAATAGAACATCGTCTGACTCGTTCAAAAATTAACGACCCCCCCGACTTTGAAAAGGCGGTGCGAATTACTTGAAAATATCGTTAAACATCTGTCTCAAATATATTAGAGTAGAAATGTAAAAGAAGCACTAAAGAAAAAAAATTGTTCAAACAATTTTGAAGGCAAGGGAAAGAAACTTTGGACAGAATTATTTGGGCTTAAATTTCCAAAAATATAAAAATGTAACACCATGTAAAATTTTGTGATAAATGTGAATCAGATTATTATTCCAATTCACGAGAATACAAAAATATGCTGTTATTCCAGTAATTTTCCCCTTTTTAAAAGTGTTCATCGCTTGCTCTTTTTTGACATAATTGGATTTATGAAAAAAAAACATAATCTTTGGATAAAAATTAAACTGACAGCTTTGACGAAAATTTGGACGAAGATGATCTCCTCTTGGAGCAATTATAGCGTCGGCGACCGCGGAATTAATTATAGCAACCTAATCAATAATGAACGGTAAGAAATCAACTCTATTTTAGATACAAGATAAAATTTGGAAAAATTGCAAAAAATAAAAAATTTCTACTTGAACGAAATGACAAAAATATTTTAAACATTAAACGATTTATAAAATTATATGTTTGACAGCTTGAATCATCAATGATCAGATTTAATAAAAGTAATTAAAAACATCTTGATAAGTTACAATAACAAATTATTTAAGATGCTTAGAAGTGGATAGGAAGAGATTCTGTCCTAGCTGTTCGCTCCCAAAAGATTCTCCTACTGTCCTCAGCCGAGGCTGAAAAAGTCGAGTTCTCCATTCCTCAATGTTGTTCCTTTACTACCGACTAACTGTGTGCGCTAGTTAAGACTATATTAATTATCAAAACTTCGCCTCAAGAACGAAAAACTAATGTACAGCACACTACTCAAACATACATAGATTTTGGGATTGAACCAAAGCATCCGATTCGTACAGAAGTCATCACTTCCAGTTTAAAACTCTTCTATATATGTGTACAATCTTATTCTTCACTATGACTCTGAGCCTTAAAAACTCCGGTTATTCTCAGCTTCATTTACAGAAATCCTCAACGACGGTGGCGCCGTGATATCCTAAGTGATGATAAGTGACCGGTGAGTACCTAAATGTACTTACATTGGAATTTCACAACTGATTTCTGCAACAAGACAATATCTGCATATTTTCTATTCTCCCAGTTACAATACTGACACTGACTCAAGAGGGATTAAATGGCGGGATCTCGGAATATGGGAGTGTTGAGAGAGGTTGGGCAGTATCTTTGAAACAGATCTAAAGCTTAGTGGATACTCTTTGGTCGCAACATCGGATAGTTGGTTGACAACTTGTTGAGGTCGTTGAAAATTGTGAGGCTAGTGACGTAGGAAAAAGCTTTGACAATTTATCTGAGGCTTTTGATTTGGTTGACCACAGTTCCACTCCGTACGGCCAAAGGGTCACAGTAATTTCTTGTATAGAGTTACTTGGGTTTTGACTGTCAAAATAGATTTTAGTCTTAAAAGTCTTCGTAGTTGTCTAAGTCTCTTAAATTAAGTCTTAATTTATACTGTCTGTTAATTCCACATGAGTCTGCTGTCTAAGTTTAGTCTTATCTTCTTCTTTTTTTTTTCAGCGTTAATGTACGTTTGTCTTCTTTCAGCCTTATCCTTCACTTTCAGCACTAGTCATTGATAAGCTGAAAGTCTTGGATGTTGGAAGTTAAAATAAAATTCGGATTAGAACACAAAATCGTGGTGTCAACCACTTAGATGGGATGATATTGGGATGTACTGATGAGTTGGCAAGATAAATGGTAAAAAGGATGGGACAAGCAAGAATACTCCCTTGTGAGACGCCGGTTTGTATTAGTCTGATATCTAAGTACTCCTTGTTGGATATCACTTTGAAGCAGCTGTCAGTTTAATTTTAATTAATTATCTTTTTATGTAAGATATTGGTTGTAATGAAAAAGTTAGTGTCACAAGCGGGATTCGAACCCACGCATAAGTGGTTAGAGCAGCGTTGTATTGAGCCAAAGGTCGTGGATTCGAATTCCGCTCCTGACATTACCTTTTTCATTACAACCATTATCTTACATAAAAAAATTAATTAATTGAAAGAAGTCGTTTGATCAATCAGACCACGAAATATAATGAATTTAATTTTAATATTGTAAATGTCGAATAAAAGAGAGAACAAATAAAAAATAGGGTAAAATTTTGTTTCCTTAAAATATAAAAGAACACAAACACAATCAGTAATGAATGGTAGCATAAGTTCTACTCTAACATATAATTTTCATTTTATTGTATCCTGTATCTTTTATTATGAACATTATTTTTAAAAAATATGTGGATAAATTATTATCGTTTGTTTTTAAAATAATGTAATATAGAGAAAAGCAAAAAAGTTTTTATGTCACAACCGTCACAAATTTATTCAATCATCAATTTATTGTTCTAAAATTTAAATTCTTGTACTTCATTTTGCGTGTAATTTATAATTAATTTACTTATAGAAGGTCGAGCTTTTTCAGTATTTTGAGCATGCTGATCTATTATTTTATACTAAGCTTTTAAGCCTAAACAAAAAAATGTAAAAGGCAAGAAGAAGAAATGATAGATCAAATGTTGAAGGATTTTTATCATATTTAGTCAAATAATCATACGTCATTTTTTAACATCAATTTTTTTATAATCTTTATAAAAAATATTGAACCGCTTTTGTGTATGTTTTTGCTTTTAACATTTGACTGTTCCTACGTCCAGTACTTTCTGACGAGTATTTTTCCAAACAACTGGGTTGTCTTTTTTTTAACTGCCCTTTGTCGTAAAAGAAGGTTTGATCGATTTTTCACAGCGCCCTTTGTTGGACGGGTTTGTGTATTTTGTTGTTGGTATAATCAATTCAGAACCAACCCAAAAACTCTTTGATAAATAGAAAACAATTTAAGCCCATATATTGTTTATAAATTAAAATTTTTATTCGACTTTAGTTTGACTTTATGATTAATGGTAAGTTATTATATTTTCTTGTACAAATTTAGATCAGACAAGTGAAACAAAATTTAACATTGATTTGGTTAAAAAAAAATTTAATTTAGTCTGGATTGGTGAAACAGACACGGAATATGAATACGTTCTAATGTAAGCGGTTAGTATGTGCCAAATGTAGTCGTAAATCTGCTGATAATTTGCTACTTCTCTTCGTGTTGAACTCGGAATGGAACCCAAGTTTTGATTTAGGTGGCAACACTCAGTCTACATTACGGTTTTTTTTTTCTTTTGCATTTTTAAAATGTGTATCCTTACGACCCAATCAATACAGGAAATGAATTATATCAGAAACATTTGTAATATTATTAATTTTTTTAATCAAGCTTTCATTAAATTGTACAAGTTGAAACTCATTAAAAGAGGACATCGATCCTGGACAAAAGTGTCCTATTGAAAAAAAATCTGTTTGTCGTCCACTGCAATCAAACAACCATTTTAATTTTTCAGTTAAAACTGGATAATATCTTTTTTACATAGACAAATCAACGGATAAACTTTAGGCATTTGTATTTTTTTTAGGGTTAATCAGATACAAACGCCATTCAAGCATAGAAAATTCCGACAAGATTAAATTTTCTTCTCAGACAGATCAGCGAGATTTTAAAAAAGGAAAAAAGATATCGGCCAGAAGAAAGAAACCTTCAAAGAAATCCTGGCCATACCGAAATGGCAACAAAGTTAAAACAAAGTTAAAATAACTGACATATCTAGAACTATCTCTGCTTTATCAGAGAAGAAAAGAAAGTAACATGGAAAGTTAAAACAAAAGAACCTGGAGCTTTTCTTGGTTGGTTCAAAAATTAGGAAATATGAGCACATGGCCCTCGGCCCTGCCACATCCGTCTTTCAAGCCGAACCGCCAGCAATAGAGACATATGGAATAAATAACATCTCAAGGGTGCTTTTCAAACCTACGAGATCAACTCAAAACCAGTCAGGAACTCCTGATTGCCCTGAAAGAACTTGGATCTAGGATAGCCTATCGCTGGTGGGTCATCCCAGGTCGTGAAGGAATTCCAAGAAACGAAGCCTTGCTAGCTAAATAGAGAGCGTTGGAATAACACATAGGTCCAAATCCAGCATAAACTACAGTCATATTAAAAAAGAACTGTTATCTTAGTTAAGCATAGAAAACAACCGATTACTGGAAGCGTAAACATGAGAGAGACAAAAAGACTACTCGCAAAAACAGCCCATTGGGAGAAAGAGAAACTCCAACTCAACAAAAAGGATCAAAAAGCCTTAACAGGTATTTTCAGTGTCCAAAGGAGTCAGAGACAACGTAGCATCTTCAATGCAGCTGTAATAGGTAGGAAAAGACTATGTTACCTAGGACAGCCATTTTTGTGACACCATACCCAAAAGATGAATTCTGTACTTTAAAGAAACCCAACACTAAAACAAATATTTTAAAAAATATTCCGTAATCCCAGATGAACAAGAAGAAGGATGTATAAATAATGTTGTCTTTCTTCAGTCTGTACCTAATACAATCTTAAAATAAAATAGTCTTATATTTTTGCTATTTTTGTAGACTTCTTGTTTGTCTTTTTGTCACATGAAAAATTATGAAAAACTTTTATGGACCGAATATTAGTGGGAAGTTAATGCTATTATTAAAGCTATGTGAGACATTACTAAAATGGTTTTGTACATTAATGATGATCACTCTAAATGTAATCACGGGAAGAGTCATGAAGGGGGAAGTCTTAAGCCCATTTCTGTTTTCCGGTTTTATAGGGTACATTAAAAAGTATTTTACCGATCATGACCGATTTTTCAAAAGAACTGGAATCTTGGGTAAATAAAGAATACAGCCAATACTGGGAACTATGCCAGACTAGATAAAAACTACTCGCGAAAACAACCTAATGAGGAGGAAATCCTACTCGACAGACAAATAATTAAAAACCCTAATAAGTATCTATCCAGTAAAATGGTACTAATAAGAGATGACCAATGTTTAGATGAAAGAAAACAACCTAGGAAAGCATTCTGGTGCAATATAGAGCCATGAGAAAAATTCAGTACTCATTGAAGAAACGAAAATCTTCCAGAAAAAACATTAGCATAAAAATATACAAAAGTTTAAGGTGGATATCGCTATGACCTCAAAACGTAAAAGAAGTTTATACGTAAATCCCCTGATCTCGAATCACAGAAAATGTTTTCTATATTCATATTCATTAAGCGACAGGAATTTAAGATTTCCGTTTGTAATCTGGTGTTAAAGGCGGCAAGGTTCATTAACTAGAAACATTAACAAAGATTTTTTTATAACAATTTTTATAACACACAATAATAACATATCTACACAGAAAACAAACACTTTGAGCCCTGAAGATGATCTCAATAAAGATCGAAACGTTGGCACGATAAAGAAAATGTTTTTCTAAAACCTACGTCACACCAGACCGCATCTCACGATCTCTAAGTAATCATTAACTAACGGTCACTAAACACCACACACTTTTATAGCACTATTTAATTTTAGAAAATTCAAAAATAAACGAACACATATCAAACTACAAATCCTTTGAGAAGGGTGGCGTAAAACAGCAAATAAAATAGACAAAAACATATATTTTTTTACAATATTTATAGGTTAAAACACACATAAAAGCTTTCTATAGGTATTAGTTACTCTTGTGGTGTTTTAGAAAAATTATTTTTGTTTTTTTGTTTTTTAGCACTAGGCAGAACATTTTATCGAATTTTGCGAGTTTCAAAGCAGACGGAGAATACGGATGGTTTTACAAGCTCAATACGCTGTAAGTGATATATTTGTTCAAATAAATTGACTTTTGTTAGTCCTCCTTATTCAACGAAACTTTAAGTTCAGATTGCAAGGTTGTGATAAAGTGCACGGCTGTTTATTTACAAAAGCCGGTCAGAACCGTCCGCAATGGGATTGATTCTGATTTAACAAAATCGCCCCCTGATTAGTCTGTCCGCTGAAGAGACGAGGGCTGGATTCGGTTTGCATCCGGCACCCCTCCTCTTAAACTCATTTGCATTTACTGTCCAATCGTATTAGGTTACAGTCCCAAGAGGGAGGCCAACTTATTTACAAAACTTGGCGATTACTCGTAATCAAATGGGGTCCTCGTTTTTCCCCCCATGGCAATCAGTCACAAGACAGATCGAGGACACGGAGGGAATTTTTGTTTTTACTTTGAAATAAAATTCGATATTTTAAAGCTCAATTTTAAAAACCTTGGGGAATTCATTGTTGTATTTGAACACAGACTGATATCAATTGTGTTTCAGGATCAAGAGACTGTATAGTGCTGCATTTCTGGACTCTGGAGCATTCAGTATAACTTCAATCGAATTTGCTCAACATTATAGCTATTTTGCAGTAAGTAAACAATAATCTTGCGTTGTTATGAATTCATTATCATTTACATTCTTAATCAGCATAAAAGCTTTGTTAGAAAAAGCTATTTTCCTGGTAAGTTACCACTGATTGTGATCCATTATTCACTTCGTTATTAACATTCACAGGAGTCTACACAGGATTTTCTCTTAGCTTCAAACATAGAAAACACCCATAGAGTGGAATTCTTCGAAAATCCCAATTTATCTTAATGGAAGGGAAAATCCGTAATTTAAACCAAAGAAATTTTAAAGACTTTCGAAATGAAGCTGTCCAATTCGTTGACAATAGCTGAGGAATGTTTCATTAACACGGGAACTGCCGACGGACATCTGTTCCGACATGAAAGCGCAGTTGATTGTAATGAACATCGTTCAGGGCTGCACCCTCCGCTGCAATAAAGGAAATTTAATTGACGAAGACATAAATTTCAAAAAAAAAAATAAGACGCTCGCCTCAATATGTACTGGTTAAAAATGGCGTATGTTTTTTATTTAAAAAAAAATAGACAAAACATCGCACAACACAAAATCCAGTAGCATAAGTGAAATAAATGAAAAAATAAAAGAATAGAAAAATTTATTGTATCAAAGATTTTCCGTTCTTATGCTCACGTATTCCCAGGGTTTGATCTGTCCTTTATTCTCATATTATTTTGGATTTGGCTGACCTCAGATTATGAAAACGCTTCTCAGGGTCCAAGAGCGCTTTTTCCCACAAAACTAAGCACTTTCTTCGGTGCTACTTCGTGCATGTCTCTTGGTGTGAGTGGCTTGCCGAGTTATACTTGGTCAGGGGTAAAAATGTAAGTCCGGAAACTAAAATGATCTATCTATCTTTTTTTTTAATATTCATCTCAAATAAGGATTTTTTAAGTAAGTCGTAAGAATGATTAAAACCTTTGTGCTGAAATTTTGTCAAAGTTTTGGTCATCATAGATTCTGTACTTTCTATAAGTATTGGCAGTTTGTGAATACAAATGATGTTACGAGTAGGATCTTCGGGAGGTCAAATGGATGAAATAAAAGAACAAGGAACAGCTTTCGGGTTCAACCGAGCTTTCGGCGACTTATATCACCATCCTCCATATATATAAGTCGATCACATCATTTGCTGCAGGTCAATGACCTCCACTTCATCTTGAATACAAATGTTTGTTTTTTTAATCTTAGTAGCAATAATGAACAACAAGCCTTTTAAAATATTTGATCAGGGATAAAACTTCCGATCACTGTAAACATTTTCTATTTTTAATTCTAATTCAATAAAATCTAGCGTGATAATGTCAGGCGAATACAGTGGGTTGGGTAGCACAACCCAGCGAAGCTCTAATAATTTTTGGCACGTCTAAATTGCTGAATTTAGTCTTTCCAATTATGGGCCATCATCTTATAGGTATACATACCTTCTTGAGATGTAATCCGGCTTTTGAGTTGTTAACAGTAGATCGCTGCGTTTTCCCCAGGTCTTCCTTTCTGCACATTGTTGTAAAGGATGCAATTTTCATCCTCAGCTATCAATCTTTTTAAAAATGATTCGTTTACACTGCGTTTTAGGAGGGAATCGCAGATGGAGATGCGATCCAATAAATCCTTCTCAGTCAGTAACGCCAGAAATATCTGAAACCAATATATTGCTCTGAAAAGGATTCAACTGTTCGTAAAAAGCTTATATAATATGTTTAAGTCTCTCTGCAATGCCTAGTGTCATTGAGTGGGGGTTATTTATGGCAGAAGCTTGAATTTGGTTATCAATAACAATCACTAGATGTACACTAGTACAAGGCCAGAAAAAAAAATAACAATCAGTCTTTCGAATTAAAATTTACGCTTCTGAACCGAGTACCAATCATCGGACGTGTCTTTCTCCTAAAATGACATCACCATACACATCACAAATTTTCCTAAGAGTCTGAGCTGCGGTTTTCCCTTGGCTTAATAAAAAAACCATTAAATGGCGAAAAGCACTATTTTTAAATTAGTAAAACATCTTATCAGAATATGATATCTCGAATGAAACTGAGGAATAAAAGCACTTCAACTAATTTTTTTCAGAGTGTGTGTAATGCTAAATAAGCATTGCTTCAAAACAAACGAGTGATAAAATTGAATTATTGGTGACTCTACTGACTTATTTTTAAGCCAATTCAAATTTTGAGATACTACTTTAATGTAAATGTTTATCTTTAGTTAATTAATTACTTATGACTTATTTTACAAGCCAATAATTAAATATAAATTTTATATTTCTAATAAGTAAATGATGATATCTAATCAATTTCCATCACAGATCATATTTTATCATTTTTGATCCATCAACACCTATCTCAAATGGTGTTAAAGCTTATGTATCATTATTTTCGAATTCCAAAAAGTCAATTTCTTCTAATTTATTAACCCATCAAAACTAAATTCTGCAAAATTTTGATCATCATTATTCTGTCAATACCCACTGAATTATCTAAGGCCTTTGACACTGCAAAAACCAAAATTCTTCTCATTAATTTTGCATATAAAGTTTTGATGCTAATCAGCTGGAATGGTTTTCATCTTATTTAAATAATAGGTATCAAATCGCTAAATTGTTAATCTTTTAAATTCTATTCTTAGGGTGTATCTCAAGGCTCGCATCTAGTTCCACTTTTGTTTTACCTTTTTATTAATGACTTTCAACCGCTTCTTCTAATATTAGTTTTCTACTCTTGGCTTATACACACTTGGTGATGATATCTCTTTTAATACCTCTAAATGCAGCCACTTCTAGTAGAACTATCAGACTGATTTAAAGCTAATCTATTCCATGAATTATCAATCTTTTACCACAAGGTGATGTAAATAAAGATTTAGGAATTCACTTTGACCACCAGTTATCCACTGAAAACACTTGGATTTTTAATTCGCCATATAGAAATAGTGAAATACTGAAACCCCCCCTTATATTTTTTGTTCGCCCAACACTTGAATTCTCTTCTACTGAGTGGTCTCATTTCTTCTCTGAAATTCAAATTTTTGAAACGGTTCAGCTCTTCTTTCTCAGGTACTGTAGCTAGTTCTTGAACCATAACTTTCATTATCATTGTCTATGTTTGTACTGAATAATAATAATAATAACCTGGTGGAAAGGGGAAGAAAATTTGACTGAATTGCTCTATTTTGAAGTTATTAAACAATTTTATCTGCCCTGAACAGCTTTCCTTGATAAAATTCAATATTGCTTAATGCAATACACGTCACTGCTGACTACCAGTTCTCCCATCAGAGTACTGTACTGTTTATCTACGTTTTGCTTTATTATTTTATGGGTAATATTTTTTTTCATTTGTAAAATATGTTATTTAGCCTGTAATTGTAAATAGGCAAAATTTGAAAAGATCGCAGATGAGCGCGATTTTTTTCTCGACATTCCTCCGCAGGGGGCGCCCGTCAAGGACGACAACCACGTGGAAAACGATTCTCATTTTGCCAGAAAGGGACAAAAAACATAATATATTTTATGCAATCTGTTGATTTTCCCTCGAGATAAATTCTTATAGAAATCTAACCACTCATCAAATTAGATTAAGGAAAAAATCACATGTGCCTTGTAAAACTGGGAGCATTAATTGATCTTTGTTTTAATTTCAGGTTAAATATATGAAGAAATTTCAATTAATATTTGGCTTTTGATTAACTTAAGTTTAAAACATACAACAAGCCATTATATATTTGGAAAATTGATTATAGTTTTATGAATTTTTTCTTTCTTGTTTTAAATTAATTTTGTTTGTTTAAATGACTAAATCTTGCTTGACTTTCAAAAAGGAAATAGTTTGTAAATATTTTTCAATTCCCTTTTGCAAATATTTGAAGAATGTTAGAAGCAAGGAGAAATCTATGAAGAGAAGAATTCTATGCGGAAGAAAGAAGAGACCGATATTTCCAAGAAGAGCGAAAATTAAAAGATGGTCGGATTTGATTTCTTGTAATTAATATTTTAAATCTAATTTTAAAAAACCGTATAATTGTAAATTTTCGAAAAACTACGCACCATCGTTGATGTTCTACCTGTTTGTAAATTGATTTCGACAAGAACAAAAAAGAACAAAAATTTGAGACGTAAGTCACGTGTTTGTAAGAGGGGGGAACAGATGATCTAGTGAGCATTAGTAGGTGGGGGAGCCGCCATTGAGAGATATAAATGGAATTTAGGCCTTGGAAGGTAAGGTTTACAGAATTTTATTTATTTTTGATAAATTAATAATTGTTTTATGAGGGTCGATGATTTCGAGTGGGTCCACCTCGACGTGTGACATTCTTTTCCCTCGGTGTTTTTCGCCTTAAACGAGATCCTTTTGAGTCGGCCAAAAAAAATTGCCAACATTGAATCCGTCCTAAATAACTTTGCCAAAATGGCTACGTTGACATTTATTATGGTCCTGTTTCCATGAATATTTAACTCTTGGAAAATTTGATTTCGACAACTGTTGCCTTTAAAGTTTCCGCGAGGACCCGAGCCCTTTTTATTTTTCGCTTGCGACTTATTTCATACAGAAATGCCGATTTGACGAGAGGTGAATGACCTGCCGTCGTTAACGTTTCCCTCGTTTTCGACAATAACCAGCCTCAGGGAGAGTGAAAGTGATTAATTTTCTATTTTTCCGTTGTAGGTTAGCCAAGGAAAATAGCTATGGAACCGGAGTTCTGCCTGAGATGGAATAACCACAAGTCTAATCTGACTGATGTCCTTTCGAAATTCTTAGAGAAAGAATCCCTAGTGGATGTAACACTGGCTGTCACCTGTGATAACGACGATTTCAAGACTTTCAAAGCCCACCAGGCGATACTGTCTGCGTGTAGCCCTTATTTCGAGAAATTATTCCTCCAGAACCAACACCCGCATCCGATCATATTCCTTAGGGACGTTACCGCAGTCGAGATGCAGGTGTTGCTGCACTTCATGTACAATGGGGAGGCCAACGTGAAGCAGGACGAGCTGGGCGGGATACTCAAGACGGCCACCGCCCTGCAGATCCGAGGGCTGGCCGATTCCAGGGAAGGGCAGAGCAAACTGAGCGAGGAGGGCCTTTTCGAACCAGGCCCTAAGCAGCGGCCGTCATCGCCCAACGAAAGGCGAAAGAGAAAAATGTCAAACAGCTCCGAACAAGCTGGACCCTCGTATCAAGGAAACGAAAAATACTCTCCTGAACCACAAGTAAGAAAATAAACCTTTTATCTTGTTTTACTTTTAAAGACTAATCAACTTCAATCGTAAGGTTTGTAAAGTGGTTGACTACATTTTTGCATGAATTGTGAATAGTATGTAAGTTGGATATAGATGAAGTCGGGGTATGTACTATGCCCTTTGATTGTATCCCCATTCTGTACCTATAACACAGCAGTGAGTCCTCAAGAATTGACTAGCAGGCTCAATGGTTGAATTTCTTCTACGGTTACGTTTTGTATCTCAGAACACTTCATGCAAGCAGATGAACCACAGTTTGTTAATAGATATTTGGTATCTCTTCTACTTCCATTTAGAATCTACACTTACCGTGTTGAATTATATCAATATTCCTAAAATGCCCAATTAGCCCTCTGTATCCTGTTAGGATTTGAAGTTGTTTCCTGCTTCCTTTAATACATTATGTTGCTTTTTCCTGTCAAAACTCGCTAGAAGGTTCGTGATATGTTTGTGTACAATGAGTAAATTCCACTGTTTCTTCTTTTTCATATTGTTTTTTTATAAGATACTCATTGATAGGTAGATTCCTTTGGTACAGAAGGGTAGTTGGCTCCTTTCCTTGCAAGGGTGTACGCTCTCTCTTGTTTCCCTTTATTTTTCCTAAATGTCCTGGGGTCCTACAGAGAGTAATTTTATTTTGAATACCCAATTTATTTTATTTTATTTTGCAATTCAGCACCATCTTTGAGCCAATGATGCTCTGCTGACTGCCTGGCATGACACTGTGTTCTTGTTTTTACCCTTTGTTCAGGTTGAATTGAGTACATGTTTCAATTGCATGGACTTCATCCTGGAAGATACTGGTGTACTTTTCCCATGGGTTCTGAACATTGGAATCCAGGACCAAACACTCCTGCCCCTGTGTCTAGATCCAATGTAAGTTGGATTTAGTGAGTGAATTTTGGAGAGCAAATCAAGTTGACTTCAGTTTTACACCACAATTTTGAAGATGTGGAATAAAGCACAACTTTCCCCACAGCTTATTTCAGCATAGTAATTCAATTTTATTCAAAATTCAACTTACACACTTATTCACAATTCTGACAAAATAAAATACAGATGGCTGATTAAAGAGATATAATAATTAATGAAATAATCACTTCGCTAACAGCTCCCCATGTCACTTCATAATTTGAGAATCGAATTCTGATTACGCGACATTTAAAAATGGCAAAAAGAGGGAAAATAAAAAGTGTTGTAAGTTGAGATGAGGTGTGTCCAAGTAGATCGAAGTCACGATAGCTCAAGTGGTTAGAGCAGTGGCATATTGAGCCGAAGGTTGTGGGTTCGAATCCCGCTGGTGTCGCTAACTTTTTCATCTCAACCAAGACTTGAAATTATTTTTTATCATCAAACTTCTAAAGATAAATTAAGTTAAAATATTAAACAATTTACATTACGTTTTGCATGAGAAATACCACAATAATAAACCACCTCAACCTTAGCTTAGACCGTGTTCTCTAAAGATCTTATGGTTATGAACTGAAAAACTTGTTAATTTGGTATTGTAATTTTAAAGTCAACAGGTTGTTAAAATAATTTTCAACATTGCTCAAGAAATAATTCTGCATCCTCCGAGCTGGATAAGTAAAAAAAAAAATCAGGATTCATTTTTAAAGTGTATTCCACCATGTTTGGGTACATATTCAATTTTTGTAGTAATTTTTTTTTATTGTGCCCACACAATTCAATTTAATTGCCCTAGAAAATAGAACGAACATCATTCAAACTTTGCATCTAATAACTAATACTTGTGGCAGAGGTTGGCATCAGCCAAAGGGTTGTGCAAGCCCTGCCAGGAGGCCTCTTTTATCGAACTCAAAATCATCCCTAAATCACGTAATTTGCTATTGCGGGTTCTAAAACAGCTTCTTTCTATATATGCCGAAAAGGAAAATTTATTCTAGTAGTTACCACTATGAGTTCTTTCCAGCAGAAAGAGCAGATAACTTGAGCCCCGAAGGGTTCTATTCTTGTTTATGGATACTGGAAGTACGTGGATATGACATGTGTCATGAATAACAAATTGTTAGAACGTGACAACTATTATCGCAGTTGGTTGATCAGTTCTTTTGATCCAGAACATAAAGACGATTTTGCCATGGATGTACTATAACGGATTCGATAATGTCAGCAAGAGATTGGGACACCTTGAGTTTAAATACAGAAACGTTGTATACTATCAAAAGATCTAGTCTAGTCACAATATTATTTACAAGGATTGTAATATTTATTGTAATAAATGCAATGGTAAGATACTTAAATTATAAAAATTATATAGATACTCTACAACGCTAGCCGTTCACTAGACACAGTGGAACCTCCTAAATAATTCTGTTATTAAACATTTGTTTGTACTTATACTTTGTGTGCAACTTTTTAGTATAGTTAAACCTTAAGATGTTTTTTCAACTTTTGCTATTTATTAGAGGGACCCCATAATGTAGAAAATATACATAACTTACATAACAACACAGCATTTTATTTTTTTTATTTTTTACTTATGAAAACATAATTAACAACATTCCAGCTTGGTCCACGTAAAGAGAAGTTGTAGCTATTTCATCCATTAGCAATATTACAACATATAAAAAATATTCAAAACAAAATAAAACTGACATAACCAGCGGGAAAATGTAAACCAGTAGATCAAGCTACATGTTCACCTCACAAAACTTATTGTTTCCTCATTTATTTTTACTATGTTCAATATTTTAGTCACATATTTTAATGCGTTGACTGCAGGTTCTCTTGAGCATGATAAAATGATTATATGAAAATAAAAATTCTCAATTTTAAATTTATCATTTACATGTATGAGTCACTCATGCCAGGAAATAGATATGACGTGCAGGTGCGACTCACAGGAGTGAATATTCATTATTTTATGTTACTTCAACAAAAAAGAGAAAAAAATTATACTAGCTACTTACTTTACCCTGCTTAATCCAAATGTACTCACACATGAAAACTTAGCAATACATGTGTTAAAGGCTTTTTTTTTGTACTTAAAAAAATGTATATGTATAGTTCATTAGTGATTTGGTTTGTTTAAAATATGTCCTCTTTGATTGGTCAGTACTTATATTAAAATTACTTCATTTTTGCAGGGCGGCTACAACTCAACAAGTCATAGTTCACAATCTCCAGCCAAATACCCCCAAATGCCATCTCCAGAACCTCCGGATCCGACAATACCTGTAATTAAACATGAGACAGTTAACATGGACGAGGAGTCGGTAGATGACCAGCAACAATCAATTGTAAGTAAATAGAAAATTTACGATTTGTTTTAAATTTGAACAAATTAAACACAACTTAAAAAATTGTAATTAGTGTTAGGATGTGTTGTGTGGTGTATAGTTCTAGGAGGTAGATGTGTGGGGGACGGAGCACTAACGGAGAGATTTGTGTGTTGACAGACTGAAGATAGTGGAGGTGGCGAAGTTCTGAGAGGCTACCTGGCGAACCAAAGGAATAAGGTAGATCTCCCTAAGTTAGCTCTCCCCCACACATCCGCTTTTTCGTCTAGGCTCAGGTGCCTAATGGCCCCTATGACCCTACACCAGCAATCCTCCCAAGTCCAGCTCCAAGCCCAACAGAATCAGCAACGTCCCCAGGAAATATCCGTTATACAGTCTATAACCGGATCCCAGGCCCGCCTCAGCACTCCAAGGAAGGGCGGCAGGTTTCGACCCGGTTGGCTTGAAAACTACTATTGGCTTCAGTACGACGAACAACAGAATATGATGTATTGTAAATTTTGTCGCAAATGGTCGGGCACCATACCTGAAATGAGGACATCTTTTGTAGAAGGAAACTGTAACTTTCGACTTGAAATTGTCAATCATCACGATAGGTGTAAATCTCATCAGCTCTGCATGGCCAAGGAGAAAGACAACACAGAAAGAAATCCAACAGATTTATCAAGATCCGATAAACCCCCTGAATGATGTACAAGTAACTTTCCATACCCCTAGCTTATTGTATGTTGAGAACTGCTTTGATGTCTATAGAATTTGTAAATTTATTATACTTTGGATAATAATTGTGTTTTAAAATATTATTTTATTAAACAATTTTTAATATTGGATTGAATTTCTGTTGAATAACATGTATAAACACAAGAACTATTACTTTTGTTAAACAAGAAAAGGAAACCTTTTTTATTATTACTACGTGTTATTAATTTTTCATTTTTGAAACAGCAGTTTTCACAATTACTTTCAAGCTCTGTGCGTATGGGTTTTTTGACAATTATATACAATTTAATGCTAAATTTGTCTTAATTCAGGTCAGTTATGAGCATCTCAGGTTTAAACTAAAATACGGATTGTTTAAATTGTTCAAACCCAAAGTTTGTTTATTCATATTATTGCTGTAGAGCTTAAATTGCTTTGCATTATTGTTATCGCAAGTTTTTTTTATGTTAAAATTATATTGCTCATTAAGAAAAGCTAACAGAAAATAGAACATTTATGAGATTTTTTTTTTATATATAGAATTTACACTTTCATTTTTCATGTCACATATGTCAGTGTTAAATTAGTAAGGAAAGGTTTTATGTAAGCTTAATCATAAAAAGAGAAAAAAATTTGTGATCAATTATTTTTGTTTATATATTTCTTTCATTTAAAAGTTAAGTTACTTATTGTCAGAATCAAAATTTTAATTGCATCCAGCAATATGATTTTAACATTCAACTCAGTGTTATAGTCATTAATTTGTATGTTAATGGCAATTTTAAAGCTTAGGTCTTAAGGTTTGAGTCATTGAAAATTTTCATATACCAATAAAATTATCTAGGAACATTTCTCGGTGCCATGGTGATGAACATGACAAAATTCAAAATTCGTTCAATAGACTGTGATAATTGGTGCTTTGGAGCGTAGTCTCGGATAAGTTTTTAAGGATATGAGCATTAAGTAGAAAAAGATGTGTTAAATCAGACCTTTTCTTTATTAGATTAAAAAAATTGTTTTCAATATTAAGTAATTTTTTTTTTTTTTTTTTTTTTTTTTTAATAAAGATCTGATTAAATTGTTGTAATCCAGATATGTCAAAACTAATATTTGAAAGTCAATGAAGTCTTATGTGTATTTTGCATTTTACAAAGTGCAAAAAGAAAAAATAATAATAATTTTATAAGTACAGTTTTTTATATGCCTACTGTGACATTATACATATTTTTATAAATTTTACATAATGTATAACAAATATTTACCCTCAATTTTGCATTTTTTTAAATCAAAGTTACTTTTTTTCTCCTTGATTTTTTTCTGTTTAGTTCACATTCCATTTTGTCTGGAAAAAAATATCAAAATTTAATGTTACCAGTTTATTGTATATAATATCCAATAGTTTTATAAATATTAAAATAAAATTATTAAAAATGCTGCTTGTTTAGTTAGCTATGTGGGCTGTGGTCGTATAAGAAAAGTATTGGTTAGAAGATGGATTTAAAAATTTAAAATATTTTTATTTTTAAAAAAGGTCTGTGATAAGAAAGAATTTTGTGATTGCTTATTCTAGTAAAAATTAAGGTATACCAATCATAAAATGAGTACCAAACAATAACAGCAGCATTTTTTCAACAACAAAAAAATATTTTTCAATTAACATAGTATTTTAGTAATTCTTTTTTTATGTGTATGTTTAAGAAAATGATAGTGTAAACCTTTAGTTGTATTTCATTAAATTATTTTTGTTATACATTGAAATAAATGTCATTCATTAATTCTAGTTTTTTGTGTTTTTTTTGTACTTGTGTTTGTATAATTGCTGTTTATAATCAATTTAAATTTCCCCCCTTGTGTTTTTTATTATGAATTGTGTACAACCAAGTACTAATAAATTTGTAATTCACTTTGCTCAAAAGGGAAGAAAAATGAATTTCTTACAGAATTTTAAAAAAAATTATTTGTCATATTGAAAAAACAGATTTTGTTGTAATATTCAGATGAAGACAGTATATTTCTTTTGTCTATTATTCATTTCCTTTTCTAGTGTGAACATGTTTAACTAGAACAATTTCTTTCTTATTTTAGAATTACACATGTTACTTTCTTTTTCAGCGGTAATCATCAAACAAACAAAAGCAGGGTTTTGATATAATATTAAAATGTTATATAATCAAATAGTGTTTTGCTTTCTCTGAATTATTTTATAAATGCGCAAGTTTTTTTAATAGCCTTGCAAAGCTTCCTAATGTACAAGAGAGTTGAAGAACATTTTATTGTCAATCCTAAACAATGTATGTGACTTACCATGTACATTTCTATAGAAAGGATATTCTTGGTCATATATTTTTATAGGCTGTAAATTACAATAAAATTAAATGTCACTAATATTTTTATTGTATCATTATATTATTTTTCTTTGTGTCTGTTGGAAGAAAGATTTCAGTGGCTTGATCTCGATTGCAGCCTGACAAGATAAATTTTATTGTCACATTGAAATATTTTTCTGTTTTTAAAACTTATTTATTTGGAATAATTTATTGTCCATCTTAATTTTGTATTATGCAATTGTATAAATGCTGCTTGCTGCAGTATCAAAAAGATTTTACCTCATGATACAGTAGTATAAATACATTTTAAGAAGAACAAAAGCAAATAATAATAAAACACGTCAGATTAGGTAAGGTTGTGTTCTATTTTACAGGACGATGAAAAGGGCGGAGGGGGGCAAGGGAGTTCAATGAAATTAGAGTTTGATCAAGGCTCTATACACGACACAGCAGATCTCCTTGATGGTAAGTTGTAACTTTTTCCATTCATAAAGGTCTTGTGGGATGAAAGAATAAAACTGGAAATCATTTTTTGTCACTATGTGTATATAACTTAATTGAGACATAAAATGATTTACCTGGCAAAATTCCCCTTTTAACGCTTGTGGTGTTTTTCCCCCATGGGCTATACTCACAGCAATTTATTACGCACAATAACAATGGTTTTTTGTTATAATGATGATATTGTGTCATTAAGATTAACTATCCCCCAGAAATTTTTATTCATTCATTGAGGTTTATTGTAAATATCGCGGGGCTGGGTGGTCTTGAGTTTGGTGTTTGTTGTGGGTTTTCACAGGAAAAAATAAAGTTGCACTGGCAAGCCAAATACCAACAGTAAGCCCTCTTCACTTTAACAACAAGGACAACGAAACGATATTCAGGGCCGACCCAAAGACTCCAGAAACGTTCCTTTGCCTTCTTTGTTCGAAGACAGTGAAAAGCAAATGGCACCATCTTCAGACACACTTCTCCCGGAATCACAAATGCCCTTACTGTGATGCAGTTTATTCTCGAATCGATACCCTTAAGAGCCACACAAGGCGAATTCACGGCCTAGCTATTTCCAGATACCTGTATGGATTATTTCCATCGCTTTACCCTCTGCCTACTCCAAATAGCGCACCTTACTGAAGACACCAAAGAATTTTTAAAGAATGGAACCAGTTGTAATTAACAATTTTCTCTTCGTATCTCAATTATTCTACTTAACTGATGTATCAATTAATATTGTGGATTATAAATTGTTACTGTATTAACCAAACTGCATGTTGCTCATCATATCAGTGTTATAATAAACCAAGTAGTTAGCATATGAAGCCTTTTCTGTGTTTATTCAGTACTGTCATTACGTATTTCATTAATAAAAATAAAAACCTGTCAGTGTTCAATGTTACTTCATATTTATATTGAAAAGTGAATCAAGAATAAGAAACCATAATTATCTTGCCTTTGTATTTACAAACAAATCAGAACTTCAACCATGTTGTGATGCTTTCTAGTCATAGTAAATGCATTTGAAAATGTTTTATTAATCTTGTCGGTCTTGTTGTAAAAACCTAATAAAATAAGTGTTTAAGCGATCCCAAATCCTTCCATGGTAAAATTGTCCAAGGTTATGTTTGTTATCATTTGTGAATTAAGGTTTTAAAAAGATATGTAAAAAGCAAACAAATTTTATATTTTTATTGTGAAATTTAGTGAAGAATTTTAATTAAAAACAAAAACAAATGAGTGTGGCAAAAAAAAGCGTTTGTTTTTATTTTTTAACATTAGGCGAAATAAAGATCCATGATTGCAAATAGCCCTTTATTATATTTTTTGTTGTAACCTTTACTTTTGATTTCGAAGTATTTTTTTCTATAATTTTTTTGTTTTAAAGAAATTGTGGGGATGTGTGTGTGGGTGGAGAGAGATTGAGTTTGGTGTTTGCGTATTTCTGTTGCAGTTAAGAGGAGGCAGAGCCCAGAATATGAGACTCTTTTCACGAAAATCTCCCCCGTCCTCTTCAGGTGCCGAATTTGTGGCAAGACTGTGAGCAACAAATGGCACCATGCGAACAGCCACATACCTCGCAGCGCAGCTTGCCCCTACTGCCCTCACGTCTACACGCGAAAAGATAATCTCAAATATCACATAAAAAACAAGCATTACCCACTTGCCATGTAAATAAATAATGGGTTTCCCTATCCATCCAAATCACCCTTCCTTCACAAATTAGGAGGGAATGAGAAAATTAAAACAAACAAAAAATAATAATTCCACGAAAATTATTCCAGGTTAGAATGACATCCCAAAATTTGCATGTGTAGGTTTGCTGTATTTTTAGCTTTACTAACAGCTTGTTTCCTATTCTAAACTAACTCTGTTGGCCTCATGTTTTTTTTCTCTTTATAGATGCATGTTATTTGTACATATATTTGTCTTTTTCTTATTTTTAATCAAATTATGTGTTAGTATCCATTAACACAAATGTGTTACCAATTTGTCTATCAAATCAAGTTCAGGCAAGTACTTTTTTTTATCACCATTTACCGTATAATCTTGCCTCAAGAAGAAGAATGAAAAACCTCTACGGAAGAGACACTGCAGCTTAAAAGTTGATTTGCCTCATCAAATATGACAATTTTACGTAAATCACGAACTTGATTTACAACAGTTGGTGATACAAAATTTTTTCTCCTAGAACAAAGTTTATATTGTACTCTTCAACTAATGGTTGATCTTTTTGAAATGTGATGAAATAAGATTAGTTGTTCAAAAATACGCTGTCATTATTTGATAGTAGCAGAAGAGAAATTATGTGCAAATTTCAGTATATTTCCTCTATATGACCAATAAATATATTTNTAAATATTAAGTATATAAACATTAATAAAGCTCGTGCTTTAATGTTTCCACGATTGGGATATATCTACTATATAGTTTGATTGGTAGAGCCAAACCACTAAAAGAACGGCATTAAAATATCCTAATTTGGTTCTTTAGCCACCAAATAAAATATTACAAACGTATATCACAAATAAAAGTATTAATTAAGTTATAAAATGTTATAGTGACAAAATATATCACAAGGATACACAACTAGCTTGATGGTCTCTGATCAAATTTTCCTTACCTTTGGTTTCGAGAAGGAATATGTAAAATTGTCTTTGTTATGTTGGTACTTCAATGCTATTATGAAAAATAACACCTAGGCCAACTGCTGAAGCTGTGTATGTCAAATTAAACCTGATCAGGCCATACATTGCTCCGCGTATCTCAGGAATGTAATCAAAGATGAAATTTGTCGTAGTAAAAGCAAACATGATATTTCCGTTAACATGTTCATTGCTGGTCCTACTTTGTTTGACTTGTCAAGCAGATATATTTGGAAAAATTTGAGAGCTGGAAGCCACCAAGGTGTTATTTGCAGTGCACGTGTTAAACACCCAAACATACCACTTTGTATGTATTAGAAAAATTGTATATATTGAATTTCTAAAAAAGTAATAATAATAAATTAGAAATTGCTATTACTTAATCTGCCTTCAGATTCTATTTTTTAAGCATTATAATAAAGAAAAAGTTTACTCTGAAATTTTATTAATCATGCTTACATAAATAATGAATGATATATAGGCTGCTGCCACCCAAAATTTTTGATTGTACTCAAATACTTTATGTACTAAATATTGCAACTGCCTGAATATTGTTGTGATATGAAAATTAGATACACAGTGAATAATGTATTTATTAATAATACACAGTGAAAAAGGCAAAAGCAAAGACAGGCAAGTCGATAAATGCGTGGTATTTTCTTGTTATTTGTAAACATTACCTAACAAGTGGCCCAGTGGTTTGGACATCTGACTCATTAGCAGTTCTGGGTTCAAATCCTGGCATAGCCCAAGGATTTTTAATTTTGAACAGTATGAAAAGTCTTGTGAAGTGATTTGACCCAGGGGGCTGCGGTAGTCAAATGGTCAGTAGGATAGACTCTTGGCTTGTAGACCTGCAGTTGTAGGTTCAATCTCCACCGTCGCCCTTGCTTTTTTTCATACTACCCTTCCTCCATGAAAAATGTAATATTAAGAGGTGTATGTCCCCACTCACAACACTCAACAGATAATTAAGCCCTCCTTTGTGGCAGATCTTTTTTTTTTTTTTTTTTACTGTTGCTCAATTTCATTTTTCTTTTTGAGTAAGAGTCAGCAGCTAAATTTTTAAGTTGTGTTAGGGGTTTCTTCCTATTTGACAAGAATAAGAAAGAGCCAAAGAAGCCAATATTGATTTTGTAAGTTTAAGGAATTCTTGCAGATTCCTTCAAAAAAATCTATTTGAAGTGATTGTTTTATAAGCTTAGAAAATACAAAATGAAGTATGTCTTCAGCAACAGTCTTTACGGATCTTTTATGTTTGGAGTGTAGGATGTAAATTTTTATGAATGACACGTCTTGAATTTCTAAGGTTGTAATTTGGTGAGGAATGCTTGTATTTGGTCACTTATCCCATGATTTTTTTTTAAATTCGGATGTGAATTTTTACCTACTATCGAAGTACTGAAATATTTATTAGTATCTGTACTAACACAACACACAAATGTTAAAATGAAGTAGAGAGACTTGCACATTGAAAGTATCGATTTGCTATTTTGTAAGTTTTTGTTTTGTGCATGAACTAAAAAAAAATATGAATTTTTAAAACGTACAAAAATTCTTTTGCATACCCCTTGTTTTATTTTTAACAAACTTTAAATATAAATTGAACACTGTAAATAAACGGTTTGAAAGATTTCACAAAAGAAATTATATGTACAACAGATTCTAATTTTTAATTTTTTTCTTTTTTTTTGTAATATTATTATTTAAGATAACTAAAACATGAAATATGAATTCTCATACAGGTTCGAGAGCAATACATATGAAAATGGCGTTTGACCGGCTGCCCGGCTGCTCAAATCTACATAGATGTAGGCTTTGTGGCAAAGTTGTGACACACATTAGGAATCATTACCACGTACATTTCCCAGGAAGGTTCGTTTGTCCCATCTGCCAAGCGACGTACACGAGGAGCGATAATCTTAGAACGCACTGTAGGTATAAACATTCATTACCTGAAGCCTTGCCCAAAATATCGACATCGGACTCCAATAAGAGCTCACCTGACATAAGTACAGACGGGGCAGTATGATTGTTACCCGTCTCTAAAGAAAAAGTCGTACACACTATAAGGTATTCTTTTTATTTTAATTTTCTTCTGGGTTTGAGTGCAATCATAACGGGTTTATCGTTGTAAATACATAATCGAGTCTAAACAAAATGTGCAATTATAAAATATATTTTTTCTTTTTAGTTCTAAATGGGTATTACGATGCCAGAGTTAATTGATATTGCTTACAAAATGTTAATTATTTTATCATTTTATTATATTGATGTTTTTGTTTTTAAATGGTTGATATGTATATAAAAGTTATAAATTTGTAGAGATATATATATAATATAAATATTTATTTATAATTCTTATACGTATGGAGATATATATTAAATGTATATACTGTTTTTTAACGTTTATTGTTAAATAAATTGATTATTTTCAACATAATATTTATTTGGTCTCCCATTATTTTCCTTTAAATAAATTTTTAACATTTTCCTTAACACCTTCCTTTCTATATAGGTATACAATTATTTTTACCGATACAACTGAGTAGAATAGAACAGTGTTTATTTCTGCAATTGAAAGAAAATACAAAATATTTTACCCTTGCCCATGAAACCAAATGGGTAGTTGGATGGTCATATACATGAATTATAGTACATATAAAAAGAAACAAATTAAAAAATAACTTTAAAAAAGAACCCATTGCATATAATATTAGAGGGAAAGGAATATCAAGAAAATTAAAACTAAATATATGTACAGACATGTATAACATATGTACTCATACATAAACATGTTGCCAAAAAAGCCTTAAATAGGCTATTAATAAAAGGAATGAAGTTCCAAACAGTTGAATAAAATTCCATTGTTGTTAAATTTAACTCTTAAAAATGTATTATTATTACTTATTAATATTAGTCTCTCAATAAAGCATCATTATTTATTATTAAAAGGAATAATTAGATTATTATCAAAAGGAATACAGCAAACTTTGATTGGGGAGCCTTATTATTTTATTCGATTAAAAGATATATTTCAAAAAGTGTGTTCAGTAAGAGTGACAAAAATTTTAAAAAGCACACTGTAAGTGAAGTAGAATGCCAGAAAATTTTTAAATTTTGAACTTAAAATCTGTGACTTAAAAAAATGTTATTTAAAGAATGAGTTATGTACTAAACAATTTCAGTCTGGATGAAAGCTGTTACACTGGCGTACACCTGTAAACTTTACATATTGGAAGATTTGATGAAATATTTCAAAAATTCTGTGATGAAATTCCTTAGGCATTGGTGAATTTCAAAACTGCTTCGTTATACAGGGTGGTTTATTTTTTAGTACTACAAAATTAAGAAAAAGTGAAAGAAACATATTTAATTACTTTTCCTCTGGTTTATATTTAAAATAGATGATTATTGTCTCTTGAAATGACCAGAGTTTGGAATGAAACTTTTGTTTTTCAAATAGAAAGTAAAAATTTTTTGGAAGTATTTTCTCTTTTAAGAATAATGCAATAGAAAAGTTTGAAATCATTCTCGATTAACAAAAATTAGATCCAAATGAAAAAAATAATTTCTCCTAGATACTTGTTATTATTTTCAGGTACATAGTCCATAAAGCATGCTTTCATGTAAGCCTGTTTCAAAAAAATCAATTTTTTTAACAGACTCAAGAGTAAATATATAAAGTAATGTATAGACAGTATTAACATATTAGATACGCCATATTCTACAAAACTATTAAGTCTAGTCTGTTATAGAAGTTGTATTTGTTGTGTTAAAATTGAGAATTTGCTTCTTCTTTTGTTATTTTTTTTTTTTTTTTATTCCAAGATCATTGATAAAATTCTAAACTGACTCCTTGTAACTTAACATTGTCAGGTAAAGAAACTACTATGAAGAAATGAAACTATTTTACTTTTGTTACCATTTTATTAATGGAGCACCAGTATTGAACAGTGGGAAGAGTTTTGCAACAGTGTGGAATCAGTAGCAGAGTTGATGCATTTGAAAATTATGAAATTGTCATCTTACAAGGAAAACTGTACATCCAAAAAAGCAAAACCATTAAAATTTCAAAAGAGAAGGACAAGAATTAACCCTGATGAGCACAAGGGGAAACTAATTAAATATTGCTGTAAACAATTTTACAGCCAGGATAAATCCTATGACAAAAGGAAGTTCCATGGCAAAGCAGCAACTAGCCCCAATGACACCAGAAGTGGTAAGTTTAAACTTTATGAGCTTATTCAATTGGAATTTTTCCTATTTTGGTCAATTATTTTTACAATATTTAGGCATTACCCTCAATTTTGAGAGGCATTTCAACTACCAAGTCCAGAATCTCTATATTGTTACACATCCTCAAGAGCATTGTCCATTTCAAGAGGTTCAATGTCCTCAAGGAAGTTACGTTTTCAGGATATGAGCTGTACTGAGGATAGTTTACCTTGTGTCGCTAAGAATAATAGATTTGTAGACATGAAGTGCCTTATTGAGGCCATAGAAAACCCACCAAGAGGAAGATGGGCTGAATATAAATAAAACTTTGATCACTACAAAAGTTGTGTTCCATTTATTCCTGTTCCATTAGATTTAGGAATTATAATTTTTTTAAATTATTTGTATGGTCTACAATGTAGAACTGTCACTGTATTTGTCGGGGAATATTATCAGTAAACAATTATATGGCTATAAATGTTTTTTTGAAAATAGATCTAGGAAAAAAATATATTTATATCTATTTATCTTCATTATTTTCAGTAGAATACACTCAGTTTTGAATTTTGATATCATGGATAGAATTCAAGATATTGATATGAGAAAATATGTAGTTTTAGTCCTGTGCCTCTTAAAAAACGGTAGATCTCTAATCCTGTCACACTCACAAAAAAAGTTTATATAAATCAATAATTAGAAATCAGAACTGATAGTTTACACAACTTGGGAATTATAATCAATCATCAATTCTTTTTTTAATGAACACATCAAAAAATTAAACACAAAGCTTCAAGAATACTGGGTTTTACCAACCGGAATACTAAACATTTTACAAACTTAATCACCCTTAAAGTTCTCTATCGTTATCAAGTTCAACCCAACTTTGAATTCTCCTGTTTTCAATAAATAAGATGATTATTACAATATTCTGCCATCGGCCCTGTCACACTGCACATTCATGCTAATAAATACATTGAGTTTCTACATACACAAGGAAACACAATTGATTTATCCACAAGTTTTAAGTTCTAGTTTAGACTAATTGCATCCTGAACTGTACTGATTCCTGTAAATAATTTAAGATTATCTGCAAACATTAAGACTCTAGCACCATAGAAAATGCGAGTGACATCATAAAAAATAGGAAAAGCAATGGGCCAAGGTGTGAACCTTGGGCTACTCCGGAAGTTTCTAAAAAAAGGATTGATTTATTATCAGTCCATGATTATTTAAATAAGATTTAACCAAAATGCCCACATATATAAGTATTTATATTTTGTGTGTGTGTATAATTGTTGAAAGTGTTGATTTATTATTGCATTCATAAATATTTAGTAATTGAAATATTCAAATGTTCCCTCCTAAACGCAAGTATTTCCTATAGCAGTTCAAAACCTTCTTAGCATTGTCAAAACAACGTGTTCCCCATGTAAATACATTTATTTGTAGATTATTTAATAAACTCGTGAAATGCCTGCCGGAAAAATAAGGATTGTCCCTTGGCTGACGATGTAAATTGTGTAAATAATTTTAAAAAATTCTGTTTAAATATTAATAAATGTTTTGGTGTTATAGTCAAGAATGGCTTGAGGTGTACAACAACGCTTACTCAGGTGATCTTCAAAGCCAGATCAAAGCAGTTGAGAAAATTGAAGAATGGAGGGACAGGTGAATTGAATATTCATTTTTTTAAAGCATTTTTACATAGATAAAATAATCTTTTGAACATTTAAACTTAGGAATATGCATTGCCCACCTGCTGCACTTCTCACCGGATCAATTTTATCCACAGTAGTCAAGGACAGTGTGTTCCACCCGAATGTGCAGGAAGCCCTTGGAAAGAAAGATCTCGAAGTTATATATTCCACGCATATCATGAGGTCGCAAGACAACCCAAAATACCATTTTATACTTTCAAAGAACAAATCGGACACTTGTATTTATTTGTTTATTTGCCATAATTGAAGTGCTCTTATTGCACTACGGAACCGTCATTTAACGGCTTTATTGATAGGTAGTCAACTCCAAATGTTCCGTTATGCAAGGGTGAGCTCTAAAACAGTCATCAGAAGGCTTCAAGAAAATAGCATAGACAGGCACTAGATGTCCCACATCAGGTTTTTTACTTCTGGAGATGCATCAAGTAAATATGCAACTATTATAAATCAGCATCTCGCTTGGACACTTGAACAATGGAGGGAGGCTGTTCTCTTCTCTTGGTTTTTGTCAATCAGGTGACCAGGATCATGTGGAGTAGACATGGACAACGCTTTTCTTCATGAGTCTATGATCTGCCTTTATGCCCATACCAAACTGATTATCATACAAAATGGATCTTTGACTACTACATTGAGCTGTGGTAAGTTGTCCATTTATTGAGGACAACTTAGGCCTTATGTGCTTGCAGATTAGTCAAGTTGATTATTTCATCACATTTTTAGTGTGGGAAGGTTAGCATGAAAAGAGCTAGGGGTCTACAAGCCAAGAGTCTATCATGCTGACCACTCTGCTATGGTTCCCATCTATGTGTTAATGCATAATAATGCTCGACCGCATGTAACTCAACTTGTCACACGTTACTTAGCGTGATGTTAAAGAATTAGCCAACATGTTATGCTAAATTGAATCCTACAGAGCACATGGGACATAATAAAGAGACAGGTTAGACATCATTCACCATCTCCAACAAACGTTGAACAGCTTTAAACCACTCTTGTAGAATGGCATTCTGTTTCATTAGACGAAATCCGATCACTTATTTTCTCAGTGCTTAAGAGACTTTAAGGCCCTCTGCGAGGCTAGGGGAAGTAATATGTGATATTGAATGCAAAATTAGATAGTAAATTGTTAGTTAAATTTTAATCAATCACTAAATGGTTGTATGGTTTTGGTGAATTTTCTTTCAGACCATCATAATTAAATAATTTTTATAAAAACTCAAGAATTTCTGATATTGTTTAATTTGGTTTACATTAAAATAAGTATGGTGTAATTAATATAACGATAAAATACATATAGTTTGAAATAAGCAACAAAATACGAGTGTCGTTTTTGTCTTTAAGTGTATATTGTAAAATCTATTTTTATTTGAATTTATATTTTATATCAGGTTTTTGAATATGGCTTTAGAAGAGAAGTATCAGAAAAGCGCTGATTCGTTGTACTCGAGGGGTAAAAAAACCGGAATACCTGACTGGATTGTAAACCTGAGGCACAAAGTGGCCCACAGTTACAGGCTTCCAGCATTGGACTATTCACAAAATGCGGTCTGCTGGGTTTTGAACTATTTGAAGGTAATCGCTTGGCTTTTCAGTCGGTGAGGTTTTTATTTTTATTTATTTTTTCATTTGAAGGAGAACTATTGGGAGATTGAAAAGAAATCGATGAAGGAGTACAGGCCAGAGAGACCTAAAGGGCAAATTTTAGAACAGAAAATCAGAGGCCTGCTTGACATTTATATACTGCTGTTTGAACAGAATGCAAATGGAATCAAGAAAGTTAAGATGATACCAACTTCAAAAATGAGGTGAGATTAATAATTTTCTAGTGAAATTTCATCTTAAGATCTGCAGGGTGGTGAATCTAGTTTTGCCTTGACCCATCATTTTAATCTGCCTTTCGAATATGGCTCCTGTTGACTCCATTGGTCCAATTCCTCAGTAAGGGCGAACAAATATTGTTTAAATCTCATGTTTGATAGGCATAAGAAGTTTTTAGAATACAAAAAAGCTACTAGTTTTCCTATTTTGTCATTAAAGCTGATGATTTTTTTTTTCATTACTGGTTATTCTGACGTAAAGATTCCCAAAGAATACTAGCTATTGGTCTCAAATTTTAAGACCAAGTTTTCATCTTTCCTCTTTGAAGTCAAAAGGTTACCACTGTTTGATATAAGACCACCTTTAAGCTAGTTTCATACAAGGCAGTTTGGTTGATTGAGCTGCAGCAGTTACTGCCATGTGAAGACATTTTTTTTGACTGGTTTCAAACTCGGCAACTTGTGGAAACTTCTTCTCTCCACAACGGTAGACCAGTACAATGTTAAAACCCGAGAAAGCAGGAGTACTTCTTGTGTTTACTCTTCAACAAAAGGAGAAAACCCAGTTGAAGAAAAGTGTGGGTTCTCTGTTCTTACAAAATTGGGAAATATCACAATATTATTCTCGTGCCATTTACATCCAAACTTTGCTCATTTTAATTTTGTCATTATACTCTTCACACTCTGTATTAGATATTTGAAAAAACTCCTGGTTAGGTAGAAAAAGACTAAAGGCACAAGAACTAAGAGCAAGCTTTTTTACTGCACTGAAATTTGGGGATTGCAAAATGTAAATAATATTGAAAAGGCCTAATTAACTTCTTTTTTTTTAAGATTACTTAGCTTAAACAATAACCCCTCTTGGGTAATTAGAACATAATTTACTTCACTCTTTGTATAAAATACTTAAATTTGCTTTAAATTGGGAATTAAAATATTAAATGTGAATGATTATAGAGTGACTAAAAAATGCAATCTTAAATCGAAAGAGAATCATCGCATAAATAAGCTAACTAAATTCAACTTGTATTCTCAACTGTATTGGATGCTTAAAGGAGTAATTACAATTTCAATGTTATTAGAATTAAAACAACTAATTAAAATCCCAGTAACATTAATTTTTTTTTTTTAAATTGAACATCTAAAACAAAATGAATAATTTTACTGTATTTCAATATTAAACATTACACATGCTAAGAGCCGTTAAAGCGGACATTGGTTTATGGACTACTTCAGCTAGACTGTCAAGAAAAGAAGAGTGTGTACTAGCGAGACACACACGGATTATGCATGGGTATTTGATGGCACTTCCGCCTATGTGCTTGACATGTGGAGTTTTAACCACAGTCAAGCATATATTGATAGAATTTAAGATATATAGAAGGGCATGCATGAGCAGTGGGCTACCCGCTTCTCTTCCAGAATTGCTAAATGAAGGAAACAACAATATTAAGATTATTTGATTGAATTTTTAAGGGAAATAGAATTGATTGGGAAAATCTGATTTAAGGGATGGAATAAAGAGGTGGGATCTGGGTGACAATGCAAGCCCCAGACCTGGGGGCAATGTGGATGTAGCACAGCCCATGTACATCGTCAATAGCGGGTACTGCAAGAAGGATAAAGTAAAAGTATAAATGTTGAATATCTAATCCTTGAGAATGCCGCCCATATGCTCCCTGTGAGCAAGAGAATACTGGTGCAATTTGTGAACTTTTGGGTACCACGGTGGCTGAGTGGTTAGAGTGTCTGACTTGTATGCTAGTGGTTCAAATCCGTGCAGAGTCCGTGGCTTTTTAATTGATAATGGTATGAAAAATGCATTGTAAATTGGTTTGACCCCCTTGCCCGCAACACCCAATGGATAGTTGGACCCTCCTATGCCATGAATTACTTTTACTTTGTGAACCTTTTGAAGACGATCGACACCTGATTTTAGCTAAAATGGCAGAATGTCTCTTTTGACAGAGCAGAAGTTGAAACTTTTATATGTCTGCGACAAAACTTGAATGCTACATACTCACGAATGGCCAAAGGAATGAGTATAGATTAATAACTGGGGGAGGCAGCTCATATGAAAACCTGACAACGAGTTTGCTATTGCTGTCCCCCCCATGGCATTACAGGATTTTTCACGTGACCATCAGACAATAAATGCAGCTTGTGCTTTTGAGTACGGCAAAATTGCTTATCTTTCCAAAAGATAAGTCGACCAATTCTAGGTCAATCCTCTACATGACAATGCTCGGCTGCATAAGCTCAACTGGTTCAAAATTAGCGGAAATGAAATGCACATGACTATCCTCCTTCTATCCGTTATTTTTACCTTTTTGGGCTCCTTAAAAAAGCATTAGAATGACAGCGATTCAGAGATGATGCAGGGATGGAGACCTTTGTGTGCAATGTTCTGGCATAATTCTGGTTTTTTTACTGAAAAAATTGATTTTTAAAGTAGAAGGTTGAAAAATGCTTATGCCTTGTTATTTTATTGTGAACTGTCAAACCTCTCATTGTTTAGAATCACTTTTAAATAACTTATAAATGTGTTGGACTTGCTTTCCACTAAATTAAATCTTGGGAAGCTTACCCCTTGCCAACTTGTCAGCAACATCGCCCTGTATACCATACATATTATTCTCCTAAAGCCTTCTTCAGCAGCCTCCTAAAAAATGTACTCAGTATACATGTAAAATTTTCTAACATCATTTCATTAGGTTGTATGAATATTGAGATATTAATGTTTTATAAAATCTACATCAAATAATTAAATCCCCCTCCATATATATTTTCTTTTTTTTTACAATGGATACCAGGAACTGGAGGAGTTCCCTCCTGAGCACTGCAGCTGTACAGCTTATTGTACTTTATTCCTGGCTCCATTTTTTTGGGAGCTCGCAACACAAGTGTGAATTTGAGCCCCCGGTGTGCCGGTGTTCTTCCATTGAAGAAACTCATTTTTGAAGGGGGTTGGGACCAAATTCAGGGTCGCTGAGATCCGATCCCGCTCCTTCCATTGATGAGTGCCGTGTCAATTTCTTTCAATTGCCGCCACCGGTCCCCTTAGGCATCAGAAAAAGTCCAGAGGCGACATTGGGGATCGAACCCACAACCGCGGGATCTACTAGCCGAGAGTCTGACGCCTTAACCACTCGGCTATCGCACCCCCCTCCATTTGGTCATTAGCAATCATTTTGGTCAGCCTAACTTCCATGCCAGCAAAACTGGCAAAGCAGTCTGAAATGATCAAACATCCAAACTATGCGTTCGTCATTTTGCAGACCCCATGAAGAAATTTTTCAATTATATTTTTTTATATTGACTATTCATGACCTTGAGAAATGTTCATTACAAAAAAAAATTAAAACAATAATATTGTATTACTTTATATTTACAGAAAATACACTAAATGTCTTTAATCACTAAGTTCTTCTTCATCACTAAAATACGAGTTTTTTTTAATCCTTTTTTTCTTCACAAAATCAGATTTATTCTCACTTTCAAATTTAGCCTGTTCCAGTCGTATTACAGCACTTAGCGTTTCCATGTCTGGCTCCTCGCCCTCTTCGTCTGTCTGTCGTTCTTCATCATATTCATTTTCTTCCTGTCTCTTTTTCCTTTTTTTCCTCTCTTTCTTCTTGGGCGGTGTCCTCGAGCCGAGCGAGTTCTTTGGACACTGGTAGCTCAAATGGCCCTCCTCGCCACACTCGTAACACGTGCTTTTATCCGGATAGAACTTTTTCTTAATAAACTCGGAACTCCTTCCGTTGTCTCTGGCCATGCTGCATTTTATCCTCCTGCTGTGCATCTCTGTACCGTCCATTGACTTGGAGCACTGGATGGCGCTCTCTCTATCCAGATACTGAATGAAGGCGACCCCCTTGCTCCTCCTGTATTGGTCTTTAACTATCGTTACCTTTATCACTTGGCCAAATTTGGAAAAGATCTTGTGCAGATCGTTATTTGTGAGCGAAAAGGCCAAATTAGACACATAAACTGTTGTCTTGCTAGGGGCCAGACTGCTATTCATTTTTTTGTTTAAATATGCAACATAAAACACATTAGATGGACAATTCTGATTAACACAAATTAAATTAACCAGTAATTACTACTAATAATAATATAAATAAACCCAATTTTCATGTTTACTACTATGTTTATGTTCAGGTTTCAACATTGTTACCATTTTGTGTACATTTATAACCTCGCGATCGTTTATACTTTATTGTTAGGGCACATGGCTTTCCTTATGAAAATATTACCAATAAAACAATTGTTATTAATAAAACAGTATAAAACAAAAAATAATTATAATTAATGAACTTATCTTGATTTAAAAGAAATTTGATAATTTTTTTTTGCTATCGCATGGAATCCAATTTATATTTAATGGAACGCAGAGGAACTCTAACGTATGAGGCCCAAAATGCATTAGAAATAAAAATATATGGCATGAAAATAAATGGTGTGTTTAGTTAAAAAAATGGCTTTAAATTGAGAAAATTAAAATGTCAATTTCTATGTCCTACCCATGTAGAAACAATTATTATTAAAACAGTATAAAACAAAAAAATGTAACTAGTGAACTTAGATTGATTTAAAAGAAATTCAATAATAAATTGAGAATTTTTTTTACTTATTTTAATTGTGGGCCACATCCATGGTCTTTCTTCAGAACTTACTATTTAGATAAATGGAACTCCAATATATGAGGCCAAAAATGCATTAGCAATAAAAATATATGGCATGAAAATAAATGTAGTTAAAACAATAAAATAAAATACCAATTTTCTGGATTTAAATTGAGAAAATTAAAATGTCAATTTCCATGTCTATTCATGTAGAACCACTCAGTTTTTAATTCTAATAATTGTTAGTCCAGAAAGTTCACTTTTTCTGGTTTTTTATTTTGTGAGAAAATGCCTATTAGGATAATTCTAATTGTTTCTCAGTCCAAACAGCACTTATTTTGTCTGCTTTTACTTTTTCACCTCTGGAATTGAAGAATCTATCAGAAAGCAAAATATTAATTTCCTTTTACCACCAATGCTACTCACTTTTCATAATAAAACAGTACAAAAAACAATTGTAGCAACACGCCCGGTTGGATTTATTGTTTAGCTTGTTCTTCTGATATTTACAGACTGATAAACTAACCATGTATGAGGTATAATGCTTATATAAGCAGAAAAAAAAGACTACTTGACTAGTTGGTCATCACTTATAACATTAAGGCTAACACCAAATCAGGATGGTAAAAAACGACTATGAAGCTTTAGTCTTTTTGTATTTACTTCTTCAGGGTCATTTCTTCCACCATGACCTAAAAGATCTATAGTGGAGTTGATGCTTCTTTATGTATCAATACTGCTTTTCTGAAGCGGCTGTACTCTTTCTGAGTTAATGTTTTGAAGTTGAAAAAGTCATGTTCTGATGTTACTGCCTCTACATGATAGAGTCGGCTAGTTTTTGTCTCACTTTCCCATTTTTGAAGTGATGATTGAATGGGGAATTACCAAGGCCTATTATTTTCCTTATTTTCCCTACTGTGAGGGAGGTAAATATTTGTTTTCTTGGTTGATATGTTGAACTTCTTTGTTACTTTTGCAACTGGTGAATTCATCCAGTGTGTTGTCATTTCTTTTTCCACCCCTTAGTTTAGCTTAGCGCGCTTTGGGGTGGTTCAAGTCCAAAGGGCATTAGGGATACTCCTGCCTCTGCTAATTTGTCAGCCTGTTTATTTCCTTCAGTACCCACGTGTTTTTGTACCCAAATCAGAGTTATTGATTATGTTTCCCAGAAACTGGTGGTACGTTAGGCATTCCAAAAAGTTTGAAATGAAGGTGGAGAATTATGGTTTTCAACGTTTTTTGGTATGAAAATATGTATACCTGTGCAACTTTTAATCCTTTTATAAAGTATTTATTGTATAGAGAGATTGTATGGATCTCACCTTGGAAAATTGATGGTTTGGGTCCTAAAGGATTCCTGCTTGTACTCTATGTTCTGTTTTAGATCCATCTGTATACTATAATAACACCATGCTTTTAGTCCCAAAAATATCTCATTATTTTTATTTTTAAGGATCTGTCAAAATTTTCTTTCAATTTAATTTTATCTTATATTTTTGTAGCCATCTCATTTGACACATCACTAATGATCATATTGATTTAAGTATGTATGAGGTATTTAGTAAAGCTAACCAGATCAGGATGATAAGAAATGACTATGAAGTTTTAGGCTGGTTACTGTAATGCCACTTTTGAAATAACAAGCAATTTTTAAATGCTGAAATTCTTAAAAAGAGTATTAGATGGAGTCAATTCAGAATATATTTTGTTCATCTAGGAGGTTTTTCAATCAAAGGGACCCTAAAAAAATCCTTGTTGCTTATGACTTGCACAATTTACTGATTCTTAATGTGGCTCCAGACATGTGGGATTCGCCAAATGCCGAGCAAAGGGCCGCCGAATCCCAACTGGAAGGGCTGGGGCTCACCTTCCTCAACTAAGTGTCAGTTTTCTTGTCCACTTCAAAGTGCACGAATATTCGTGAAGTAGCCGAACTCAAAGCATCCACAAATTCGGGAATCAATTGCACTGTATATAAATCAACTGTAACCATCAAGTTATTATTTACTGCTATTTATTTTTTAAAACTAAACAATTCCTAACTAGAATAGATGTATTAATAAAAGAACAACATAGTTATTTCTGTTGGCCCAACTTTACAGTCTTGGAGTTGCTCGATCTGAACCAAAAATTTGGAATCCTTCTCTTCCAAAATACAAAAATCGGAACAATGTTTTTGATGCGTGGAAATAGATCTAAAGTATATACTTCTATTTTGTGCTATTTATTTTTCAATAATAAATGATTCCTAACTAGTATAGATTTATTAATGAAAGAACAACATCGCATTGTTTCTTTTGTTTAAGAATGGATTGGCCCAAGAGTAGTCTTGAAGTCCTTTGATCAAGCTGAACCAATAATTTGGATCTGAATTGTACTCTGTCACTGATTTGTGACTAATTTTGCAGTAACCGCAGCTTCACTGTTGTCCATTACGATTGGTAGTAAGCTGAGGACTCGTATGGCACTTGGTGAATATTTGCTGTTTCTGCACAAACTGGGTGATTGTTAATCCCTGCATGTGTGTATATGTTTATTTATGTTTTGTAAAGACAATTGACCAATCAATGTAAGGACTTTCAGAGAAAACCATTCAACCCTTCTCTGGTCAAGTTTTTACTGATAGAAACGTTGATCTAGTTGGTCTAGTAGTGATCAGAGTTGTAAAAAGGTGCTGTATTAAAAAGAAAGTGTGATTGCAGAAAAAAAAAAAAAAAAAAGAAAGGCTCCAAATACTTTATGTACTTGTTATTTAATTTGCTCATTTTATTAGAAATCATCACTGATATTTAAAAGTTCTTTTAACATTATAGTATAATTATAATTTATATTTTATAATACATACGTTGTTTCTAGGACAAGAATATTATCATTTACAAAACATATTCCACAAACATTTGAAGCAGAAACATTAATGTGTGAAGAGGAAGCGGCATTGAATGTGGATATCAAAAATTTTAAGCGATCTGACTTAGTGAGTGCTATGGGTATAATTTTGGGCTATTTGAAAAGCTATTTAAAATGGCCTTATTCTTATTTCCAACCTGTTAAAATCATTATAAAACATATGATTGACGATGCGGAAAGTCACAATGGTAATTGATTGATATGTGAAGGTATTTTTATGTCTTGGTACAATTATAATTTTGTGTTGTTCAGGCTGTCGTTTTGATTTATGGTCGCATGTTATCAAAATGCTGTACGTAAACGACTATTTCCCCGAATTCATTTTAAATCTGACGTATGATGTTTTTATCAATGAGAAATTCACATACAGAGGAGACTATTCTGCAAAGATGCTTATTTACCTTCTTGAAGCTTTGGTTAAGAGGTTACCACATCAGTTCATTTTGAAATCACTTGTTATTTAAAATTACCTAACAATCTCTTTGACTTTTTCAGAGGTAAACTTGAAAAATTAAAGAAAGACCTATCGAAAGAGACACCCAGACCCAGCAGCAAAAAGAGAGTTCCTTTAAAACTGTCGTTATTTGAACAGAAGATTCTTAAAAAATTACATCTTCGGCGTAATCTCAACTTAAACACCGAAGCTATCAAAGCTCGTATCGCCATTTGTGCAACGCTCACGGCAAGGATCGAGAAAAAATATCCGACGTTGAGAAAGGCATTGAGGCTAATCGAATACAAACCTCTGAGGGATAGCGATTTGATAAAAATTCTCAAAGTGATTTGTGATAATCCAAATGACTTTGCCAACAGATGTATCGAATTGTAATTATTCTGGATTATTTAAAATTTAGATATTTCTTTAATTAATTAATCATTTTTATAGATTGTTCGAGTTATTCCAAAAGGATATACAGAGTGAGAAAGATGATATATTGAAATTGCTTAAAGTTTTCCATGGCGAAGGACTTTCGATTAAGAAAATTAACAAGATATACACGCTAAAAAAATTATCAAAAGAAAGCAGCGAGGAGGAAATGCTTGCGATAGACGAATCAGAGGAAACTTTAAAAACAGAAAAACTTCTCAATGAAGATGAAGATCAAGATCTTGAAACATCTGTAGATACAAATGAACCCTGCACGGTTCATCAAGAGAGGTCAAACTGCCCCTGGAGGACCGTGAATGGTATGTAATTTTTTTTAATTATTCAGCAATAATTGAAGCCCTGGGGCACCATTATTCGGTGCTACAAAGGCGCCGAAATTTTCTATAAAAAATATTAATATTTTTCTGTTTATAAAAAACCTAAAAACTAAGACCCTGGTGGCCATCCAATCTCAATAACAATTTTAACAAGTCAGCTGTAATTGTGTATTTTATATTATTGCCCAAAAAAATTATTCACTTTTGTATTTTTGCTATTAAGTGCATAATGGTTTTTCAAAAGGCCAGTTTTGCAACTTCACAAGAAAGTTAAGAATTTTGTTTATTTAAATAAAATAGGTGGGACACATCGAGCAACCTTTCTTTACATGCTGAACATATAAGCTGTGGTAAAGTAAATGTCCTTTTGGCTCAAAATTAAATGTCCATGTGTCAACTTTGTATGGTGGATTCTTAATTGAGTGAGAATGATCCTCTTGTACGAGTCAGATCCTCCGAGGGCCATTTATTGACAGTGCTTTTGATAAGCGAGAGCTTCTCTGCCGACCCAACTCACCATTTTCTTTTTATCAAGTTTTTAATCAAATTTTTAGATTGAAGGGTCAGATCATGGTCTAGAATTTTGTACATACTGGCCTTAGCTGCCTCGTCCACCTTTTCATTTCCCACCACATATGTGGAAATGATTTTTTTAATACCTAAAAAATTTTTATTATTAATTGTTATTGCTATAATTTTTTGTTTTTTAAGAATTTGATTGGGTCTCGTGTCCAATTGATTCACTTCCTTGGAGAGAGAAAAGTCCTTTTGAAATATTGCCTTACACTGGCGGCACCGACAATGAAATTAGTTTCATCAGATTCAAAGGCGACACCAAAACTGACTTTTTTACTACAGTCAACTGGAACATGCCAGAAAAGAGGAAAATAATCATAGAGCCAATTGAAATATCTTCAATAGAAGTCACAGACAATGACAATGTCGTAGAAGAAAATGAAACTGAATTAACAAAAGAATCTTAAGACATTTTTAATGTAGTAATATATAGGTGAGGTTTATACAACTATATATTTCTTTACTTGTGTTAATTTTATTTATTTGTTTTAGGAAATCCATTTGTCTTTTTCCCATGTGTCAATATGAAAAATTGTCTTTTTTTATATGTATATTATAACATGTTTATTAATTATACATTTTGTAAATATTGTATAATATTGATAAAAGTTTTGAGTTTTGATGTATAAGCAATTCTTTATATACAATTGTTCCAATTTCATCGTAAAAATTCACCTCCACTTTGTTTTTATGTGAACTCATAAAGATGTTGCAAATCCAATTAGTTGGTTTTGAATATCAAAAGTTGTATAATAACTTGCTATAAAGGAACCTCCTAAACTCCACATGTCACTTTCTTCTGTCTTTTTGAAGACTGTCAGACATACTTTAACAGGTCCAAAATTGACCTAAAACCAAACAGACAATAAAAACAAAAAATTTATTAAAGGTAGTACTAATAATTTTTAAATATATACCTCTTGTACGTAATCTGGTCCTTTAAGCGTAAATTTCTTGCCTCCTATAGTGAATGTTACTTTCGGAAGTTGATCTACACGGCCACATTTAACCTGAAAATTATCTGAATTAATTTATCCATTGTATTATTACGTTTTATCATTGTAAAATATTTACGGTGTAACGATTAAGGAAAAATACTTGAGCTCCTATGTATTGGTTAATACTTTCGATTTCAGCAGACGGGCCTGAAATCAAATTAGAACCCGTGTCCATATACACATTGCATCCAGACTGACAAAGAACAAATTTAGGACTTATTGTTATGCTGAAACATGGCAAGTCATAATTACAGGATAATAAAGATACAGAGTATACCAAACTACCTTTGCATTTTGAACATCCATATGCCATTGGACTGTGGTAGGACATGTGTATAAGTGAACTCTCCTTTGTAATGCTTTTTATCAATACCACCAAACATAACACTTCCTCCTTTTGGTGTGTTTGGGTCTCTGAAATTTAATTTTTATTTTATTTTTTATTTATTTTTTTTAACCAGCATTGCATTAATAACTACCTATTTATGTAAATTGAGAATATAGGCTTTTTTATCAGGCCCTGTTCGAGCATAGCGGTCACGATAGACTTGGATTTAAACATTCCAGAGTTCGATGCAAGTCCGACGACTCCATCACATATCGAGTAAATAAAAGGAAAAAACGGTATTTTGTCCACAACCCCGAAAGATTGGTTTTTGACTGTCGACATGTCAAACTAAAGCAAGTTTTCAATTGGAAGTTTTGAAGTACAATATATATTTATTTTATATTTCATTATTTAATAATTATTTTTATATTTATTTATTTGAACTCACAGACAAATTATCTATCCAAACTGTCCCAGTTAAAATTGTATTTTCAATCGGAAACCGAAACCTTTGCAATGTGTTGGTGCCATTTTTTCCTGTATACTTATTCCTAAATTCTTTTACACAAAACATTTTTAATTTGTATAACTTTTTTTTTTAGTAATATGAATCATGTAAACAAAAACAGATTGTTTACAACATCTTGAAAAGGACTTACTGCAAGTAATGCTAGCAGAGCTACAGTTTACTGAAGGCACCCATGTGTTTCCCCAAGCTGTATCGTACGCGACATTAAATGAATCTTTTCTTATTTTCAGTTTTCCATAATATTCATTCTAAAACAAAAAACCACTTTTAAAAAAAATAAACTAAAATAAAAATTTTAATGACAAATTTTTACATCAAATAATTTGTAAAGTTTAGCCGGTACAGTTCCATTGCCCGCCTGGCTTTTTATCGATGAAAAAAATGTTTCGATGACCCTCGGGTGTATGCCCTGTTTTAACATGGTAATAAAGATAGGATCCTGCCTTTCCAGTGACAAACTGCAAAATAAAATGTTCTTTACATCCCATCTATAATTTACTACATAAAATGGCAGTCTTTTTAGTAGTATATTTTTTTTTGTATTATATCTTTTTAAACTTGAATGGTAAATTACTGGAGAAAGGACAATTGAAACTTCCCCTTGAGGTATGCAGGGTGATGAACTTGTAGTTTGGTCATTTATATTGGTCTACGTTATCCCCACTGTTTTAGCCTGTCATTCGTGTTTCAACTTCTTGCCATCACTGATGACAATAAACGAAAATGTCATTTACAATTCACTAAATCAGCGAGGATAGACATACAAAAAATGTTCATAAAATACCAAACTACAATTCAGCTGTGAATAAAAAGTGACTGCAGTACTAATAGAAGTGATTGATACATTGCAATCATAAGAAATATTTATTTAGAAATCGTGAGATGCAGTCTGGTGTGATGTAGGTTTCAGAAAAACATTTTCTTTATCGTGCCAACGTTTCGATCTTTATTGAGATCATCTTCAGGGCTTGGGATTTACAAACATTGTTTACATATTACAATTACATTTTGGATGTGGAAAAGTGACAATGTTTGTAAATCCCAGGCCCTGAAGATGATCTCAATAAAGATCGAAACGTTGCACCATAAAGAAAATTTTTTCTGAAACCTACATCACACCAGACCGCATTTCACGATTTCTAAATAAATATCGATTAACGGTCACTAATCACCACACATAAGAAATATTTGTAAAATTGAATTAAAAAATAAAATGCTTCTTGGTTTTGTAAGAATGGTGAAATTTTGATTTTTTTCTTAATGGAAGAATTGTTGTAAGTTTTTCCACTGAATTTGGAAATTCACCATCAGTTTTTACGACCCTAGTACTCACTCCGTCTAACTTGATATTTACAAAACCAACTGGATTAGACCGATGTGATGAGATATACAAATTCAAAATCTTGCAAGCCTCAACAAAATGTTAAAAGGAGTCGCTTATTTATGGCCATACGTACCATGACCAATCTCCATTATTACCTAAAACTCTTCATTAAGCTTCGAGGCATTTTATCAGATTCCAGAGCTTTTTTAATGAGTGTGTAACCATCAAGGTTTGTCCTCTCCCTGGTGTAGGAAATTAGGAATTTCAGCCTGCACAGGCCGTCGCACCGACAAAGACATGTTCCGCTGTTTTTTCTTCTTTCTGGCCATATCTGCACAGGCTTGGTTCTGCCCCGAGTCTACAGTGTCCAGAATGCAGCCATCCTTCCAGTCTTATCATGTCCTAAGTTAGTTTCTGCGATGATATTTTAATGAACTTTTTCGTATACCCCTTTCTTGGAATACAAACCCATTGAACCAAGGAATTATTTTTAAACCATTGTATGACAGATCTACATTTTCAACAATTTGGTATGTTGCAAAGTGTTCAGGGCTGATAGATGCCATCAGGCTTTCCTTGGTTGTTACTTTCCTTGTTGTTCCCAATGCTGGAAACAAATATGATTCAATCCCAAACGGCTGTGGAGTTTATTACCAATATAACTATCTCTTAGGTGTCAGACTAGAAGTCAAACCTCTTTACAAAACTCTCCATATTATTCATGATTAAAATTCCATGAACTAGGTCGGAATTTCAAACCCAGGGCCACTGGTGGATGCTGTAAATTTTAAATGTGTCATTTTATTGTTTCTTTGAGACTCAGGCTTTTTGAGAGGAAATTATACATACATATATTATGCAGAGTGGGCGACCGAGACCCAAGGGATTAAAAGCCTAGGTAGGCCCGTACCCCATCCCTAAAAGGTCCAGGACTTGGTCGGCTCACGAGTCCTGCATAAACTTCTTGGANTTTTCCCTTAATCTTGTTCTCCATGAGTGTTCTGCAGCAAACATTGATGGCCCAGACCTCCGCCTGAAAGACTGAGGTGTTATTACCAAGAGGGGAGATGCTGATCCTTAAATTATACATAGAAGTATCTGCACTGTGACTCTACATGGCATCACGAATCACTCAATGCATCGTGTGTTACCTGTAACTATTTTGTAAACATACTGATCTACCTATCATGCTGGGTTTTTTTTTCCTACAGGCGCATTTTGGCTTGCCTTCTTGTGGTTGTACTGTGCTTTCATGTCAGTTGTACCGTTTAGGTTTATAACAGTAGGCTGACTGAATTTGAGACAATCAAGCACAAGCTCGCCATCTCGAACTGGCATTTAATATTTTAATTACAATCGCAAGAACTTACTTGCTTTCAATCGTTATAAAACAAAATAACAATTTTACAATAATTTCCCGTTTTCCTTTTATTACATATTATTATTCTTAAACAAAGAAACAAGAGCACCATTTGTAAATAAAAACTTTTTATGGACATGTATGACCACAAAATAAAAATTTAAAAAAATATTTATAATAGCTACCTGACTACCCCATCATTTATTGAATGGGCAAAACATGTCGTACACGTTAAAAATACAAGTGCAAAGCACAACATGATGATAAATAATGTATGTGTTTAACAAGGGACTATATGAATCAGTGTATAGTTTATCAAGAAATGATAGTATGATAGAACAAAGGTCACATGCCATATCTTCATTAGATTAATTTTTTTTTCTCATTTATATAACTGTTTACCAAAAATATATTATTTTACACAAGGTTATTAAGAACAATGTGTGTGAAAAAAGCATTACCAAAAAAAATCTATATTATAAATCAACAAACAATAAAAAAAAGTTTTTATTAAAAATAAATATTGACACATATTTTCCCTCTTTATAAAGTCTATTTTTCTAATGCCATTTTGGAATCTAGTGGAATATGAAAAAGATCAGTTTTATAAACATATTTTTAATTAGATAACTTGTGTTTTTACATATTAAATATAGAAAAAAATTAAAAAAACATGGGAAAAATGTGGGACCTTGAAGAATTTATCATTTTTAATCTTTCCTAACCGTAACAACAATACAAAAAATCAATTTCCTAACAACAAATTTGTGCAATGGCCTTTCCTGTGGAAACGTCCAAGTCATGGCTCAAAATTTCTAAATTAATTTAAAGTTAAAATGCATATCTATATCACAAGTATATTGCCTATTTTGTAATGATAAAATATAATTATTCGTTTCTGGTAATTGCACATAAAAGTTTGTTTCTTATTATCTATGCTCTTTTCCCTTTCTTCCCAAGACCTCGCTCAAGTGTCTGCTCGACTCTAATCCAAAACGGTCCATACACACCCTATCCATAATTGCAATCCTGTGGGTGTTAAAAACAAAAAATCAGAAATTAAAAAATTCAAAGTGATTCTTTACCATCAGATAGGTACATACTTTCCACCTGACATCGCTTGAAGGAAGTTCCAATAAGAAGGCCTCAAGTTATGCGGTTCCAAGATGGCGACATGGAAAAGAATAGCAGTAGAAAAAGCATGGAAAAATATCGGAGCCCAGTTGAGCTTAGGAAAATGTCCTTTATCGCTACCCAAGTTGTAACAAATCTGTAGAAAAAAAATAATATTATTTTTAACTTTAACAAATTTATAACAATTAAATCAGTGTGATGTTCCTTTTTATTATTTAAATTTCATACCTGAACCATTTTCCACATAAAATAGAGAGCGATTGTGTTGTCTCTGTAAAAATAGAATGAGAGCCCTGCTAAAAAGCCAGCAGGAAGTGAATGAATGATATAATCTTGATCATAAAGTCTCCTCATGGTACACATAACTGCCTAGAAGGAAAATAAATCGTTATAAAAACTTATTCATTTTGATTTTATAAAAATGCTAGGGGCTGCTATTTGAAAGCATCAGTTCACCCTGAATATTGAAGAAAATCCTGCAAAACAAGTCGCCAGCCCCATGTTTTCGAGTTTCAGTGGAATCTTCAGGAGAAGATTAGGGTTCTTTTTTATTTTACGAAGATTCAATAAGTACTTGAACGACAACTGAATTAAATATCCAATTATAAATAGCCTGCTCCCAGCCTGTAAATAAACTAAATGAGTTACAATAAATACTGATGTATTTACAATTACTCACACTTAAGGTATAATAGGCACAACTGAATTGATGAGGGCAAGACGGGTGCGACGATTGAGACTTCAAATAAAATACGAATTTCCTCCAAGCGTTAACGAGTTTTGCTTGAACGTTCACTAAAGAACAACTTCCCTTTTCAGATTTTAAACTATACACGGGTACTTCTTCCTCCGGTTTCTTGAAAGACACCTCTTCGCAGGGGCCGACCAACATCCTGTCATTCGTCGATAAGATTCCATATTACAAAGTTTTTGTAACGAGATGTAAAAATTTTTCAAATTACTTCAGCAAAGAATAAATAGGATCTTTTGGAAGACCGATTCCTTTATAAAAATATAAAAGGGTAGCCACAGAAGCGGAAAAGATGAACACTTCACCAAAAGGAATTGGTCTGAATAGTCTCCTATCCACTGCCATTCGAAATACTGTTTCAGAAGCCTTGAAAACACACAAAATACAATATGCGAATGTAAAAAGACAAAGCACGAATACATACCACATTTGTGACGTACAGGCTGAGAAGACCCCTTCGTGAAGGCCTTTCAATTAAAATCGACACAATGCTCGAGAGGAACGACGGTATGAACGACACTGTCAGAAAATTGAAGTTGCCCATAATCCTCCTAAACCGAATCGCCTTTTAAAATAAAAATTCTGCTAACAAACATGCAAAGTTACCTGACTAAACATACTGATGCTGAAAATCCCAAGCCGTGTGATGTGAGAAAAATGCTAGATTGTATTATCCCAAGAAGAGCCTTATACAGCTCAACCTTTGTTGGTACCTTGCGTCTGAGCAATAGTGATATCTGGATAAATCATAATAATTATACATACAACATATTGTTACATACAAAACTGTTAAAATCACAGATTTGCATTTAATATAAACTTCAAACGCAATACGCAAGTCCTATATTTGCATAGATAGCATCTTCTTTGTTTGAGAAAAACAAATTAAAATTCAAATTTAATTGTTTAATTATTTACAATCCCATGGAAGGAAACAACACGTCTGGAATACAACTCAGACATCTTGAAACATTTAGATTTGTTTGAAACCTGAGAAAATCATTTTACTATCTGAAGAAAATTGTTCAAATATATATATATATATATATATTGCAAGTATTTGGAAAAATGGAACAGGAAAAATAATTTGATGCTTCAATACTAATTACTGTCAAACAGAAACTTAAATTATTTTGACCTATGACCTTTAAAAAAAAAAAAATAGGTCCAACCTTTGACAGATACTTGTCAAATCTGCCAAGAATAAGCAGATACTGTTCACGACTGGGATGATTTTTAGCTTGGATGCTACACCGCCAGTTTGGAAAGGCAATAAAAACACCAAAAAATATTAGCTATGGATGAAGAATGATGAATCCCTTGATTCATGCTAGGATGGAGAGGCAGACCAAGATGATCGTTAAGATCAAATTACTTTCAAATAGATAATCTATGGCCGGCTCAGTGGGCAGGAACTAAATGTAGATTATCTTTTCATTATATTAAATATTTTTAAAAAATTGGTCGATCTGGGACTGCTATTTGGAATCTGCCAAGTATAGGCAGATATCTTAGACTGAGATGATTTTTACCCCGTATGCTGTACCGCGAGTTTGGAAAGGCAAGAAAACTTGTATGTGCTTTTTTTATATTATCTTCATGCATGGAACTGCAATGAAAATAAAAATAATAAAATCATTAAAACATCTTTCCTTACAATTTAGGAGAAGACAAACAATCTAGAAATCTAGAAGCACATGTCTACTTGGGTGTCAAGTCAGAGCCATCAACCTTCCAAGCCAATTTTATCAAACAATTATGGAAATTATCATCAAAGTTAAAATATATGGCAAAATTGGGAACAGATTCAAACGAAAAGGAAATAAATTAAAACTATAAAATAAAAACTTGATTTGAACAAATACTCTGGCATGATGTTGAATCAGTTCCTATATGAACCATAGGAAAATGATCATTCTACAGTTTGCTGTATATTATTTATCCCAATTCTATATACATTCAAAGTACAAATTGTTAAACTACACAATGTTATTGATATCAAATCATTCAGCATCTTTTTCCAAGTTGTCATGGGTGAATAAAAAAAATCCGATAGCGATGCTATGACTCGAACCCATGACCTTTGAACGGCATGACAAATCAAGGAAATAAGCCATTTAAGCTATCTTACTGTTGAGTAAGTGAGAATACGTACACAAACAAAAGTAATGAAAACCTACGTCTTCAGGATTAAAGGATAATAGTAAACAGTAAAGTTTGCTAAAAGCAAAACTGAACAAATAACTGATGAAAATATATGCTGGATTAAATTGCCCGGTTTTATAAGAATTTTAATGCGACAGTTGCACTGAATGTAGATGGATTTTTTCATTGTTCTATTAAATTTTAAAAAAAAGGACTGGGTCCACCTGGGGCAGATACTCGCTGACTGCCAAGAATAAGCAGACATCATTTGGGATTGGGATGATTTTTTATCTTGGATACTGACCACCATTTTGGAAGCAGCAAAAATACCAAAATATATTAATGGCTAAAAATACAGGGTCAATTCACAGTTGAACTGTGGGAGGAGGTGATGAAAATGTAATTTCGTCCTCACCAATCAGTTTGTATGGCCAGCTAAGTGAGCAAGAAATGAATGTCATGATGCTGTACTGCCAATTTCGAAAAGTAAAAAAAAAAAAAAAAAAAACCTGTAATTTCTTACCGGTCTTTACCGATCAAAATAAAACAGTCGGCCGTAAGGAGGTTTTCGGCTCAGTAAAGAGGAAATAATGTAGATGATCTTTGATGATCATCCTATTATTTTTTTTTAATTTAATTTTTTTTTCCAATAGGTCAACCTCACACAGAGATATCTGCTGAATCTGTCAAGAATATGCAGACATCATTCTAGATCGGGATGATTTTTAACCAGGATGCTGTACCATTTTAGCCATTTTTGAAAAGCTATAAAAACAATATTACTTAATGGATAAAAAATACAGCCTCGATCCACAGTTGATCTGTTGGAGGGGGTGATGAAAATATAATTTGAACTTTACCGATCAAAATCTATGGCTGGCTCAGTTGGCAGGAAATAATGCAAATGATCTTTGATGATCATCCTATTATTTTTTTATTTTTTTTTATTTTTTCCAATAGGTCAACCTCAGACAGATATGTGCTGCATCTGTCAAGAATACGTAGACATCGTTCTAGATTGGGATGATTTTTGGCCTGGATGCCGTACCATTTTTGCCATATTTGAAAAGCAATAAAAACAGAATAAAATTACTTAATGGTTAAAATTACAGGGTCGATACATATTTAAATCTGGGGGGGGGGGGTGATGAAAATGTAATTTGATAGAAATGGTGAATGATGGAGTGAGTGCGGTGTTCAATCCTTTTTTAAAAAAGGAATGTAATTTGATTCTTACCGATCATCTCGGTCTGCCTATCGTCATTTGGATGGACTGTCAGACCGAGATAATCTGTAAAGATTAAATTATTTTCATAGGCAGGGCCTGAGTTTTATTTTATCTTTTTCATCGTCCTATTAAATCTTTTTAAAAAAATGGGTCAACCTTGGACAGATACTTGCTGAATCTGCCAAGCAGACACCATTGACTGGGATGATTTTTAATCATGATGCTGTACTGCCAATTCGGAAAAGTAATAAAACACCAAAAAAATATGATAACAGCTAAAAATACGCTGTCAATCCATAGTTGATCTGAGGAGATGAGGGATAAACCACTAATTTGATCTTTACCGATCAAAATCTATGACTGGCCCAGTAGGCATGAAACCGATATTTACTGAATCTGCCAAGAATATGCAGACATCGTACTAGATTGGGGTGATTGTTGGCTTGGATGCTGTGCCATTTTTGCCATATTTGAAGAGCAATAAAAACAAAACAAAACAAAATTACTTAATGGCTAAAATTACAGGGTCGATACATAGTTAATCTGGGAGGGGGGGTGAAAATGTAATTTGATTCTTGCCTATTATCTCAGTCTATCCTCGCTTGGATGGATTGGCAGACCGAGATAATTAGTAAGGATCGAATTATTTTCTTGGGCAGGGACTTTTTCATCGCCCTATTAAATCTTATAAAAAAATAGGTCAACCTCGGACTGATACTTGCTGAATCTGCCAAGAATGAACAGACACCATTCTATACCAGAATGATTTTTGACGCTATACCACAGTTTAAGACATTAAAAACGCCAAAAAAAAATTAACTAATGAGTAAAAATACAGAATTAATCCAGTTGATCTGGCTAGGTTTTGTAATAAGATATAATAAATATATAAAGATAAATATAAATATATAATAAATATATAATAAAAAATTTTCAAACATTAACCAACAAATAAGAAAATATTATTAGGAAGGGCAATGTTTAAAAAAAATGTACAATACTTATTGTCGATTGTTCTGCCCCCAAGAGGTCGAAGACAAATTACAACAAAGGGAAGAGAACAATTGATATGTTAATTAAAGATTTAAAATTCAAATTTAAACTCTGAATAAAAGTTTAAAACCCTGGAGGAAAAAAATCCAATACACCCACTTAACTCTTCACTGTGATAATCCATACTTGAAAATGATGTATTAATGTCAAAATGAGAAATTTCCTGAAAATAATTAATTTTTCAAAATTGGACTTCACGCCAATTATGAGATTCAGGGCAAGTTTCAAGAGACATGAAACGACAATGCTTTCTGTAAAAAATCTAATTTTCTTATTTTATTTTAGGGTGTCTCCGGCAATAAATTTTTACACTGAGGTGCATTTATTATGAATTTAATTAAGGTTGTTTCATTAATTTATTAAATTAATAAATGTTATTTTTGCCATTTATTTTATACTGAATTCTGAAAAATCTTTCAGCAATTTTTTTTAAAGAATTTTTTTAAAAAATATATATGTAGATCAATTTCTCTTTTTCTAAACTTTCTCAACTTTCTTACCAAATAGGCCGTCACGTATATTCTTAGGGATTCTTTAACGCAGGGTCTGACGAGTGTCAGGGCGGATTGGTAGCACGACTCGTTCCACGGATGAACGTACTCGACGCAGGTGGTGTCTATCGTTTGAAATTTGCTCAACACCATCCTGGATCTTTTTTCTATTTCCGCTTTGTTTTGACAACTGGCTAAAATTCGTTCATCTCTTATCGTCAAAAGCTGGATTATCCGACCGGGGACGTTTAAAAGTGGTAATCCATCGGGAAGGAGCGAGCGCGGATGCGCCTGTCTTCGTATTCCAGGGGCGATCTCACAAAATTTCCGACGGATTCCGAAGGAACGGTCGAAGACGAGACAAGTGGTCTCAAACTTTCGAGATAACTGACGTCCGACAATACGGAGTACGGAATGACAGCCCCGTGACCCCTTCCCAAGTTACCGTTTGAACACTCCCACCATTTACTTACATTTCCCGCGAAGTTTTAAAAATTATTAAATTAATTTACCTCTTAAAAGTTTTCTTAAAATTTTATAATTTAAACGACTGAGCTTTCTTTCAAAAAAAAATTGGGAATGAAAAATTCTTTAAATTTCGTCATACTGTTCACATCATTTTTTTTAAATATGCTTGAGTTAAAAACCCTACTAACTACATTTAAAACATTATACATTCTTTCCTTATTACTTTTTTGTAAACATGTACACATTTATTTATATTAACACTATGATTGTAAAATCAAACTGCAGAAAAACAAGTTCAGTCAGAAATACCATAGACCAAGAAGTCCAAATAGGTGCTGTATTTTTATAGGTGCCCAGACACAAAGATACAGAGGAACTTAGCTGATCAGGCTGCTCAAAAGCAGAATAAACAAAATGGAAAGAAAGATGGACAAAAATAGTAATACATGTGTTGTATTTAGTGATTCTCAACATGACACATCTACACAAAAAACAAAAACTTTGAGCCCGGAAGATGATCTCAATAAAGATCGAAATTGTATGCATGATAAAGTAAATGTTTTTCTAAACCTACATCACACCAGATCGCATCTCACAACCTCCAAATAATCAATAATTAATTCAATTTAAAAAAAGATTTGCACATGACCTAATAAGACTGTGAATGAAGTCTCATTACAAACCCATTCAGTACCTTGCATGAATAAAATGAGACACCTTACATAGGTATGTAGAAATAAATAAATTTACCAGGTGCAAAACAATCAAAGAAGTTCATCAACATCAACCAAGAAAACAAAAATCTCTCTCTCTCTCTCTCTCTCTCTCTCTTAGAGACCTTTTCACAGGTAATGCACTAATTCAAGAAATCTTAATGGCTATATAAAAAACTTCTGAAGTAATGGAGGTAAATTTTTTATGGATACCAGGACACATAATACTCAGGAATGAGTGGTTGATCGTGCTGCTAAAATGAGTGCTAAAGAAGGATTTCCAATAGAAATAGTTCCCTATGAAGATATTATTAATCGTTTAAAAGAAACTATAAGATATAGCTGGCAAGCAATCTGGTACAACACGAAAGATAACAAATTGAGAGAAATCAAAGCTAGTAGACAATAAAAAACAGTAATCCGAAAAAACAAAAAGTAAAAATAACAGTACTTGCTAGGTTGCGAATTGGCCATTGTAGGATTAAACGTGGGCACCTGATGGCAAGGGAACCGCCATCTCAAAGAATCTTGTTTTCTGTAGAAAATATGTGAAATTCTGCGTCGAGAGACTACAGATAGACTTAAGGAGTTCTCACACGAGACTGGATTGATGAACTTAATTTAATTTTTGTATCAATAATTTTGTGTGTGTCTAAATATAATTTAATTTAGGCAGATTTAACCCTAGTGGTTGTTTGCCTATTAAAAAAAAAATTCACGACAGTTTTTTAGAACCAAATGTTAAGGGATTACTGTACATATAAGTTTGGATTAATTTATGATTTTTCTTTGCTAATTTTGTTTTAAATTCTATTTTCAAATAATTATTCTTTTTATGTAAGGTCTTGGGCGAGATGAAAAAGTTAGTGTCACGAGCGGTGTTCGAACTTTTTCTAACTTTTTCATCTCAACCAAAATCTTAGATAAAAATAATAATTAATTGAAGTAATTAATATGGTCAATTAGACCAGTAAACATAAATGGGCTATTTTCAAATTTGAACTAAACTGGCGCTCTACTCATGTAGCAAGTTATAACCATCTTCCAGTATTTGTATAGATGAAAAATTTCATCCAATATTTAGTATGGAATGAAATTCTTTGTAAGCAAATGTATCGGAGCGAATGTAGAGAATAAAAATTAAACAAATTAAAGGTCATTTTAAACGGGGGGTAAAAATTTGGAAAAATAACAGTCGACGGATTGTCCCCTAGCGCTGTAAATAAGTTATAACCGCATTTCGGCATCCCTTTCACCTAAAACGTCAACAGAAACTCGCTGGCAAGTTTCGAGGCGGACACCTCACAGGCCGGAGTCTTGTTTTAGTCTCATTCTCAAAGGGAACACCGTTGGCCCCAGAGTCGGACGCCTACCCAACAGAACCCTGAGAACCCGATCGCCCTTTTCTTAGACGATGGCACCGAAACAAAGGATGCGCTACGCCAACGAAAAGGCGAGCAAGAATGTCACACTGAGAGGAAACGTGCCCAAATCGACGGTATGAATTTTAAAATTGTTTACATTTTAAATTTATGCCCCTCTCACCTGGATATTGGATTTTTTCACTTTCATTTTGACTTTATTTTACGTTTTAAATCGGCATACCTGTATTTTATTGTTTGTTTTATTAAAAAATATTTCAACAACAGATTCATTCCACTTCATAATATTTAAAAAACTATTAATTTATATTAAATATTTAAAAAATAAATAAATACTAATCATATTTTTAAAATAATAAAAAGAAACATTGGTTTATTCATTAACCAACCGTATTTGACTTCTGACAACCATTCATTTTCTTGGAAAGTCGTACCATATGTTATGTTCATGTTCGTTCAACATACTCCGTTTGATCCCCTTTCAATTTTTCGTTTATTTTAACCATTAAAAAAATCATAATTCAATTTTTTTTTATTTCTTCCCTTTGGGTATTTTAACGTCGATCTCGACTGATTTATGTCAGTAATTGACGCGCAGTTGGTCGAGTACCGTTACGTTGATCTGGGACACGCTGGGAAACGTGGATCCTGTACGAGATCTGTAGTGGGGCCGTGATTTTTTTTATATTTTTTTTTACCTCTATTAAATCAACGTAGATAATTTCTCCTGTAACACGTTGCCTAATCGACTTTTTTTATTGATTCATTTCCGAGATTATTCAACACATTTTCTCCAGCGGAAGCGTTTTATTGAAAAAGAAAGCAAAGCTGGATAACTAAATTAAAAATTATCCAACTTCCTTGTGTATTTTTTTTTTTCTCTCTTGGATAACAAATAATTTGCTGTTACATCCTTATCAATTATTACTACAAACTATTACAGTTTGTGAAAAAATTAATTAATCCTTTTAAAGTTTGCAATTATACTTTTACTTACGAAAACATTAATTTTTCCACATTTGTAGTTATGACACGAGAAAAAAAAAGTATAATGTATAAACATACTTTATAAGTACTGTCACAAGATCCATAACTCAAAAGTTTTTTCCCTCTCCAATTCAATATTTAAATACTCAGAACTAAACAGTCCAATACTTTTTCATTTTGGACATTTAATCATTACATTTATTTAAAAAAAATAATAACATAAAAAGTTCAAACTTATTTTATCACGTTTTTGGATATGGACTCTTTCAGTTTTAAGGTTATGGAGGGATGCATTTTAAGTCCTATCCTTTTCTCCCTATTCATTAATGACCTTATAATTTTTTTACAGACTTAAATCTTTAAATGGGCTGAATAATCTTGCTTCAATTTTGTAATTTACTTTCATGTTCTTAATACAATTTTTTCTCTTGCTCTGTTTGACCTCGAGCAGACGGAATTTTCCATGTTGTATGGTTCTTGTAGAAGCAAATAAAGTACCAATTTTTTTCACTTGAATAAGAGATATTTGCTTACCACATTACAATTACAATTAATTAAGGTTTTTAGTTGAGATGAAAAAAAAGTCAGTGGCACGAGCGGGATTCGAACCCACGATCTTCGGCTAGATACAAAAAATGGCAAAAAGGAGGGAAAACTCAAAAGGTGGGGTTGAGATGGGAAGTTGGTGTCCGAGTGGATTGGGGTCACGATAGCTCAAGTGGTAGAGCAGCAGCGTATTTAGCCTAAGGTCGTGGGTTCGAATCCCGCTCGTGCCATTGACTTTTTTATCTCAGCTGAAAACCTTAATTGTAATATATTAATTGGTCAAGTGGACCACGAAATTAGTGAATTTAATGTATGTAGAATGTTTTAACATACTTTAAAATACTGTCATAACTCGACAGTTTTTTCCCTATTGAATTTATTTTTCAACATTAATTTGTCCACATTTGTAGTTATGACGCGAGAAAAAAAAAATATGTAGAATGTATAAACTTACTTTATTAGTATACTGTCATAAGATCCATAACTCGTTTTTTCCCTCTCCAATTCAATCTTTACATACTCAGAACTAAACAGTCCAATACTTTTTTCATACAACGACAATCATTTTAAAAAAAATAATAACATAGAAAATTCAAACTTATTTTATACTACTACCCTGTTTTTTGTCAGTTTCAAGGTTATGGAGGGATGCATTTTAAGTCCTATCCTTTTCTCCCTATTCATTAATGACCTTATAATTTTTTTTACAGACTAAAATCTTTAAACAAGCTGAATAATCTTGCTTCGATTTTGTGATTTACTTTCACGTTCTTAATTGTTGTTTGTAATTCAATTTTTTCTCTTGCTTTGTTGATATTTGACCTCGAGCAGACGGAATTTTCCATGTTGTATGGTGCTTGTAGAGGCAAATAAATTTTTTGCCAATTTATGCAATTTTTCACTTGAATAAGAGATTATTTGCTGTTAGATCCTTACCAATTATTATACTTATAAAAAAACAACTCTATAAAATAAACAGTTGAAGTATGTCGTTACTATAAGAAAATATTTAAAAAGAGTCAGTGATCCCCCTCACTTTGTACACTCAAAGATAAACAAATTCAAATTATTTTTAACATTAATTGTCTTCATATGTAGTTGTGACATTAAAAAAAAAACTGTACTTTATTAACTTTACTAAAAATTAGCATACTTTAAAGTACTGTCATAACTCAAGTTTTTTCCCCTATTGAATTTAATTTTTTCATAGAGATAAACAGTCCAATACTTTTTCATACAAGGACAACCTGTTGGAATATTGACTGTTAAATTGATTTAAAAAAAATGAACATAAAAAGTTTAATCATATTTTATAAAAGTGTATTGTACCATATTCAAATTTTTTCCCTGTAAATTGTAAGGTTGGGCAAGGATAAGTTTTAAGGCTTATCCTTTTCTCCCTATTCATTGATGACCCCTCTCTACAAGTATGTGTTTGTTAATGAACCTAAATATTAAACTGGGTGAAAAGCTTACTTTATTTTTATCATTACTTTCATATTCTATGTTCTTTTATTAAATTTTCTTCTTTACTATTGAATTGTCATCTGGGAGACCAAATTGTCCATGCAGAGTGCTCCTTATATTGTAAATTTATCGTTTTATCTGAATTGATAAATAAGACCCAATTTTTTTTCTAATTCTTGAATAACCAATAGTTGGCTGTTACATCCTTATCAATGATTACTCACTCGAAGACAACTCTATAAAGTAAACTATTAAAATACGTGAAAAGAAAATGAATTAATTTTGCATGTATACCTTGAGTTTGCAAGTGTATGAGTTACCCCATTAACTTATAATCTTTGTACATTCAAAGATACATAATTAAATAATTTTCATTATAAATAATAATAAATATTTAGATGTGGAATGTTTTTAACATACTTTATAAGTATACCGTCGTAAGTTCATAACTCTAGTGTTTTTTTCCATATTGAATTTAATCTTTGTACACTCAAAGATAATCAATCCAATAATTTTTAACACAAGGACAACTGTTTAAATTTAAAACATTAATCGTTTCATTTATTTAGAAAATATATTTTTTAACATAGAAAGTTTAAACCTTTTATAAATGTACTTATTCACAGTTTTTCTGTTTCATTTATTTTTATGCTATTACATTTAAATCTTTATATATTCATTTTGTCACAAATTGTGCCAAATTTTGTACTTTTTTGATATTCAAGGGGGTCTGAAGCTCCAAAATAAAATTTACTTTCTTCTTCTTAATGCATTGTCCTTATTTTTTCCCTCTCAATCAGGCTTTGTTAATTTGAACTTATTAGTTTCTTCTATTCTTATGTTTATTTATGTTATATTTATTAACGTTTTATTATATTTTTTAGTTATTTATCATTATGTTTATTAATTGTGTAATTTTTTGTTACAGAAAGCGGCAGATGAAAAATATCCCGTTGGACCTTGGCTTCTTGCGTTGTTTGTCTTTGTTGTTTGTGGATCCGGTAAGCAGTCTGAACATTTACGTGAATCGTTATAATAAAATATATACGTTTTAACACACCGATTTTGTTTCAGCCGTTTTTCAAATCATCCAAAGCATTCGAATGGCATAACATGGCAGACTCTGGAATTCAAAATTGACTGAGCCCAGTTTGCAACACTTTTATGTTTAGCACCTTACATAATTCCATGTGATAATTTATTACCCTCCCCCCCTGCCGTTGAAACTTGACAAAAAAAAGAAGAAAATAAAAATTTAATAGTATTTTTGATTTTCATTCTAATAAGAAGGATTCAATTAAATCACTTTTTCAATTCTGGGTCTGTTTGCAATTTGTACATTTTTATTATGATTTTTTTTTTTTTGTTATGTAAAATGTTACATATTGGTGAATCATAATATCCTATTGCTATCGTCTTTGGCAGATTTGGTTTACAATCATTGTTATATACAAATTGATTATGTTGGTTTGATTTTGTAAATACTGTATGGTAGGCTTTAACGTTATATAAACTAGCATTCCATTGTGCATTAAAGTTGTATATGACACTCTGAAATAAAGTTATTTGTATTATAATACATTTGACTTTTATTTTCTAAATTTACCAACAGGTCATGCCCGACTAAATGAAAGTGTTTCAATGCTGTAAATAAATACAACAGATTTTATACTGATTTAAGATCATAACATACCCCAGGCAACAAATTCCATTTTTCCTTCTTACCCTATGCAATTACATACAAAAGTGTGATTTTTACACTTATGGCTATAGTAAATTTGAAATGAAGAATAAATAGGAGTAAATTTTTTTAAATAATATATGTCAATTATAAAAGGGTGTTTAACCCATGATAAACAGATTAACAAATTGTTTAATCTTGGAGGAAAAGATAAATTCATTAAAATAAATAAAAATCTGTCTATGTCACAAGAATTAGTATAGAATCAGAAAATAGTCTAAACAATAATATCACTGGAAGTTTTACAGGGTGCAAAGTTAAGCCCACTACTTTTCTCACTTTTTGGCAGATATATTAAACTTGTGCGTAACCATGATGCAGAAGGAATTTGTGTTGACAATCCATTTTGTTGCATAAACTATAGCTATATTAAAAAGAACTGGAATAAGTCAAGAACAAAACAAATACTGAGACCGAAAACCAGTCATGAATCAAGAAAAAACCCAATGGGAGAAAGGAATTCTTTCTTATTAAAAATCCTAAGTATTAATAAATGTTAAATAAAATTGTGTCTAGAGATAGAGAGGACAGAACATATCCTATGCAACTGCCCCCAGTAACTAGGAAAAAATTATACATATCTATATAAAGTTAGAGAAGAATTCTCCACTTCATAAAAAAAATGAAAACCTTCCAGAAAACCCACCAGATCAGCACAAAACGACATTCAGACAAGAAGTCTGCAAGGTGATGGGCTTGTAATTTTATCGCCCCTTATCATATTGGTCGTCTAATTCCAACTCGTATTTGTCAAGCTAGTAGTTTTTAAGCTTGGTTCCTGGTGTAGCCCGTGGCTCTTTCAATAGAGAATAATAAGAAAAATATTGTAAAGTTGTTTGACCCATGGTTCTACCACCTAACGGGAAGTTGGACCGGAATTATGTAAAGGTCTTCCTATTCGGGTTTGAAAGTTGTGAGTATTTCTCATGGTGGTCAAACCTGTGTGTACTAGATTAAATTCATTTGGTGTTTGCAACCCTTTGCTTATGTTTTTCTAAGAATGTATTGCTTGTGCATTTTGGTTTAAAAAAATTAAAAGAAATTGGAAGAGAACGCTGTCACTCGCATATCAAGAGCACTGTCAATAAGTGGCCCTCAGAGAATCTGACTTGTCACCCTCACTAGATTAAGAATAGGTCATGCGAGGTTGACAAATGGACACTTACTTTTGGGCCAAAGCTCGCGTATGTGTCCAGCATGTAGAGAAACAATTATTTGAATGAGATACAGATGGGTGTGGCGTAGATTTTAGAAAAACATTTTCTTTATTGTGCCAACGTTTTGATCTATATTGAGATCATCTTCAGGGCCTGGGATTTATAAACATTGTTTAAATTATACAAATACATGTAGGATGTGAAAAAAAAGTGAATTTATACAATGCTAGAAATTTTAGACTCAAAGTATTTGTACTCATTCAAAGTGTTTTTTTTTCTGTGTAGATGTGTTATTATTGGGTGTTGTGTTGAGAGTGCCAGTGAGATATTGATGTTTTATGTATATATACGTTGGATTTTGAAGGGGTGGGGAAGAAAGTTGGAACAGAAAACACCACACACAAGTAGAGAAAGTTTTCTCAATGTGTCCCAATTAATTAAAGGGCTATTCCTTGGCTCCAAATATACATTGTGTAAGACTGTCACCCGATATGACAATTATGTTGGGCAGCAAGTATCTGAGAAACTGGTTCCAATTTTTTGAGGAAACAGGTTATTTTACTGTACATAATACTTTATAGATATCTAATCTTGTTTCTTTGTGTATGTTGAGAGTGAATGTATTTATTAGCATGAATGTAATAGGGCTAATGGCGGAATATGAGTACCTCATCGACTGCCAACACTGGGTGGGTGATTCTCAAGGTTGGATGGTAATTTATTGTAAATTATACTATTTTGGAATTTCTGGTGGTCTGCAAGAAGTGATATGTTCAGCTTTGTGTATGTGTATGTGCACATGTATACAGAGTTGAGCTTTTTTAAATCAGTAATGAGTTTAATTTGTTGTCTTTTTTTAATAAAGTATAAAAATACCTCAAAAGAGAGGCTGTAGAGTCCCATTAACCAAATGTCTAAGTAATTTTTTTGTTTTGCCCACTATAAACTCCATTGCTACTTTTTCACTACACTTTCATTCAAAAATTAAGAGGCGTTTGGTTGCTTGGTCTGAGCATAGGCAAACCAAAATGACCTGAAACTACTTAACTACATTATCACCCTTGTTCTGCTTTTTCAAAATTTCCAGCCTATTCTTTAATATACACTTGTGTATCGCATAAGTGTCTACCAGACCTGCTTTACTGCTTGCTTCTGCAGTATTCAGTCAATCCGAACCGGGCTTGGTCTCAATCAGTTCAGATTAGCAGGACTCTACTGTCCTGATGTGATCCTGATCAATTTTACCAAGCCTTCTATTATAAGCATTACGCAATAAAAATTAATTGTATCAATAACAATACCTATTTTGAAACGGATGCTGATCATAAGTTCAAAATAATGTAAAGTTTAAGAAAGGATTTAAATACACCCATATAATGTACATTTTTTTATTCAACATGTAAAACCTAATTTATATACAAACATATTGTGGAAAATTTATTTTACATGTGAGACACATAGAAAACCTGAACAGTTGTGATAACCATTAAAAAAAATAAAAGCACAGGAAAAAAATATATGAAAGCATAAAAATAAATATAATAAAATGAACTAAAAATGACAAATAAAATAGTAAAGGGTCTACTTTTCATACATCAGATCACCCAAACCCTGAAAATAGAAAATTTTCAAAACGTAACATAATATTTTATGTACAAACTTTCGTTTTGAAATGTTAAAGTTTGAGATCTTAAAAAGTTAAACAAAAAAAACACCTTTTATAATTTGTCTGGAGGTTTTACAATAATAATTAGTTCATAGAAGGAAAGTTGCATTTTAATGCAACCATTCAACAAAAATTGACTATAAATATTAAACGATATCACATTAATTAAATAAATAAAACACAAATATAAACAGATTTTTTTGTTATGTGACGGCTGTTTTAATATTGATCAGTAACAAAGAGAATAATGTGACTTAACAATAAAAGTGCGACTGATGAACTTATCAAGGAGTTAAGAGACTTGATTATTGCAAAGATCAGTGCGCTCAGTTAAAAAATGAATAAGTACTTGAATGAGTGATCTACACGAGAAAGCTAAACACCGAAAGAAAAAATTAATCTGATCAATAAAATTTTTCACATTTCCACTCGATTTTACAAGTAGGCTAATAAATAAAATTATTAAATAGTTAAACAATTGAGAAAATCTATTGAACAAAACAAACATGTTAGTGTCTATCAACAATAAATTCAAAAGAACTTTGGAAGCACTTTTTTTTTTTTTAATTTGTGCTTTCATTTCAAACAAAGATAACAGTACAATTAGTCATATCTTTAACATTAAACATAATTCATAAGTTGCTCCCATTGAATCCCCCCTCATAAATTTAAGTTTTACTGTTCAAAACTACATCTCTGTTTATTTAAAATGACCAGGGAAAAAACTGAGTCACCCTTGCGCTTAAAAAAAAACTTAAGAAATCAGCATTGAGAAGCTAAAATTTTAAACAATCACAGCTTTTTTTTTCATAGCATAATGAGAAAATTGTGATAAATTAGAACAGAAAATATCGAAATTGAAAGACTTGATTCAAATAGTCAGCAGTTACTTTTAATTTTTTTTTTAATTTTATTGTAGTCAAATTAAAAAAATAAAAACATGTATTCATATAAAAGCAGATATGTTTTAAATAATAAACCACCTTTATTTTGAAATTGTCACATATATTAGTTCATATTTAGTTTAAAAATAATTAATAAATGATGAGTGATTCCACCCCAATTCATACTGTTGTTAAATATAAATATAAAACGCTGATCATCTTAAAGCTTTATCTCAAGGCTTGAGCCAAAAAATTCTCTCACAGCTTTGACTTTACACCATGTAATTCTCCTTTTTTTTCTTTCTCTTTTTGGTAGTCCTAACTTATATATTGAAATCACGAGGATCTTAGTGTAATAAATACTATTTTATGATTATATCACATTTTCCCCCTCTAAATTCACATGTATTATAATTTTATATAATAATAATAATTTTAAAAAGAAGCTATTTAAAAATATTTCATTGATATTTTTGTAAACACAATCAAGAAGAATGACAAAAACCACAGGCATCATGGCATATTAATTCTGAATTCAATTTCATATTAAAATTATAAACAATTTTAACAATTAACTTTTATTATTATATATATTTTTTTAATGTTTAGTTAAAAAGGTTTATGTTAGCTCATGGAAAATGAACTTTTGAAATAAAATCTGCTGCTATGGATCGGACTGACATTTTTTTTTTTTTACGATGCCTTAGCTAGAATAATTCGTTGCGCTGATATTTTGTCTGTTACTGTTTAAAACCAAAATAATTCATCTTTTATATCTGCATGAGTTTTAACATCAAAGAGGAACATTTCCATAATTTACCAAATTGGTATTTTGGATGGTTGTTACATTTCATCGGCCATCTTTGGCGGTCAGCTTTTCTATCAGTTCTTGCAAAGGTGCAAGCTCCCTTCTATCTATTAGGCTAAATTCCTGTTAAATAAATAAAATTCAGATAAGATGTTATCAAATTAAATTAATTTTATTTAATTACATACTTGAACAAAAAATATGAAGTGTTTAAACGATGTGTTTAAATGTGCCTCTTCCCCGAGCGACACAACTTCGGTGAAATGTTGGTGATAAATGTGCGCATAAACTCTGAACAGTCTTTTCAATATCGTTTTAGCTATAGACTGGAAATTCTTTGGAAATGGAACACCTGAATAAAAAAAATTTATGTTAGCAAATTTCAATTCAAATTCGATATGAAAATAATTATACCGATTTTCGAAGGAAATAAAGTCTCGTCGTCTAACTGGTCCTGAACCCAGGTCATTAAATAGTCAATGTACTTTGGAGCGGAACATTTTATAGGTTTCTTGACCGTGTGACCGTCAGCCCAGTGATACTCATATTTGGGCCCGGCTGACATAATAGGACAACTTTCCTCAGTGCAGAACTCGGTTATTGTGCCATACAGCATGTTTATCTGGTTGAAGAAGTCAACAGCTGCAAAAAAAAAAAATATATATATATATTTGTATAATACATATTATACAATAACTAATTCTAAGTGTTATGGTTTGAGTAAGGAGTGTAATTTTTCTAAAAAACAGTGTTTTGTGTAATGCAAAATTCAAAAATGTTTGCGTTACTGTTTTGTGTAGTGACTACAAACTCAGTCACAGAGTACTGTTGCCCTATCTTACTTCTGATCTGTTTCCACGTATCAAAAACCTCGTTCCAATTTTTATAATTCGGAAGAGAAATGTTCCAAATATTTGGTTCAGATTGAGCAACTGCAAGACTGTAAATTTGGGCCAACAGAAATAACGCTATGTTGTTCTTTTATTAATACATATATACTAGTTAGGAATAGATTAGTTTGAAAAAATAAATAGCAGTAAATAATAACTGTTGATTTCCGTACAGTACAGTTAATACCTGAATGTGTGGATGCTTTGAGTTCAACAACTTCATGAATATTCATGCTCTCTGAAGCAGACAAGAAAAACGAAATTAGCCGAGCAAGGTGAGGACCGAATATTGTTGCTTGGCTAATAACCGAGCACCCTCCTAGTCCGGATTCGGCGAACCTTTGCTCAGCATTCGACAAGTCTGGGGACACCTTTATGTACGCATTAAATATCTAATGATCTACTTTATACTAACATTAACTATACTTGTCGCCCTGGCCTTTTTTACCCACATTCCCCTTTCATAGAGAATCTGTGTCAAAAGAGAAAACTTTTTTTAGTTCCAGCAATGTTTGCTGGAAAAACAGTGCTGGAACTAAAAGAAGTTTTCTTCAAACACAGATTCTCTATTATGGAGTTCCATAGCTTGGACTGTACTACTTTAGACAAAATATTCCCCTTTCACCCTCAAAAAAAAAAAAAAAAAAAAAAAAAAAAAAAAAAAAAAAAAAAAAAAAAAAAAAAATCCCTCTGTCAACGATGGCCGATTGGTTTGAATTCAACAATTAGAGCTACATTTGAAAATAAATTGAACAAAAAATATGTCAGCAATTACTTAGCCTTGCTTTATTCTGAACCAATATATCAAAATGAAATGATAAAACATGTCAACTCATTTAGTTTTTGCCCTTTCACTAAATTCATTGGTCAGTCTATTTTATATGCAGTTTTATCATAGAAAGGAATGAAAGTGTAATAAATCTATATTTTTGCAGACAAGATTTCCAACATTCCTTTAAACCTTGTTTTTAAAGGTACTAAAATGTACATGTGTAGTTCATGATGAACTCAGACAATCAAGATCATCAATGTTTCACAAATCGTCACAGTCAGGTAACTTATTGAGAGAGGTAGGTACATAAAATTGCTTGATAATATCAGCAAGAATCAGAACAGGATGATTAAAGGGGATCAAAATGGATTAGAAAGGCTAAACAATTTTAGCACAATTAACATCAATGACATGTTGAACGAGTGCTAATGTAAAATGTTAAATCAGCAAAGATTTACATCTCATAGTTTCAACGTTTGGACAATAAAAAGCGACTGGTTTATCAATATCACTCACTATTGACAGCGACCCATTCGTTGAGATCTTCTCCTTCGGGAAGTAGGACGGCAAGCCTGAGGTTTCCTGAGCCAAGAGTGGCAGCAGCATGTTTCATTAAGTCATACTGATGAGTCCCTTCTGGAATGTTCTTTTTTGGCTTGAAAGTTTTTGATGAACGGCTTCCACTGTTGAAATCAAAAGAAATTAAATTAACACTCCGGGTATTGGTACAATTTTAAATTTCCACATTGAAATCTCCACGTGGTTGACTAAATAAGTCGAAAATTGGTGAAAGAAGTTCGGTAACAGGACAGAATTTGTACTTACAAAAGGAAGCTCATTTTGTAGATGTGTTTATGACTCGAGCCGAATCCAGCTCCAGCTTTTCCTTTTATTATAATTCACAAATTGGTCGCAACCAACTGAAGTTAGCCGGAGGAGAGGGTAAAACCGGTAGATCCGCCCTTAAATTACATCTTTGTCTTTCGATAAATGAAAAGGGCAAAAAGGAGATTTGTCAGCGGTCATTGTTTCACCTAGAACAGCTGGAATGCATTTGGATTTTTGGAGTGCTGTAAAAGCGCCATCTACTTTTCAGCAGCGCTGTAGACGATTTCGTTCAACATCACAAAAATTTGAAAGGCAACGCAATGGAAAATCCGTTTTGAGAATAGTTACAATTAATCAATGGTAACACAGTTATATTATGCTATTATTTTATAACAAAATAGTTTAAAATAAGTTGACTTCTCTAAAGCCTTTGACACTGTAAACATATTCTTCTCTTTAGATTTACATGTTATGATGTAGATGGAACTCTGTTAGCATGGTACTCTTCTTATAATAACAGGTATTAAATTGTTACAATTAAGCAGTAACAATTTTTAAAATTTCATGCTTCTCCAAGTGTGCCTCATCTGTTCTTCTATTGTTTTGTTTCTTGTTCAATCAGGAAAAACTGTGAATCGTGTACTGCGAACAGTACATTGCAAACTAAATACACATCTCAAAATTGGCATAACCCAACTTGTACAGATTCTGAAAAGAAGCAGAGGAAACACCAACAAACTGTGGTGCTGTACTTGAAGTGTTTTGGGACATAAAACTTGACCGTAGAAAAAACGGGGCATATTAAACATGTTCCTTGATGAACTCGGACTCACCAGTGTGCTTTAACATACAACAGCTTAAAGGACGCAGTATAGACCACACCCTGACTAATACATCTTTCTATTTAAATAATATGTATGAACTTGTTATAATTGAGCAGTGTCAATTTTTCAAATTTCATGCTTCTTCAGGTCTATCTCATTTTTTTTATTTAGAAATCATGAGATGCGGTCTGGTTTCAGAAAAACATTTTCTTTATCGTGCCAACGTTTTAATCTTTATTGAGATCATCTTCAGGGCCTGGGATTTACAAACATTGTTTACATATAACAATTACATTTTGGATCTCGACACAACACGCAAGAATGGCACAATTACACAGAAGACAAACACTTTGAGTGGGTAGAAATATTTGGATTGAATATATATAAAATATATATATATATATATTTTGCATGGTATAAATTCACTTTTCCACATCCAAAATGTAATTGTTATATGTTAACAATGTTTGTAAATCCCAGGCCCTGAAGATGATCTCAATAAAGATCGAAACATTGGCACGATAAAGAAAATGTTTTTCTGAAACCTACATCACACTAGACCGCATCTCACGATTTCTAAATAAATATCGATTAACGGTCACTAATCATCACACATTTCTATCTCATTTGTTCTTCTTTCTTTTTTTTTCCTCTGTTATTAACAACATTTGCTTTTTCTATTCCAAACTTTTTACCACTATGCAGATGGCTATGGTTTCAGATATAGTACTGCAAAATTTCAATATGATCAAGCACATGCGTATGTTTGTGATGTAGAAGAGAAGGCATTTAATTGATCTGCACAGGGGCTAATTTATAAATTCATATCCTACAAACACCCTACATATCCTGCATTTCATCTGTTAATAGCTCTTTTTTAAGTAGTATACTTTGACTTGTTATACTCAATAATTTCTTTTGTATTAAGTATATAATAAAACATGAATACTTTTGGATGTTGTACATGGCAGACAGCTAGTTCTACATTTTTTCCAACGTCAATATTGAAAGGGTTGTATAGGAAGAGAATTAGGAGGCTGATAGGTATTCTGACGGGCCACTGCGCACTGAGAAGACACCGTAATGAGTATTCTACCAGATCCCTTTTGCCGTTTTTGCAAAATAAAAGAAGAAACGGCAAGGCACTACCTCGCAGAGTGTGATAGGTATGCTAGGTCTAGATTTGAAATCTTTGAAGGGGAGGACATCACCAAATCACTCCCTGAGATTAAATGGTCCAAAATCTTGGGGTTTGTGAACAGGTCTAAGAAATTTATGCAGGGCACATGAGCTGACCAAGCCCCGCACCTTTTAGGGATTTAACCCCTCGGGTCTTGGTCACCCACCCTGCATAATATATATGGTCAATTGAAGATTTTTTGTATAAAATGTGAAGAATAAGTTACGTGGGTGCAGGATAAGTTCCTCAGAAATTCTAGCACACCAATCTTTCAACAAGGAAAACATGTGGGATAGATTAGATGTCATTGATTAAAATATTAACAAGAAGCGGTCCTAACTGAAATCCTTGCAGAACTCCCAAGTAACCAAAATTTAGTTTGATTTATAGGATTTCACGTTAACCATTTGAAATCTACCAAGCAAGATTGGCTTAACCATCAGTGTTCCATGTTAGAGGCCCCTTTCTATTGAATATTTTGAACTATTTACCTAATAATTTGTTTCATATTAATTATAAAATGAGAATGAATACTTTTGATTGTTGGAAAAAAGTAATTACATATTTTATTACATCAATATAGTAATTGAACATTGTATCATATTAGAAGGGAGCTATCATTGCAAGACTATGACTAATTTGTAGGTCATCTGCGAACAGAATGAAAGGAATTTTAGTGAACAAAAATATTAAAAATAAGTGGTCCTAAATGGGATCCTTTCAGAACTCCTTAAGTGACCAAAATTTATTTATTATAGGATTTTACTTTAACCCTTGAGATCTACCAGTAAAATAACTGAGGAACCATTTTGGTAGTTTTTAATCATTTTTTAAGATGATTGGTGGTGGGGGGGGGGTGATGTAGATGATAATCCTTTCCTCTACTGTGGTCTAAGTAGATCCATTGTAGAACCTCATTAAATTATAGCCATGCTTTTAAAGTCTTATAAGATTAAGCATTCTCCTTGGAGCCTCTTCTCGGACCTCCTTAACGGTGAGAAATGTCCTGCCGAAGTGGCTGTGCTGTAACCAGACTAATGCTTCACTTTCACAAATTATATGCGCCTATATTTCTGATTCCTCCTGACAGAGTCGGCATGTTTCTATCTCTGCTTTGCCCATCTTAGTGAAATGATAGTTATGAGGGCAGTGGCTCCATTCCTTTGCCTTCTGTCTTGAGAGACGTATAAATTTCTTAGCTTCCTTCATACCTGGTGCATTTGTCAAGTGCTTGACTTTTTCTTTCTCAATCAATTTTCCAGTTCCAATTGTATCACATTTTCGGCTAGTTGATCAGCCTTTCATTTCCTTTTATGCCTTCATGTCCATGATCCCACTTTAAGACAAAATTGTTTTGTTTTCCCAGAGTAGGCAATTTAGGCGCTCCAGGATAATTTTGGAATTGAAAGAAAATAACAATTTGTGCCTTTAAGGGTGCCTAGCTGTCTGAGGGTATGTAAATATGTGCGCATTTGAAAAACAGAGAGTCAACTGATTTGAATTTTATTTCAATGGTGGATCAGCTATATAAAATTTTGGTAGTCACTTCGTTCAATGTTAAGAATAAAATAATTATATACAGAAGTATAATGGAAGTATTTAACATTTATTTTTTAAATGAGGAGCAATTTATTGTTTTGATACTAATGTTCAATTTGGATAAGAAATTTTGTAGTAATATTAATATGGTTTGACTTCTTTTGTAAAAAGGTGATTTTTGTTTTATTTTTTAATATATATACCACAATAGAAATATAGATTTTTGAATTAAGTTCTTTCAAAATTTAGCTTTTTTTTATGAAAAATGATCTATGTTCGATTTAATCGATAAAAATAAGTTGGCCATTTATATGTCTGGGGTCGTCGATAACTTTGAACTGCTTGAATATTTAAATTTATGAAAGAATGACTAGACTCGAACCGTTAACGAATCGAGATGAAGACGGATCATTTGTGTTGAACATTTTTGAACGACATGAACATTGAATCATGTAGGCCACGTTGCGGTGTCACGTGACTCTAATATCCAATCGGAACTGCGGCTCGCTAGCGTCACTTTTGTTTGTCGGCCGAGTCCATTTCTAATTCGGAAGCGGCTGGGTTTTCGCCATATTGGCTCCTAGGGGCATCTGGCTGAGGCACGTTCGCTTCTCTACCGCCTGACGCACACTTCAAAAAGAGGAACCAGGACTTTTGCTCGGTGTTTTTATTTAAAAAAAAGTGTTTTGTGTATTTTTTTGTTTTTTCTTTTTAATCGGACGACTCTGGTGAGATAGTCTCGGTGGAACGCTTTTGTGAGTATTTTCCACACTATAATGCGGAAAGTGCAACTACGCATGAAATAATCCTCTTTGAGTTTATTTCCTCAGCATTTTTGTTTCTTTCTGTTTAATATTGTTAAATGTTTTTTACAACAAAAATTTGTTTTTTGTGCCTTTTAATCTCGTTAGATGATGGGTCAAACGTCGCCTAAAGACGAGGGTTGCGTCGTCAAAGTACGCGGGCTACCATGGTCGACTACGGAAGAAGATATAGTCAAGTTCTTCTGTAAGTATGCTATCAAAATTAAATAAATAATCAAATTTAATGAAATAAAGCATGACGTAATTTTACGGTTAAGCATTATTGATTGATTGATTTTCTTGCTAGCCTTTATCAACAATTCTTTTAACCGTGAAATATTGTTGTGCTAAAATTTCTTAACACCTTAGCCTACACCCACATGTCTTATTCTTCATATTTTGTACAATAAGTCTTCAACTTAACCATACAGATCTTAAAAATATGAGGAAGTAGAAAATGTAAAACTGGCGTTTGGCCAAATCCAACATCCAAAAGTATTTATTTTAATTTTGTTCTTAATATAACACAAATTATTAAGACAAAATGTGATGAAGTGGTCTTAACACAAGGAATGCGTTTCATTCTTCGATAAGGGTAATGGAAACATCCCTTGATCTCCTAAAGCCAACCTTTCGCATTTATGTATAAAAGGTGGTGAGAGTGAGAGCGAGAGCGAGAGGTAGTGAACTTACAGATTATCTAAAAATATATAAATCTTTCAATGATACAAATCTCTTGGGACCCCAAAAACCCAAGTCTTTCCTTAAACCAATGCATTCCGTTGTCCAACAACGGTAACGGAAACCTCACTCGATCTCTCACCTGTACACATTTATGAACAAAAGGTGGTGATGGAGCGAGGAGAGCCTACAGATCACCTAAGATCAATGATAAGTCTCTCAATGAGACATATCTCTTGAGACCCCAAAAACCCAATGGACCACAAAAGTAATTTGAATTATGAAGAGGAAAAAGAAAAAAAAGTTAAAAATTGATGTTTTTAAAATTTCTTACTTAAATTGTATTGGGTTGGTGTAAAATTAATGCAGGTTTTGAAAATTTGTTTTATTTGCGCTGGTGTTTGTCATGTAAACAAAACTAAACCCTAAATTCTAATTATGGATTATAATAAATACTTTTAACTGTTATCTTTTATACAAAACATTTTAGTTCATATTGAATTTTATAAGAATGAAGACCTGCAAAATTAAATATGTCCAAACTAGATTTTTTTTCAAATTTATTTGTACGAATATAAACTTGGGCAAAGTGCGACCCAGACCGCGATAACATCAATGTAGTTTGGGAGGAGGGAAGCATTAGCGGATGCATCATTCAGCAATGGTGTCAGAGATTTCGATCTCAAAGTCAGAGAAAGTCGTGGTAGGCTTTTTGTTGTGGTCGATGACCAATTTAAAACATTGATTGAAGAAAATTCACGGGAAATTGCGGAAGAGCTTGGTGTTGAACCTCTCCACCGTTATTTGCCATCTAGAGCAAATTGGTACAGTAAAGAAGCTCGACAAGGGGTACTGCACGAACTAACCAAAGCCCAAAGAAATTGACGCTATGAAATTTGCACATCTCTTCTGTTGTGCCACCAAAATGATCCATTTCTTGATCGAATCATCATGTGCGATGAGAAATGGATTTGTAAGATAACAGGATGCGTACAGGTCAATGGACAAGGATGAAGCCCCAAAACACTTCCCGAAACCAAATCTGCACCCAAAAAAAAAGTCATGGTCACTGTTGGGTGGTGTACTGCTTGGCCTCTATAATTTCCTGAATTATAGTGAAACTATCACAGCAGCGAAATATTGCCAAGAAATTGACAAAATTCATGGGAAACTGCCACCTCTTTGTCCAGTATTGGTAATTTCTTCGTCTTCTTCACGATAACACCAGGTCACATATCTCAATACCACCTTGTGGAAACTTAAGGACTTATATGATATTAAGAAAACTTACCGCACCTTCTATATTAATCTGACCTCTCGTCTACAGACTTCCATTTTTTTAGGCATTTTGATTGCTTCTTGAGGGATCAAATTTTTTAGAGAAGTGGTGAATCCGAAAACACCTTACAAGATTTTATTGCGAGTCGAAATAAAGATTTTTAAGTCAGTGAAATAAAGCGCTATTACATTGGCAAAGATGTATAGATTGTGCTGGAAAATATTTTGAATAAATTTTCATATTTTATAAAAATTAAAAATAGTATTGACTGACTTTTCAAAACCTGCATTATTTTTGCACCAACCCAACCCAATAAAACATGGGAAAAATAATTCAAAAGTAGACATAGATCAACAGTAAAATTAAAGATTGTCGGTAGCTGCAACAGTTTAGGCATTGTCATGGCGCTCATCACTGTAAGGTAAAAGTCCCGGGTTCGAATCCAGTGGTCCTGCATTCGAACCTGACATATAACAATTTTTTTCCCCTTCCAAAAACATTGGCACCCCAAGGTGACCTCTGCTGTTGTGAACCCTTGTTTAAAAAAAGCTATGCCTTATTAAAAAAAATTATGAAGCAATTTTTATCCTTTGTCTAAATGATTTTCTAAAGTGACCAATGCTGGTAACACATTGACAAACAAACTAATGTGTGTTTCTTAGTGACCAGTTGTTTCACAATTTGTTGAAGTCGTGAGGAGCGGTCAGGAATTAGTTTATAAAAACACCTTTTTTTTTTATTGTTTTGCCGATGTTTCGATCTTTATTCGGGTCATCTTCAAGGCCTGGGTGAATTACAAAACATGTTGATTAGAAAAAGTACAATTTAAGATATAAATATAAATTTTGGACCAAGTATTTCATACTCACACAAAGTGTGGTGCCATATTGGTTTTGTGTGCCGTTACAATATTGAGGCCTTAACAACAAATTCACGTTTCACAACACTTTCTCACACAAAACAATTTGAAAATTCCCTTAGAGTGCAAATATGGTTTAAAAATGGCAAGCTGCATGTAAAATATGCGTGATATTTTATTATATAGTCATAATTTTTGTTTTTGAAATTCCGAGATAGTGATGAGATGGCTGGAGGATGGGGCATATACAAGCTTTACATTCGGTTGTAGAAAATGTAAACTCCAAATTGCTGTATCTGACATGCATAAATATTGATTTTGAGGCACCCATTAGGCCACATTCCCACTATGCCGGACCGGCGGTTTGCCATGCCGGTGAAACTGCCGGATTGTCCAGTGGCTGTACATTTTATATGAAGTTCACATTTAGCTGAATCTAGAATTTTTATCGGACATTTTGTCATTCCGGAGAGCCGGCAAAATGCCCGGACTTGCGTAATGTGAACGAGCTTTGCATTGCCTTTGCCTATTCTTTAGGTGGCTCAGCACATTTGGAAGGGGTATAGAGGGATAGAAACCCTAGACAAATAAAAACAAAAATATAAAAAGATGATGCTGTCATTTGAAAATAATTGAAGAACTTTGTTTTGTCACTTCTCAGTTAACCCATTAATATTTCAAATGTTCCTATAGAAAATCTTTCCCATATAATAAGATGTACCCAATATTTTCTTTTTATTCTATGTCGTCTAAAATACCACCACAACACAACAATTTTGTCATCCATTGAGTACTCAGGTCTGACCTCGACTGAGGTGAGGACTTTAGCTCTGGTATTCTTGCCAAATCCGGTCTAATGTGAACATTTATGTCCGGGCGCCGGTTTCCAGCAAAACTGCCGGTCCGGCATTGTGGGAACGGGGCTTATGGTCATTTTGTTTGGAACTGTAATAATAATGTAATAAAATAGTTTCTGAAAAATCTATTTTTATTTAATTATATCTTTAAAAAAAATTGTATCAACTTTGTTCATATGTGACATTGTATAATGTTTTATATTCCTTCTTGTTTTTTTTAGCTGAGTGCAACATTCGCAATGGGAAGAAGGGCGTCCAAATGACCCTTTCTAGGGAAGGGAGACCCAGCGGGGAAGCTTATATTGAAATGGAGACCCCCGAGGATGTGGAGCTTGCGTGCAAAAAGGATCGGGACTACATGGCTCATCGATACATCGAAGGTATAAGAAGTGATGATTTCTCTTCTTATTTATTTTTTATCGTCTTATTTTATACTAACACTTGTCATATCAATTAGTATTCAAGGCCAACAAATCTGAAATGGATTGGGTCGTTGAAAGATGCGGTCACAACATGGAATTGAGCCGAGATGATGCTTGCGTCCGCCTCCGCGGTCTTCCATTCGACTGCACCATCGATGAGATAATTTCATTTTTTAGAGGTCAGTTGTTTCTTCCTCAATGATTTTTTTATTCTTCCCCCTCTTGCTGTATATAATTTTTGGGCTTTTACTTTTCAATAACATCTTACATACACAAAATTATATTTTAAAAATAGCTAAAAAAAAATTGAAATAATACTTCAGAAACAAAATAATTTGGGCAAGTTCAGTGTAAAGATTTAAAAAGTATTTTTATGTTCAACTTTTAAATTTAAAAAAAAAAGTGTTTATACTTGGGATACCATTGGAACCAGAACTGCGGCAGGTTAAATAAAAAGCTTTATTATACTTCATTTGCTCATAAAGGTCTTCGTCAGTATCTTTTTATTTTATACTGTATTTAAATTGAAAAGGACTTTTGACATAAATTAAGTACCTTGAACCTTTGTAAGCTTGCTAAAAGTATAATAAAACTTCAGTTCTTCTTTTTTTACATAATATTTCTTCAAATTGTTTTTTGTTTTTTACAATTGTTAGACGTGTTAGCGAAGCGAAACCAGGAGTGGACAAACCTTTGAAAAATTAAGATAATCAGAAAGAAATTTTAAATAAAAATTGGAAAATATTTAAAGACAAAGGTTACCTTCGGGTTAGAGCTTTGATATCTACGATACAACAAAAACAAAATTTTATTAAAAATAAAAAAGGGTTTACCCTGAACATGCCTCAACGTCAAATTGAAAGATGTAGTAAAAGTAGAATTTTACTTTTCCCTGGAATTTTTTTCATTATATATTAAAAATTACTTCTTTTTTTTGAACAACCAAAAAAACATTAATTAAGACATTATTTTTTTTAAACAAATCTTTTTTATTCATGTAATTTTTTTTTGTTTGATTTATGACTGGGTGTTTGTTGTTGGTTATTTATTGGGTAGGACTGGAGATAGTCGGTAACGGGATAATACTGGCGACGGACAGCAGTGGGCGAACAACAGGGGAGGCATACGTACAGTTTGTTAACAAAGACACGGCAGAGGCAGCTCTGCTCAAACACAAGGAAAAAATAGGCCACAGGTGGGGAAATCATGAGGACTATATTGGGTGATTGTTGAGAAGGGTGAATATGGTATAAATGGTGGGTTGGTGGGGAGGTAGGTGCAAATAAAATTTTAAATATTTCAAGTTAGTATCATTTTTGATCTATAATGTACATTATAAATAATGCGATTGCTCGGGCTCAAGAACCAGGTAACATGTTTTTTGAGTTTATTGGTTTTTATTTTGTTCGAAAGGCTAGTTCTTTTTTTATAATATCAACAGTTAATTGTATAAAAAAAAATTAACCTCTTTAAAAAAATCTATTTTATGAAATATTAAATTGGCTAAGAAAATATACAATTAAGTCAATATAATTGTTTCTATTTTAGTGTACTCCTCAAGTGACTGAAAGCATATTTTACCCAGTGGCACACTTTTTCTAACTTTTAAGGGTTTAGGCATATTTTAAGTTAACTTAAAATTGTAACATTAGAAGAGGATTTATAATCAAAAGGATTCCCTGCAACTGTCTTGATTTATAATAAGTAGGCAATGCATGTGTTTATTTTTTAAAAAGTACAAATTTTGTCAATTAACTGTTGGAATTATAGCTTGGAACTAAAATTTTTAATCTCAGCACGATGGAAGTTCTAGTCAAAAGAAAAATCTTTGAAATCAACCAAAACTATTGTACATCACACATAGGTGTGCATTAAAAAATAATATTTTAGGTTAACCTTTTGCGCATTAAAGCCCGCGGATACTCTTCATATCTGCATGAATCGTTAAAAAAAAAGTCTGTGCTGAACGTTAGCCTTTTCTTACCACACTTCCAGAAACTTTTGGCAATTTATTCTTAAGGCCATATTTCGCCAATTAAATGCTGTGAGAAATTGAAATTATATCTTTTTAGCTCAGTGAATGGTCAGTCAAAAATTAATCATATTTTAAAACTATTTAGAAATTGTGAGATGCGGTCTGGTGTGATGTAGGTTTCAGAAAAACATTTCCTTTATCGTGCCAACGTTTCGATCTTTATTGAGCCCTGAAGATGATCTCAATAAAGATCGAAATGTTGGCACGATAAAGAAAATGTTTTTCTGAAATCTACATCACACCAGACCGCATCCCACGATTTCTAAATAAATATTGCTATTCCCTTTATGGTTTAAGATTAAAACTGCCAAGTCGACACTGTCAACATGTTAAAAAAAATTCCTTTCGATTCAAATTTGAGTTCAATTTTATTTTTAATTATTCAATGTTTGTGTTAAACATTTTGCATCTTTAATAGAAAAACACTTTTTTTTTGCTCTTAAAAATAACCACTTTTTTGTATCAAATATATATATTTTTTATTTTTGTGTGTGTGTGTAAATATGCATTTTATTTTCACTGCCATCTGAGCTCTGAGCATTAGTTCATTTCCCATGATTTTTTATTTATTTATTATGACATTTGTTCCATACTTATGTTCGAGGGAATTAGAAAAAAACTGAAAATTGGAAGACAACCTTTGTCAAAGGAAAACAAAATTAATGAAGATGAGTATTTTAGAAGCAGTTTCAGTCTTATACAGTTATTCTCATTGCAGCATTTTGGAAATGATCTTAAGAATAAACTCACATTCTTAAGTGTTAAAAAATTGTTAATTTTGTTATAAGATTGCCTTCAGACCTTCCATCACCAGCCACCATCCTTTAGTTTTGTAGAACCTTTATTGCTATTTTTTATTTTGTAATTTTTAAAAAAATATATTATGTTAATTGTTTTTTTTAAGGTTTAAATATTGTTTTAAATTTTTTTAAATAAATATTTAAAGCTGAGAAACCATGTTGACATTTGACAAATGGTTATGATAGGTACATTGAAATATTCCGGAGCAGCATTGCTGAGGCTAAACTTGCCGCCGCCCCAAAAATGAGGTCTGGCTTTTCAATGAACCAGAGGCACACCCCTTATGACAGGAATGAGCGATTTGGTGGTGTCAACAGGTACAATTCAATGTCAAGGAACAACCAAAGGAACTTCAGAGGTATTTAAAACTTGTTTACATACATGTATTTTAATATATTAATTTTGACCCGTTTTTAGGAATGGGAGGAGGTGGTGGTTTCAACGATTTTGATGATGGCCCTTGGGATCAGAACAACAGCGGTGGCGTTTGGGACATGCCGTCACACAACAGGGGAGGAATCAAGCCACTCATCCCTAACCTTGATCGGGGCAATTTTGGTGGATCTGGAAACTGGCAACCTCCGACGCATTGTATTCACATGAGAGGGCTGCCGTTTAGAGCGAGCCAGGCCGACATTGCTGATGTAAGAATATTTTTTAAAAAATCTATTTTGTGCAATATTACATTACCCTTTTGAACAGTTCTTTAGGCCAATAATCCCCGTCAGCATCAGGATTTTATTTGACAACCATGGCAGACCATCGGGAGAAGCTGATGTTGAGTTCGGATGCCACGATGATGCAGTCAAAGCTATGGCAAAAGTAGGTGACCAGTTTTCTATTTAAATTCTACACTTCTTATTTTAAATAATTTTGCTTTGTTAGGATAAGAGTCACATGCAACACAGATACATTGAGCTTTTTATGGATTCAACTCCTGGTGGTGGTGGCGGAGGCGGTGACAGAGGATTTGGTAGTGATAATGGATATAATGGAGGAGGCAATTTCCGCCGAGGTATGTTTTAAAAATTTATATATTTATAACAATAATTAATCGATGTTTTTTATTTTTAAGGAATGAGCAGTGGTGGAGGCTTCCAAAGGAGATATTAAATTTTAAACTTATGACTACAAGTTCAAATATTAATTTTCGAGTTTTTGTTTTTTGTTAAACATAAGTATATGCACCCGCTAACTTGGATGAACAAGATTTCTAAACTAATTAGAAATAGAAGTACGTACTCCAGATGTATATTTTGGTGGAATTGCAATTATATGATTAATTCTGTAATGCTCTATTTTGTATTTTTTTCTCTTGTAACTTATTTAGTAATTAACTTTGATAGCAAAAGTGTGCCACAAAATAAAGACCTCTTTTTTCTATAAATCAGTATGTGTTATACTTATATTCTCTTTATCCTTTGATTTAAAAACAATTCTCAGCTTTTCATTTGCCTTTGAAAATATAAAATAATTGAAAAATCTCTTGTACGAAATGTTGTCTAAATGATGGCATGTTGCGAAAGATTGGGGAGTGGATGGAGTCAACTGTTTGGAATTTTTATTCCAGTTGTTGCATTGGCTAAGACAAAAGATCAGAATCGATTTGTTTGATCTAGAAAATAAGACGTCAGATGTTGCAATTCTAACAGCTTTTGTTGTGTGTTAGATCCAAATCATGATCTGATACCAGGGAATGTATCTTGCCCGTTTTGAAAATTTGGACAGGTGCAACTGGTCTCTGTGTCAGCTCCAATTAAAGACCATCACCCAACTGTCAGATCTGTTACTGGGAAATGTGTCAGTCATGACAAGTTAGACAGGTGCGACTGGTCTTGTATGTTAGCTCTGGCTCTGATGAAAGATCTAATACCAAAAAATGTGTTTGTCAGTTCTGACAAGACTGGTGTGACTGGCCTTTGTGTTGGCTCCAATGAAAGACTAATCCAACCATCGGATCTAATAACAGCAAATGTGTCTTGTTATGACAATTTGGGCAAGTGCAAATGGCCTCAGTGTTAGCTCCAATTAAATACTATAATTAAACTGTCGGTTTGGAAGCTAGGAACGTATTGTTAGATCTGATATTGAGAAATGTGTCATCGGTTATGACAATTTGAACAGGGTTAACTGGTTTCTGTTTCTCCAATTAAAGACCATCACCCAACTGTCAGATCTGATAACAGGAAATTTCTTTTGTCAGATATGACAATTTGGACTGGTTCGACTGATCTCTGTTGGCATCAATTAAAGACCATAATCCAACTGTCAGATATGATATTAGGAAATGTGTCTTGACAAATGGACAAGTACAACTGGCTTCTGTGTCAGCTCCAATTATAGGGCATCTTCCAACAGTCAGCTCTGATATTGGGAGATTCTGTCAGACCTGGCAATAATTATCAGTTGGTTGGAAGTGTCCTGCTAACTATCCTCCTTATAGGAGCTTCATGAATTCATGGGTTATTAATATAACACTGAATCCATTATTTTAAATTTGTTCATATAATCTCAATAGAGGAATATAACATTCAAAATTGCAATTTTTGCAAAATATTTTAGTTAATATTTTTCATTGTGTTAGTTCAGCTTGTTACAGTTCCCACAAGTCGTAAGTTTCAACAAAACACGCAAGTTTCGCTGTGAGCGGCTGTTCTGTGACCGGCAAGTTTTGTCGTCTGTTCCATGTGACCATGTCAACAAGCATGAGTCAATTGACAGGTCAATTGACGTAGTAACATTTAAATTCGGCTTGTACACAAACAAACCAAACCAATCGAGTCAAATTGAAATTTCCCGTTTCCGAATAGTTTGAAAATGGCCGAGACTTCGGTCAAGTTCCTGAACGACTTGTTCAAGCAGGACCACGTGGACGGCGAGGAGGATTTCTACTTCGAAACTGACTTCCTGGCCCTCAAAGGAAACAGGGATTATTTGAAATTGGTCAAAGCCCTTGCCATTCTCGACGCCCAGAGAATAAAAGTGGCCCAGGTATTATCCAAAATTAAATTGTGAAACTCTTGTTGACTCGTTGAGTCAAATACTTGACAGTACTAAATTCAGTAATTGACTGTTATGGACTGACCTAAAAATGCTGTTATAAGAATATGCCTATCAAACCTTTGTAGCATCAAACAAAGAGACAGATTATATTGATACTTTTCACATTTGTACCATGAAAATAATAACTCAAAACTATTATAATTTGGTTAATGTTTATTTAAAGGATATAGACAAATTGGAAGAACTGAAACGGAGGGTTGACATCGATCCAGAAGGTGTCAAACATGAAATATTGGAAACAAAGCCAGACTACCTCCACCGTCTCAATATCGCAAAGGTATTAATCTCCGACAAGACACGATGATCACGAATGCTCAGTTCTGATTTCTGAAAGGTGCCAGAGATCGATTGGACCAAGTACAAAACTGACTTTACCGGAAAATTGGCTCAAAAGACGAGACGATCGAAGCAGTTGAACACTTCACCAGAGAGTTCGATAAAACAAGAAAGTATAAAACAGGAAGACGACAAGACCATACGCGTCAGGGGGCGAGTTTACAATGAGAAAAAGCCTGAAACTTTCAACCAGGTGACGTACATTTTCTGCTTGATTAGTTTTTGTTTTTTTTAATCTACAGAAGAATATTCTAGTGGTAGCCAAGTGGTCAGGATGCCTGACTCTTAGGCCTGGTGAATAAGGAGGCTATTTGTATGAGAGAAGCGTATACGATACCAATATGAGATACGAAAAATATCCAGGCGAGTCCTGGCAACTAGGTTCAGTCGCCTCCCCTCTTCATCTCTTCTCGATCCTTTCCCAAGTGGTTTAAAGACATAGAAATTTGATTGTCATATTTTTATAATGAACAATTTAGAAGTTGTAGCACTTTAGCATTTAATTAGAAAATAAAGAATAATAATGTAAAAACAAGTAAAAGTAGAATAATGTGGGTTCACATTTTTGTTTTGTTTTTTAACTTTATCTGCATAATCGTGATCACAGTTGTTCATGGGATATGTTTGAACTAATGAAATTAGTTTTTTTGTTATCAAATACGTCACATCTACCCATTTTTTCAATTTCAAAGAAGGCATATGAAAATGAGTCTGGCGAACCAATCTGCTTGATACTGTACAATGTCCTGTCAGTCGCCTTCATACAGAAAAAGTATCAAGTGATAGAACATCCCAAGCGACTGAAAATCAATATCTCATACTGGTCACTTACCAGTCTCCTTGTTTGAATGTCCATATCTCTCCGTGCGTTACATCGGTCTCCTCAATACTGATCTCTCATATCAATTGCCTTTGTTTGAACCTGGTCTTATTTGTCTCGCTAGCGTTTCTGGGTTTGAATCCTAGCGGAGCCTTTGCTTTTTAATTGTTAATAGTATGAAAAGTAAGTAAGCAAGTAATTAAGCTTTACTTAAAGGGTTAAGTAGTAAGTAAATCTAGGTTTCTTCTCTATTTGCACAATCTACATTATGTGCATTTATTTTCTTTGAAATGTAATTTTTTGTCAAAATGGTTAACTTACTGCTTTCTTACTTTTACTTGTACTTTTATTCTTACTTTTCTTTCTTTCTAAAAATTGTCGCCTTGGCTTCAGCGCTAAGTTTCTTATTGTGTACCTTTTTTTTCTATTTAATTAAGTACACTTCCCATTCGCATTAATTCCACATTACACAGGCATAGACTTAGGCGATATACCTTGTTTTCTGCATCTATCACTGTCCCATCCTATGCACAGAAATATATTCTAAAAATATGACAACATCTAAAGATTGAATTATTTAAATGTATAATTATATCGTACAGTTATACATACTAATGTTTTTGTGCCTTGTTAATTTTTAGTTGTGGACTGTTGAAGAACAATTGAGACTGGAGCAATTGCTTATAGAATTTCCACCTGAAAGGGTTGAGAACAGAAGGTGGAAAAAGATTGCTCAAGCACTAGGTATAGATTAATTGGTTAAATATTAATATTTCCATGTTCATACAATTTATTATCTATAGGAAACCGGACTACGAAACAAGTCTGTAGCAGAGTGCAAAAATATTTTCAAAAATTGCAAAAAGCAGGGATCACAGTACCAAGCCGATCTACCTCTAGGTCTTCCAAGGTACATAAATAATTACAAATTTATTTAATTAAAAATACTTTTTTTAAAATATGATGTGATTTTTTAGCCGGCGCATGTGAACAAAAGGCATAAACACCTTCTCTACAAGAGGACGACATTTTTCCCCGGTCTTGCTTTGGGTGAAATGGAATCCGAATCTGATGAGGACACGTGCCTCTCAAACGAAAGTGACGAAGTAAACCTAGCATATTGGAAAAGTGTTCTTGAAAAAATTGTCGAAGAGAAGAAAAATTACAAAGAGGGTGATGAAATGGTTCAACATTTTGGCTACAAGGTACCAACACTTCCAGGCAATTTTTTTATTTTATTTTATATTTTGATATGGTTTTTTAGTGTAAATTATGTGAAGAATGCCCCATATTGGGGACGAGATGGACATGCAGCAGCTGCCCAGAGTTCCACACCTGTTCAGATTGCCTGGCTGCTATTGTCGACAAAGAACCACCGATCCACTCGCTCAGTCATAAATTCAATCCGATTTATGAATTTATCAATCCGTATTATTCAAGCAAAGCTTTGGGCTCTGATAATTATTTGGACCCAAATTTTGAAACACATACACAGTCGTGTTGAAATATTTGTAAAAGTTTTTATACTATTTATTTATTTTTTAAATTAAATTATTGTTAACTAATAATAACTCTAGTTTGTGGTGAATGTTTACATTACTACAACTCATTTTTTATACTGCATTTTATACCGAGTAGAAAAATACAACCAAAAATTTACATTTACCAAATATTTACCCCATCTACTGTTAACAATATTTTTTCTTTATTCCTGATAAACATGAGTCTTCTGTCTAATAAACATTGGGGAGCACAGCTGTTTATTTTAATTTGTACCTAGTTGAGAATATTTTTCACATGGAAATGTGATTTTAATAGGTTCATTTCAACAATGTAGAATCGTTTTATACCGATTCAGAAGCTCAGTGAAGTTTTAAAACAAAAATAGCACTTCGGTAAGAATAATTAAGTTTCCAATTTGACAGATATGTATCCATATGTGGCATATAAATTTTGGTGGTCATTTCCCTATCATTTTGGTCTGTTGGACAAATTTTCACTTTTTGCCATATTCAGGAGGGCTTTTTAAAACAACCGATTAATATTATATCTAACTGCTTCTTTTCACCCAAGGATATGGCAAGTTGCATAAGACCAAAATATGTCATTGCATCTTACAGACCAGTTCAGCAAGGGTGGACAGATCAAAACAATCAGAAATGACCAAACTGCAGATTCATCACCCGACAGACCTTGCGATAAATTTCACAATTAAATTATATATAATTTAGTTTAAAAAAAATTCTGGTTGACCTATTATTATTTTAATTAATTATACTTTTAATCTAAGGTCTTTGTTGAGATGAAAAGCAAGTGCCTCGAACGGGAAGACAGTTGATTTTTCATCTCAACCAAGACCTTTGATTAAAATAATATAGCAATTATGTCTATTAAATACATATTAAAATTAATTATTATTAAATTCACTAATTTCGTGGTCGCTTGACCAATTAAATCATTACAATTAATTAAGGTTTTTAGTTGAGATGAAAAAAAGTTAATGGCACGAGAGGGATTCGAACCCACGACCTTCGGCTAGATACGCCGCTGCTCTACCATCTGAGCTATCGTGACCTCGATCCACTCGGACATCAACTCCTCATCTCAACCCCATTATTATTACTGAAGTAGTAATTTTATGTCAAACTGTGAAGGAGTGTTGGCAAGGTATTAAAAAATTGTATGTGGCATGATATTATTGGCGGTTCAGACACTGCTGAAGATGATGCCCAGGATGATCTGAGATCATTTAGGACATCTAGGCAATAAATAGCCTAATCTTTTACATCTTGCATGCAATACTGTTAGAGGTATATTTTTATCCATTCTGATTGATTATTATTATTGAGCATGTCAATTGGTGAAGCAGTTGTCTACTTGATAAGGTGTTGAACAATTGCTGTTGCTTGATTTTTTAATATAGAGTTAATTACCAAAGATGTCCTGGGATCGTCTGTGACTATTTGAGAAATATCAGCCAATTTTTTGTTAAAACTTTAAATCTTGCATGCTTAAACTGTTTGAGGGTTTTGTTACTTGGGCGAAAAGAAATAATCAAACGTATAATTTTGTTTTAAAAAAAGCCCCAGTTGTTCCAGTTTATTATTATTACTATGGAGTTAATTTCAAGGCAAACCGAGAAGTTGTCTTTGCTTCGTGGCGTATTTAACATAGTTTGGCTGGAGGTTTATTTTATTGAAAATACTACCATCGAAGATGCTGAAGACAAGCTGGATTAAATCCAGGACGGTCTGAGATTATTTATGTTAAAACAATATCAGCGATGTTATTAAGACCACACTTATATTGACCCTACAACTGAGAGCAAAACAATATCAACTTAATATTTTAACATCTATACTAAATTGTTTGAGGGTTATTATTATTATTGGTCATTACTAGAGTTAACATTATATATTACTTTTTATGTAAGGTTCTGGTTGAGAAAAAAGTTAGTGTTACGAGCAGGATTGAAACTCACTTCGGCTAAATATGCCGCTGCTCTACCACTTGACCTATCGTGACTTCGATCCTCTCGGACACCAACTCTCCATCTCAACCTACAACCTTTCAAATTTTTCCCTCTTTTTGCCATTTTCATATGTCAAAGTAACTTGGTCAATTGGCCACTAAAAAATAAATGAACTAATATTATATATTATTTACCTTTTCTTAATATTTTTTATATATATTTATGTATATTTGTAAAGGATGTATTCCCTATGTACAGATTATTTATAAATAAATAACACAGGAAAATATATCTTGTTGTTTAAGAAGTTTATACAAAAATAGAGCCTCAAGGGTAGTACTTCAAGATTAAAGTGGTATTACTTGCTGCTACAGATGCCAATGGGAACATCATAGTAGGACATACCCATTTTACTACAGCTTATCCACCTAAGGAATTTATACTGAATTTGTTCTAATAATTTAATAGATAGTGGTGTTGTGTTGTGGGAACCAGATTAAGGAGCAGCATTCTAATAGGGAACAATGGAGTGTACATGAGGGTAGAAATGATGGAGGCATTAAAATCCTTAGAGAAGTGACATGAAGAATTTGTTTGCTTTATTGGTTAGTAGTGACATGATGCTTAAAAGAGTGATGTTAGTTGATGTAAATACCAAGATATTTGATAATTTTTTCTCTGCTTAATAAGATATTATATATGGATTAAGGTAAGGGTAAAGTAGAAAAAAGTGCTGAAGAGATGATGTTGAGTGTCATGTAGTTGATGCAACTATTTTCTAGGTTAATTTGTTTGTATTGTAAATAAACGCAGTCATGGTTTCTATGGAATATATTGAGGTAGTCAGCAAATGAGAGAAAGTGTCATTAAGAGCAGATGCAATATCGTTAATGATGTTAAATAGAAAGGGGTCTAAGTGAGATCCATGAGGGAATACCTTTTTTTTAATACAATGTATAGTATATTGTTCTAGCAGGAGCATATTGTTTTATAAATTGTAGATAAACATTGTAGGTGCTGTTTGGCATCCATTTTTTGTTGTGGTTCTGATTTTGATCTTTTGTTAAAAAGGTGTTAGAGAAACGATTTTAATTTTTCCAAAAGACCCAATATGACCTTTCAAATATTCTATTCAGTCTGTGTTGAATTAAAATAGTTCGATTAGTTATGAATTCAGCAGACCCAGTTAAAATACAGCCGAAACGATAAGATAAAGGCCGGGTTCACGAGATGAACTTGCATAAGTCGGGTACCACCCCGTTGTTGTCGCTATTGTTTGAGGACCCTGAGAAGTTTATCGCATTGAATGGCCCCTGAGAGACCGGAGGATAACCCCTGATCAACGGCTGCGCTGGCGCAACTTTCATAATCATAACAGAAAATAAAAAGCTGATCTTTTTTTCAAGATTGCGAATAACACGGCCGTTTAGTCCGGCCCATTCTACTGTCTGGTACAAGGCAGAGCGACCCAACAGACATGGAAACTCTCAGCAAGTATGTCAAGCTTTTCACAGATAATTTGGAATTTTTTATTTATTTTGCCGGTTTGTTACCTCCGATTAAACATTCTGTTTTTTTTTTTTTTTTTTTTTTTTTTTTTTTTTTTTTTTTTTTTTTTTTTTTTTTAGTTTAAATATAATTGAAGATTATTTAGGGATGGTTGTTGTTGAAAAGATTGTTTTCTCTCTCCAGATAAAATATTAATTTAAATTAAAAAGTTTTTAAATCACAAATGTTATTTAGTTCTTAACGTTTCATATCAATAATAATATTTTAACTGGTTTTCCCCACGTGGCAGACTCAATTTTAATTAATAATAATAATTTTATAAAAATTTCAACTGATAGTAACATTTCAACAGTCTGAAAAGTAGACAATAGAGAGTTCTCAATATCCTCTGAGTATAAAAATAGGTTTTTTTAAAAAGATTTTGTTTAAAAAAAAATATAAAGTTTTGTCAAACACATTTCTTACTCTGCAGCTTGATCATCTAGTTGTGACCGTAAAATTTGCCATCTTCGATACAAAGATCAACCTACACTTCTATTACCTGGCTGAGATTGATTTTAATATTTTACAATTTTACTTTGTTGAGGATTGTTATATTAAGATGATAACCTGTAACAATTTTACATGATCGTACCAGTCCATTCTTACTAGTTTTGCCAGGTAAATTTTGATAGATTGTTCATCTCGGTCTGCCTGATCTTTAAATGTGAAAATACTTCATCTTCAGCAGTCCATTGTTAAAAGGTCAAGATACACTTTCTTCACTGAGCAAACTTCGATTTTACGTCGTTCTTAGTGGTCGGTCTGTCGGATGAAATTTTAACCAGACCATTTTGGTCTGCCAAAAGATCAAGCCAACGTTTTATCACCTTGCAAACCTAAACTTTTATGACGCTCAATTTTAAATTGTTTTGGTGGTGTAATGTGTTTGCTGTGTTCATTATTGGTCGGTTAGATTAATTTTTACCTTGATCAACTTTGATCTGGTCTGCCTGTTTTGGGTAGTTTTGCCTGTAAAATACAACTACCTTTCAGCGGTTGGTCTGGTCTATTAAAAGATCAAGGTACAATTTTATCACCTTGCAAATCTAAACTTTAATTACTCTTAATTTTAATTTGTTGTTTTGTACAAATAAATAACAAATTGCTTGAAATAATTTATTTACTGATGCTAGTGAATTTCGGGCTCACCTGGCTCCCCTGTAGGGCTCGTAAGATTAATAACAACTAACAAAAAAAAATTATTTGTTAAAAGAGTTTTTTTTTTATTGTTCCTATGAGCCCTGAAAAGGGGAGCCAGATAGGCCCTGTTAATGCATCACCATCACTAAATAAATTGGTTGAATCAGTTCGTTATTTATTTGTTCGAATCAATCAATTAAAGACAATCAACCAACAAAACAAGAAGAGGAGTAGCAATTAAATTGATGTGGTAAGATGATTTTTTGTACATCTTCTATACCTATTGTTAGTCTGTTAGATGAACTTTTTTACATTGGTCGTCTTTGATCGTTCTAGTCTGCCACTTTTTGGTAATTTTGCCTGTCAAAAATTGCTTTCTTCAATAGTTGGTCAAACAAAAGTTCAAATTTTTTTTACACATTAATTTGTTATGTAGTTGATTTTTTTGTCATCTTTAGTATTTGATCTGTCAGATGAATTTTTACCTCATTCCGTTCTGCTTATTTTTGCTAGTTTTACGATCAAAAACTACTATCTTTGGTGGTTAATCTATCAAAGGATCAAGTTGCAGTTTTATCACCTTGCAGATTTCAACCTCAATGTTAAAAATATATTCACTAGTTTTCGTGGTCCGCTTGACCAATTAATATCTTTCAATTAATTAAGTTTTTAATTGAGATAAAAAAGTCAGTGTCACGAGCGGGATTCGAACCCACGATCTTCGGCTAGATATGCCGCTGCTCTACCACTTGAGCTATCGTTACATCAGAAGTCACGATAGCTCAAGTGGGTTTGAACTGACTTTTTTTGTCTCAACTAAAAACCTTAATTAATTGAAAGTTAAAAATATATTATGTTTGAAGCGACAAACCTGAAATGTGATTGTCTGCGACTTGGATTTTCACTGGATTTGTTTGTCCGATGTGTTTCAGCATCATCAGTGGTACCTTTGCCTTTTGAATTTTCTTTCTGTTCAAGTCTTCCTAGATCATTAATAGATTGAGTCAGTGTAATACTTGCCGAAATATTTCTGCAGTAATGGGCTGCTCTCCTTACATATTCCATCTGCTAATCTGCCTCAATTCTTGGCTTTGAGATTTTTAAAAATTATAAAATCAGGCATGTAACTTGATGTTACAATATCGATGCAGGTGGAATGTATAGACTCATAACTCTACACATCATCTCAATTTTCAATATCATCTTCCTTTAGAAATGAACATTAAGTTTACTTTTAAATACAGGAATTATTTACACAAAAAAGTATAAAGATTTTACTTTAAAAAAATATATTTTCTTACGCCTTTGCTTTGATTCTGAATTTAATGACTCATAAATCAGCTCTATTTTATTGAAGAAAAGTCTCGTACTTTATTAAATTAATTAAAAAAATAATAAAAGGGATAATAATATGTAATAATTATATAAAATGTACTGAAGATTACATAATAAGCTATTAAATTTATAAAGTGTGTTTTAATTGTCTATCAGTACTAATTAATATTATACAACCAAAAGAATCAAAAGGAAAGAAGTAATGAAGTGCTGTATTTTACTATCATTTCATATGACAATTTTATCTAGAAATATAAATTTTCCATGACAGAACTATCAGCACATTCTTTGATAACAATGCTATTCGTAAGGAGCAAATAATTTCTTAATTTGTGTTACACTTCTGCAGTATATTAAGCATTAGTTTTATCAAATGTAAGTTCAAAGTGTAGAAATTAATTTAAATTGATAATTCTTATACCGGTGCATTTGAGGTTACTTATAGTAAATGGTTACTGCAGAGTATAAATAATTTTGAAATTTCAGGGACGGAATGGTTATAGCAGTGGGAAATCCACTGTTGGACATAACGGCTCCGGTTGATGAAAAATTTTTAAGTAAATACGGTTTGAAACCCAATGATGCCATACTAGCTACCGAAAAGCATCTTTCTCTTTATAAAGAATTGGCGAAGCTGAACAATGTAGAATATACTGCAGGAGGATCGTCTCAAAACAGCTTGCGTGTTGCACAGGTATGATGTTAACATTGTTTTACATTAACAATTTTTAATTTTGTAAAAAAAAATTTCCAGTGGATTTTACAAAGGCCAAATACCTGTGTGTATTTAGGGTGTGTAGGGGAAGACGACAATTGTAAGATTCTTGCCAAAAAGGCGACACATGATGGCGTTAAAGTTTTATATCAGCACACCGACAAACGACCAACTGGTGAGTACATTAAAATTGATTTAATATCCCATTCCATTAAAGAGCCGAGCTGTACAGATATATTTTATTTTTTAGGAACATGTGCTGTTTTAATATCTGACAACGGACATAATAGATCTCTTGTTGCTAATTTAGCAGCATCTGAATGTTTTACTAAGGATCATTTAGAATCTAAGGAGGTCAAGCATTACATCTCACACGCAGAAATTTACTATTCTTCTGTAAGTTTGTTAGTTGTGAATGTTTTTTTACAAAGTTTTATCCATATGTATTATTTATTAGGGATTTTTCCTGACGGTTAGCATTGATACAATACTGGAACTGGCACACCTCACTCATAAGAGGGAAAAAATGTTCTTGCTTAATCTGAGCGCACCTTTTCTTGCGACTCATTTCAAAAATCAGATGATGCAAGTGTTTCCTTACGTTGACATCGTCTTTGGAAACGAGACCGTATGTTTCACTTAAAATAATGTTCTAAATAACAAACATTTTCTCTTTAATTTTTATACTTATTTTAAATTCATTGGCATCAAATCGAAATTAACATTACAGATGTTTGTTAGGAAGCTCTAGCATTTGCCAACGCACACAACTTTGAAACCGAGGATGTTAAAAATATTGCCAAAAAAATGGCGGAACTTCCGAAACAAAACCAAAACCGTGAAAGGGTTGTAGTTATTACGCAAGGGCCTGATGTAGTTATTTTGGTGGAAGGTAATTTAAAAAAAAATCACCTTTAAACTTTTATCTCTTGGAATTATTGTAGTTATATAATAATATTTGTTTTTATCATAACATTTAGCCGGAAAGGTGAAAGAGTTTCCTGTCAAGAAGTTAGATAAATCCCAAATCATTGACACCAATGGAGCTGGTGATGCTTTTGTGGGCGGTATGTTCATTTTATTTTTTTACTGAGTTTTTCCATTTTATCGGGTTGTCCGGAAAATAATGCAGGATTTTGGTATTAAACAAAAAAAAAGAAACTAGTTACTTTAAAGCAATGTTCTTTAATCAAAATAATTTCCCATACTCTCAATACATTTCTCCCAACGTGTTGGTAACTTATTAATTCCGTCTGAGTAGAATTCAGAATTTTTAGAATTGATAAAGTCAATAAATGCATTTTCCAGTTCCGTTTGATTTTTGAATATTATGTGTTGTAAGTAGTGGTCCAGGTGTCTAAAAAAATGGTAGTCAGTAGGCGAGAGGTCCGGAGAGTAGGGTGGGTGAGGCAAAGTTTCATAGCCAAGCTCCAATAATTTTTGTGACGTTACACGTGACACATGTGGTCGAGCGTTGTCATGCAACAAAATGGGCCCTTTCCGATTGACCAAAGAGGGCTTCATTACTGCCAATTTCTGATGCATGGTATTAATTTGGTTACAGTATGATTCAGCATTGATGGTTTCGCCAGGATTTAAGAAGCTGTAGTGTATTAAACCAAATGAAGCCCACCATACCGTAACCATTACCTTTTTTTGATGAGTTGGGGGCTTTGGAGCTTCTCCTTTGTCGAGCCACTGTCCAGAACGTCTAGTGTTATCGTAGAGAATCCACTTTTCGTCACATGTAACAATTCTGGCCAGAAATGGGTCATTTTTGTTTCGACAAAGAAGTGATGCACAAACATCAAAGCGCTGATTTTTTTGGCGATCGTTTAATGAGTGTGGAACCCAATTTTCGAGTTTTTTCACTTTTCCAATCGCCTTGAGGTGGTCAGCGACGGTCGTTTTACTGACTTTGAGTTGCTCTGCAAGTTCTCGAACAGTTGTTTTGGGGTTTTCTTCCACCACTGATCGCAGAACATCATCATTAAGGGAGGAAGGCCTTCCACGACCTTCTTCAACTTCAAGGCTGAAATCTCCCTCCCGAAATTTTTTAAACCACCTTTGCACAGTGCACTCATTAACACAACCCTCGCCCCAGACTTGGTTAATGTTTCTAGCCGTTTGGGCTCCGCTTCGGCCGAGTTTAAACTCGTAAAAGAAAATCGTACGAAATTCTCGCTTTGACATTATAAGGATGACAGAATTATTTCCAAGTAGCGGAATGCTACAGAGGTAAACAAACAATATCATTTGGAAGAGGATTAATAAGTGTTGACATTCATACAAATGAGTAATCCTGTAAACGTAAACAGAATATTTTATATAGATTTTTTTTAATGAAAACTTAAAATCCTGCATTATTTTCCGGACAACCCAATATTTCATTAAAAAAATACATTAGAATACATTTTTTAATACATTGCGTAAAAATCACTTCTTCTGAACTCAAACCTTGGATTGGTAGTGAGATGTAAAAAAAAAAGTTTTTCCGAAACTTTTAACTTTCAGGATATAATTTGTCTAGTGAATTATTGTGTTGAAATCTCAAGATGATGAACCTGAAGCTTGGTTGTATTTGATCATCCTGATCTGCCTGTTCTTACTGATTTTGGCAGTTATAAGCATTTGGGCATTTTACCATCTTTGGATTTTCAAATCCAGTACTGACTTCTAACTTTGCCTTTATAATACTAAAAAAAGGACTAAATGAAACAAAATACACAGACAAATCAATAAAGATTTGAAAAAAATGACAGACAAAAACTAAAGAAAACTAGTGTTTACTGTGGTACTTAATAATTGCCACTATCCATATACAGCTTATCAATCCAAGGTTTCTTTTCAAATAAATTCTAATGTTTAAGTTTCATTTTTGTTTTAAGGATTTTTGGCGGAGTTAGTGAAAGGATCCACTTATGACAAATGTGTCAATTGTGGGATTTGGGCCGCTTCCAAAGTGATTCAAACTTCTGGCGTTAACTTATCAGGAAAACCCGAGTTTAGCAAATAATCAGTTTATTCGATGACTCTTAATCTCTTAACAGAACATTTTAATTTAGATGATGATCAAGATTAACATTTAGTTAAAGAAATTTTCTTAATAATATATTCTGGCTGCATGCTTCTTTGCATGTTTAGTTTTCATTGTTATACAAAACAAACGTGCCTTGGACATTTTGTATTTTTTAATATTGTTGACCAATCTTGTTATTGTTATTTATTTTGTAAGGCTGAATTGGTGTATGACAATTTTTAAAATAGAGAATTGGCCAACAAAAGAAATTGTTTGTTAAACAGACATGGAATAAAAAGGTTAAATATTTTTTATGTACTTACTTGTATGAAATTGAGTGTATGATGTTTTTTTAAATTTGAAAAATAAAGTTACTACAACATTTGTTAATCTTATTAAAATTGAGTTTTTATTTAAATAAATATTCTCCTCATATTAGTAAAAAAGGTGGTTCAGACCACCATCCAGGTAGCAATCAAGCACAGCATTCGTGTAATGTAAAAAGATAGCACATTAAAAAATATTTCTGTTGTATATAGAAAATATACAATGGATAGAAAAATACGTTTATAAAATAAATAAAAAACTTTTGAAGTAATGACATAACAATATAAAAATAAAATATAATTACATATAAAATTAAAAATCAAATTGTTTTGATGAAAGTTACTATCAAAGTAGTAATAAAAAATAAATCAATATCACATTAATATAATAAATGATTGAATATAACTAGGAATATATATTCATATACATATTGACAAGAATATAAAGAAAGGTATTGAGTGACTAGATAGGTTAGGTTTTAAAAAATTTCTGAACTGGTCAAGACAGTTGTTAAAGAAGTCGATATTATTCATTTTCTATCCAAATCTATGCAGTCCATTGATAGGAGAATGATGCAGGTTGTTTGTGGTAGTTGACAGAGTGGAGGAGAGTGAGCAGGATCAGGTTCAGATAGTGGGATGTGAAAATTTATTTGTTGAAATAAATCAGGAGAGTTTTGTTAAGCAGATTATACAACATAGAGCCTCAAGTGTAGTATGTCGATATTCAAGTGGAATAATAATGGGAACATCATAATAATTTAATATTGGCTATAGTGTAAAGACCAGATTAAGGAGCAGTATTCTAATAGGGAACAAATAAGGGAACTTTTTTAAATGATGTATTTTTCTAGTACAATGTGTTGTACAGGAGTACATTGTTTTATAAATTGAATATAAACATTGTAGGTGCTGTTAAGGATCCAGTTTTTTTGTTGTTGTGTTAAATATTACCAATTAATCATACATTTGGAGCATGTACCAGAATGTAGTTTATACAATACATTGTAATACTACAAGGCGTTTTAAGTGTTTGTTATTATAATATACATTTTAGATAAACATTGTAGTTCTTTGATATCACTTTTTTGTTGGCATGCTCAATATTATCACATATTTGGTACATGTATCAAAATGTAATTTGCACATGGTATTATAATACATTGTACTAATATAATGTGAGTGTTTGTTACATAAATTGTAAATAAACATTGTACCTATTGCCCAGTATCTATTTTTTGTTGTGCTCAATGTTATCGCATATTGGTGCATGTATAAAAGTGTAATTTGTACATTGTTATTGTAATACATATATGGTACTAATTCAATATAAGTGTTTGTCATTATATAAATTGTAGATAAACGTAGGTGTTCTTCAGTATCAATTTTGTGTTGTTGAATGTTATCTCATATTTGATGCATGCATCAATGTGCAAATTATACATTGTATTACAATACATATATTGTACTAATAAAATGTATAAAATTATAGCTAAACATTGTAGGTGTTCTTTGGTATCAATTTTTTGTTGTGCTCATTGTTATCGCATATTTGGCACATGTATCAAAGTATAATTTATACACTACATTATAATATGTCCATTGTAGCAGTGCAATGCGTTTTAAGTGTTTGTTGTTATATAAATTGTAGATAAATATTGTAGGTGTTCTTCGTATCAATTTTTTGATCAATATATTATTTCTCATTTATACAGCATGGATTTTTTGTAGTGTATTGTAAGCGGTGGAATATATTTTATGCTTGGAGCGTAATTATTTGTCGTTGAAATAGATTGTGACGTCCTGGGATTGTAAATAGAGTGTGGATAGTTTTGATTTAGTTAGTAATAAATGTGAAATATTCATGGTAGGTGGGTTAAAGGGTAAATAGGATCGTTATCGTCCTTTGGCCGCCGGTGGCGGGTGGCCGGAGTGGGAAAAATGATCAATTTAAGGGATTCTCGGCTCGTATTTCAATTTGTACTGTAGAATGCGTTGTTAACAGCGTTTGTCCGGGTTGGCGAGCGGGGCCGGGCGAGGGGCTGAGGGCGAGGGGGCCGTCGCTCCTTCGACTCCGGCCATCTTGTTGCCATGTTTTGATACGAAACGGTTCGCACTTCGCTCCATCTCGCCTCCGTTCCGCCGTCGTTTCCCAAACCGAGACAAGTTCGAATCCCGGCGACAATCCGCCCCAGGGATGGCGTTTAACCCGGGATACACTTTTTAAAGGGGCGGACCGCTTTTTGAGACTTTTCCGTCGAGACAGTCGATCCCGACTCGGCCGAGCCCAACCTACATCGCCGAGGGCCACGGGACAAACGCTCAACGAAGCCCAGCACATCGATTATGAGTGAGTACGACATTTTCAACAGATTCTACGGAGTTTTTTTGTATTTATAGTGTATCGCTTTTGTACGAGGAGGACGAGCTCGGGTCTTTTTAAACCGCTCGAAATCTGAGTCTCAGTTAAGATGGCGTTCGTCCGCCGACCGCCGAAGCCCGAGTTCCCGTCTCCGCTCCCCCTTGGCCTAAATTCGCTCCGGCCGCAATTTTATCACAACGATTCATCTCCTTTATTAACATTTTACGACTTGAGAAAAACAAAGCCGACACCGCTCAATCCGCGGTCCGAGTTTTCGTCTTTGTTTTTCTCTTTGTCGATGCCGCCACGGCATTCCGACGCGCTTTCGTCCGACACTCGGATGCCCTTAAACGCACATTTGCCCTAAAACACCCTTCATGCGACGCTAAATGTTTTTCGGATAAAAAACGTCTTTAAATAAAAAACAGAACAAAGAGATGTCATTCAAAAGCTTTGTTAGTTATGTACAAAAAAGCCGAACTTTCCTCCCGCCGTTTACCCTTTAAAAATAATTTTGTTTATTGTTTAAAACGATCAAAAACCCTAAGTTCATATATTTTTACACCTGCCTTTGCTTGTTTACGAACAATTCTTAAATTATTTACAGTTTTTTTTTAATAGTTTAGTTTCTTAAATTATAGAATAAAATAGAAGTTTATTTCAAAGTGTAACATTACAACTTGTATACTAAATTTACAATATTCTCCAATAAGAAAAAAATATTTCTTATCTTATTGTATTATTAAATCTATACAGCTCTGTTGAACAGCGGAGAAAATTTTTTTCTCCGACAATTGCATGCCTTTTTTCCAACAATTTCTGTACTCTGTTGACCACGATCATACACAACGTTCTTAATTTTTAACAGACAGATGCCTTTTTTTTTTGTGTGTGTGTTTATTTTTTGTTCGACGATTTCTGTACTGTTTTGAACATCAAGACGGCCGTTGTTGGTTTTGTATGTTGTTAAGTAGGCAGACTTTGTTTTCCCGACAATTTATTTACTCTTTTGAACATCAAGAGACACCGCCGTTCTTAGGTTTTGCATATACATTGGATAAGTAGACAGGCTGCTTGTTTTTCTGACAAATGTCTGCACTCTTTTGAGATTCAAGAGACACAGCCGTTATTGGCCGTGCAAGTTGACTCCTTAAATAGGCACACTGTTTGTTTTTCTGACAATTTATTTACTCTTTAGAACATCAAGGGACACTGTCGGTCTTAGTTTTGGACGTTCACTCCTTAGATAGACAGGCTGCTTGTTTTTCCGACAATTTCTGTACTCTTTTGAGTATCAAGAGACACGGCCGTTATTGGCCGTGCATGTTGACTCCTTAAATGGGCACACTGTTTGTTTTTCTGACAATTTATTTACTCTTTTGAACATCAAAAGATACTGCCGTTCTTAGTTTTGCACTTTGATTATTTAAATAGGATCAAGAGGCTCTGATGTTCTTAGTTTTCGCATGTAGATCGCTTAAGTAGACTGGCTGTTTGTTTTTCCGACAATTTCTGTACTCTTGAACATCAAGAGACACGACCGTTCTTAATTTTGTATGTGTTCTCCTTAAGTAGGGCAGGTTTTCTTAGTTCAACCATGCTAGTTTTGTTTTTCAATAATTAATGTTTTTTTTATTGTGTGTTTATTATTAAGATTTCTGTACTCTTTTAAACATGAAGAGACACGGCCGTTATTGGTCGTGCATGTTGACTCCTTAAATAGGCACAGTGTTTGTTTTTCTGACAAATTATTTACTCTTTAGAACATCAAGAGACACTGCCGTTCTTAGTTTTGGACGTTCACTCCTTAAGTAGACATGCTGCTTGTTTTTCCGACAATTTCTGTACTCTTTTGAACATCAAGAGACACGACCGTTCTTAATTTTGTATGTGTTCTCCCTAAGTAGGGCAGGTTTTCTTAGTTCAAACATGCCGGTTTTGTTTTTCAACAATTCCTGCACTCTTTTGAACACCAATAGATTCAGTGTTTTTATTTTTTATTTTATTTATTTATTTTTTAATAGTGTTTTTTTTTACGACGATTTCTTTACTCTTTTGAATATTAAGAGACTCTGCCGTTCTTAGTTTTTGTATGTTGTCTCCTTAAGTGAACAGCCTGCTCGTTTTTCGAAAAATTTCTGTACCCTTTTGAACATCTAGAAAGTCATATTTCTTAGATTTCTTCTTTTAAATTGCATGATCGTGTGCAAGCAGGAGTTTCAAATATCAAAATTGATTGAATATCAAAACTATTTACAGATAGATTTAATTTCTCTTAATACATCTTTGTTTAGGTAGGTGGAAAAAAATTCACTTAAAAACGATAAAAAGGATGAAGGTGGGGTGAGTATGTAGATTGACGTTTTGTAAATGATGGCTCTACTCACAGATTTGTTGTTTACATGATTCGATTAAACGCTCATCATCAGGTTGTAGGAGTACATTAAATTGTGTGTTATGCACCATCAATAGCTGGTTTTTAATATATCTCAATTTTGAACGAGGAAAAAACGTGAATTACAACTAAATAATATCCTAACTAATACTGTAAGAAATTAATTTTAATTAGTATTTATTTGGATGTCAAACAGTATTTAGAGTACATGTTTAAAATAGGAGGTAAATCATTGTAAATAGGCTTAAGAAAATTCTTAATAAATAGACTTAGAGTTAATAAATCTTTTTTCAAAATCTAATTTTAATCGCAATTAAATGAGCTTAAATCGTTTTTCGTTTGCTCTTTTTTTGCATATTTTAACAAACATTGTGTAAGCAAAGTAGGGGTCAGAAATTGGCCAAAACTTGGACCCAATTGCCATGATTCTAGCGTCATAAAACTTTTAGATACCGACTTTTGCGGAAATCTGTATAAATTAATTTTTTAACTGATAATTTCGACGCCTGTCTGCCTGACTGGCATTTCTAGTGCAAACTGGAACATAATTTTTCTCAAAAGCTAATGGACCGATTTTCATGGTTGATAATTCGTTTTAAAGAAATTGTCAAGTGCAATTATAAACAGTATCAAATTGAAAATGACTATTATTTCCATTAAAAAAAGGTTAATTTCTGACAAATAATTTTGCTATTTTGTGTATTTTTTTATAGAAATATTTTATTTATTTTAATGGTTCATGCGCCCTTAAAAAGCTACGTTTCTCTTCTTTCAAATGGTCTACTAGACATTAAAATCCTGTTAACTATTTTTGAATTATCCCCGTTTCAATCAGATATTCCGATATCGACTTCTCAAAAATATGAAAAATATTAGGGGTTAAAAAAATAATCAATAAATTTAAATTCAAACAAATATTTAGGGATCTCTAGAGGTGCTAAAACGAAATTTCATATTTGTTTCACTAAAAAAATTATGACCTAGTTTCTTAGAAAAATATTTGGTTTTTAGAAATTTTTTGGTTATTGATACACTTTGGTAGCTTTTACTGTACTTTTATTGCTATCTTCATAAAAATGCTGTAAAATGATATATTCACATAGTTGATTTGAGCAAGTAGAATAGAGGCAAATAGAATAGAATAAAAATATTAAAAAAATTAAAACTGAAATTTTTTGGCGAAACCACAAGGCCTATTCACAAGAATTGGCGGATACGTGTCCGATATTTGGGGGTAAGAATCATAAAAAAAGTTTAGTCCAAATCCTTTACCTACCGACCTGGTCGGCCCTTTGTTAGATGTCTTCTTAAATTACATGATCTTGTGTAACAGCCGGTTAAAAAAATCAAATTTCACTACCAATTTTACCAATTTTATTTCATCGAATTTTTGTTTTGTTTTATAGAGGTGTAACACCTATGATTATCTGGTGGAAAAAACAAGGATTCGCTCATTGTCTTTTATTCAAAAAATCCCCTCTATTTTTTACCTTTTATTTGTGATCGGATGCATAAAACCCTTCGACTGAAAATAGCTCTTGTTTGCCCACCTATTTTTGGAGAGCGGGCACATTTTGTTGGTGGGAATTTGTTTTTGGTGCACACGAATTAAATAAACCCGGTCGAACCCGTTGGTCGTGATTCCAATTTTAATATTAAACTGACGGATCATTTATGGACATATTTTTGGAGTGATTTGTGTTTTTCCTGGGACTATTTATGTGCCTTTGTTGAACTCCAAGGGACGCTGTGCGTTGTTGGCTTTGTCGTTTTCTTAGCCCAAACATCCCTGTTTTGTTTTTCAACAGTTTCTTTACTCTTTTGAAGATCAAGAGGCACTGCCGTTCTTAGTTTGATTAGTTTCTTTCTTAAGTAGGCAGACTTTTTGTTTTCCAACCATTTCCTATGCTTTTGCACATCAAGAGAAACCAAGTACTTAGATTTCCTTTTAAATTAGATGATCGTAAGTTAACACTAGTTTCAAAAATCTAAGTTATTGAATCCCTTGGTTATATGCAATTCGATTAAAAAAACAGATATTTCAACAAAAATTCTAAAAATATTATTTCTGAATTCATTTTAGCATCAAGAGATATTTCGCTTATTTTGCAAATTGTTTTCTTACATTGTTTTTTTTTTCAATAAATTTTATACTCTTTTAAATATCGATAGATACTGAGATTACATTACAGGATTACAGTAAGGATTACATTACAAGTTTATCACTCTGCAAACCGCAGAAGGAAATTTCACAAACTGTACATACACTGAACTGCATAAGTGATATAATTTTACATTTTGTTTTTTCATTTACTCTAAATGAAATACATATTTATATTATATATAAATCTGGGAAAATGTAATTTAAAATGCACATAAACATAAAGCTTTAATAAAAATTATGTTAAATGTGTTTGTCATAAAAAATTGTATTGGACCATGATGATCAGAGATGATGAAACTATATTGCAAGATAATTTAATAATTAATAAATAATTTAATAAGTTTTGCATGTTGTTTTCTTGAAAAGGCAGACGTGTTTTCTTTCTCTTTTTTCTGTTAAAAGTAATTTTCATACACGTATGCCATTAAA